ACTGTCCACAACAGTTATGGGATAACTAGCAGCACTGGGGCATCAATAATAGCTTCTAATAGGCTTTAGATCCTTAAAGCACAACAGCAGATGTTCATATTGGTTCAGTAAAGACACATCAGAGTGATAATTCCAATACAGTGTGAGCTTAAAAGGTATAATAAAAACTAGCAGTGGTGTTGAACTGCTAAAATTCTATTTTAAAAGTTAAGGAATTCAGTTTTAAGATAAGCAAAGTGTTGGTGTGAGTAGCAGCCTTTCTGGAAGCACAATGGCTTAACTAGGAATTTACCCAAACTCATAAAAGTAAGGCAAGTAGTGTGGCGTAAGACTCCTCTTAAATCCATTGTTTGAAGGATTCCCTCCTAAGGAAAAACAATGCTTTAGAATCTTTGTTGGCTTGGTATTCTGAAATTTCAATTCTGGAAGCCTGGCAAAAGAGCTGCAGCCCATTTAAGCATTATAAAGACTAGTGGTGCCACGGGCTTCAGAAGTCTTGGCCTGTTTCCTTATGACTTTGCTTCTCTGCCAAATGTTATACCTACATTATTAGGTCAGCCAGTGAGCTGGTGAGGCAATGAAATGTCACAAGACTCTGGGACAAGCTGGTTTAGATCCTGTGTGTGCATAGTGTAAAAACAACAGTCTGAAAAGTTGGCTCTTCCTTAGTAACTTCCCTACAAGTCTGGCATTCTTTTTCTTCATCTCTTAACCACTGCCGAAGGAAACATGGACTAAGTTAGAACCTTGACCTAAATTTGATGGACAGTAGTACATGTAGTCTGGCCTTTCTTCCTGCACACTTTGTGAGGGAAAAGATATTCCCCTTTGAGAAAATCATTCTTAACTGGAAATTTCAGTGGGGCCAATTTCCATGTAAGTGTAATTAAGCAAACTAGAAACCTGAGTAATTAACATTTCCCGTAGTAGTTTTGGCAATTTGTCCTTTCTTTTTAGGAAATGTATTGGCGTTTAACATAATGCCATAAATTGGTCTGAAAGGTGTCGCAGGACTGCGGTCTCTGCAACAGCAGCCATGCAGCTTGAAGACCTATTTGGAAACAAATCCTCTCAACAGTGAGATTTACTTTCAAGTCTATCCAGGAGTGCAGCATTTAACGTTCCTCTCAAATCTTGGCTCCATCTGAAAACCTGTGACATTAATTCAGGATCTAACATAAAAAGAAAGATCAGTTGGATGCCATGAACGCCGTTGCTTAGAAAAGTCAGTAAGCCTCAAGCTAGGTGGTTTTGATACTTCTAAGTTAAAATGAAAACTGGCTTTTTGAATTTTGCACTTTTGAAATGCTGACCTCAAGTGGAATTGCTTGTCTGCTACAGATCAGTTTCCCCATACTTGCTAGAGTAGAAATTCAGCACACTACCGTAGTGAACAGAGTACCTTTCAAAGAAAATGAAGCAGACATACTTTTATGTGGGAGTGGGGGTGATCTGAAAACTTGCAGTAAGCAACTGTCACTTCAGTAATTCCCTTGGGAACACATTTAAGACACTTTGCTAACATATATTAATAGAATTGTAGGATATGAAGATGTCTTAATTGGATTAAAATCCCGAGTCCATTCTCTAAAACTGTAAGTATCAAATGACTCTCCCCATGGAGTCCAATCCTGGAGAACTTGTTTTCAGGACAATTGGAGCATTTGGGAGAGGATAATGCTGAATAGATGAGTAGACATGCTTAGCTTGTGGTTCCAGTATCGCCTGTATCTTCCTAGTTGGTTCTCCGTCCAGTTTTTGGCTTTCTATGGTACAGCTTACATGTTACTTACGCTTCAGCAAGCCCAAATTCTGTAGTGTTTTTGTAAAAAGATTGACAGGAGTCTCTGCAAGATAGCAAAGTAATACAGTGGGAGCAAATAACTTGAGAAATCAGCTTGCTTCTTGCTTGTATGGCAGCAGTTGACACAAGGCATTCTTACAGGAGTGCCTTGTGGGGAACTGATTGAGGTTCCTTGCATAATTTATTTTCCAAATCCGTGCTTTTGGTTTAGAAGTAGGGTGGAAGTTGATAATTTTTAACTTTACACAATTTATGAACATGGATGAAACATTTAAGCATTAATTCACAGTTGTCCTAATAAAAAATGTGTTCTCTTTAGCGAAGGTACAACATGCTACAGTGTTTTTATTGCAAGTTGAGTTTTTGCTGACACCTTAAATTACAGAGGTGTCAGATATCTGTATTTTTAAAAAACAAATTACCTTGCAATTATTATTTTTTGCCCTTCTTGACCTTTGATATACGCTATGAAAGTGGCATAATGTTTAATTTCAAAAAGGTTTGTATATGATCAAGGAACCAGTACATTTAATTGCCTAGTGTTATATCTGCATCTGGAAGCATTTCTAAGCGTGAAAAGTAGTTATGTTAACTGTTAAGGAATGAATGCTGAGACTTCCCTTTTTTATGGTCATCTGGCATTTTACTATTTTTTGCCTTTTTTTTTTCAAAATAGGAGTGGCATGACTGAGTGCAGATGTATTTAGAATTTGTTCCGAATGGTGTTTTGAGTCTTAAATAAGACAGAGTTTGATTGAATTCCTATGTTTTCAGTCTGCTCTTTGAGAAGGCGGCTTACCCTTTCAAGGTTTTTTAAAAACGAAATGAAGGCTTTGATCCTAAATGGCCCTTTATTTGTATTTATTTTGGAGGGGGGTATTTTTGTGGTTGGTAGTTGGAATATGTTACCTCTAATTTGGAAGAAAAATATTTAAAATGCCAACTGTGTTTCACACTGGATTTGTTTGCTTGGGCACTACGTAGTAGCTCTTGTGCCAAGTTGTAGTAAAATCGTGTCCCTGTTTACAAATACTAGAACTGTATAGACTGGAGACAAGCACAGTTGCCATTTCTGGTAAGGTTACTGAGGGTTGGATTTATGTGCATGTTAATGAGTACAGGCCCTAAAATCTTCCCCTGTGTGCCTTATTGGGAAATATAGCATATATTTGAGGTTTAGTCAGCTACAGGAAGATTATTTGAGTATACTGTTGTCGACTTGCCAGGATCTGACATGGCCCTTATTTTTCTGAATTGCATGTCACATTTCAATACCGTCATACCTTGGGTTACAGGCGCTTCAGGTTGCGTATTTTCAGGTTGCGCACCGCGCCGAACCCAGAAGTACCGGAACAGGTTACTTCCAGGTTTCGGCACATGCACAGAAGCGCCGAATCGCAACCCGCGCGTGCACAGACGCGGCGCTGCGGGTTGTGGACATGCCTCCCGTATGGCTCACGTTCGCAACCCGCGCGTCCACTGTATGTTTGAAATATTAGCATGGTCAGTTAAATAGTTTCTTTAATGGAGGATGAATGTTGGCCAGTTTTTGGCTCCATAGCAAAACCAGCTCTGTATAACTGACACTGTCAAACAGTTAAAACAATCCTAATGTTCTAAGAAAAGAATGGGTATTGCTGTATCCATATTCACAAATGAAACAGCATTCCCCCCCACCCCCATTTGTAGTAGTACTGTTAACTTTTGTATGGCTTTGTGCAGCCTGTTTGCTTGGGAACAAGTTCTGCAGATTTGAAGTGTTACATGCATAGTTACTGTACAGCGAATGGAAGCTTCATGATGAGCATAGATTTTGAATGTATCTTTACTAATCCTGTGTGATACACCTGGAATGACTGCAAAAATCTTAACTCTTCAGTTTGTTGAGATGTTACAGCAATGTCTTGGTCAAATAGGTTACTGTTTTACAGCTGTGTAGTAGAGAGGGTCAGAGCTGCAGAGAAAAAGCTGGCAGTATGAGATTGAGAGCTGTGAGTCATAATTAGAAATAAGAATAATTCTGCTAAAATTATATCTTGAAATCAAACACATTGCCATTTTCATAGCGTTCCTTTTCAGAATCTGTAACTATGTACCTTGGAGCATATGAAAGGTTTCAACTTGTTTCTAAGCTCTTAAAGTAGCTTGCTGCCATCATATTCCCTACTCTAGCTTTTTAAATTTACAGTAAGTACATGTACCCCAGCCCGTGGTAAATTGCCTCTCTAAACCCTTCATTAGTAAATTGTCCATAATCCTTGCAGGATTCTATTACAGGACGTGTTGCTTTGAAAACTTCATTCAAGTCATCATCTAACACAGATTACTTTTAAGAGAATTGACTCTTAATCTGTCAGCAGTATTTTGTGGGGCAGCTTCTGTACAAAAATAATTATATGGCATTTGCAATCCTAATACTGTAGCTTTGTGCACATGCAGGGAAATGACATCTTTTTTGGAGGGGGAAACTTAGATTAATGTTCTTTATATGGGGGGGATGTAATTCATAGCAGCTGAAAGCTCAGCAAATGGGACCTGTGATATCTTCAAAGTGTCGTGGCATAAACTTGAGAACCTAGAGCCAATCTAATCAGAAATAAGGAGGTGCTAGCTCATGAAAGCTTGTGCCATAATACATATGTGCTATTTTTTCTGAAGTGTCACAGGGCTTTCTCATAAATGTGGTGCTTTATCCTGGAGTCCAGTAAACCCTGATTAAGGTCAGTGTCATACTGCTCCTTAGGGGCCTTAAAATTACTTGCATTACTTTACATCTAATGTCCAATGTACTTTACATCTAATTACTAATACACCTAAATTCATGCATGAAATGGATGTGGGGAACATGGTCACAAACCCATAGCTATGGAGCCTGGAAAGTTGAGAATGGACTGTTCTATAGAATTGCCAGTCTCACAAGGTTTGTAGCGCACATTGATACTTTAAATTATAGTCCATCTTTGTAGCGGATCAAATGGCAACAAAAGGAGAGAGACTCAAACACAGGCGTGGAACACCAGCTAGTTAAACTTGCTACCTCAGTTCTCCACATTGCAGATGTAGGTGTTCTCAGCGTGCCATGGTACTGCTTGCAAGGCCAGGGAGGTTGGGCAGACTGAAGTTGCTGAAATTGTACATAAGTAACATGCATATTTTTTGAATTTCTCCTGGGAATGTAGTGCTGGAAATTGCCAGATTGACAGCTCTGGAGACTGAAGTCCTCTCTTCACCGCCACAGCAGGCTGAGCCCAAGCATCATCAGTGCAAGTCTTCGTCACCAGTGTATTGCTGCCTTGCATGTGAAAGGCCATATTGTGGGGTGAAAGGGGGAGTTCAGTCTCCAAAGCCCACTTGGTCATTTGGCCTATCCACTACAGGGTGAATTCACAAACATGGACCTTGAATGCAAATGCTTCAGAACTGGACTGAAGCCACGCAAAAAGATCTTCAAGCAACCACAAGCTGGTAACACCTTCCAATCTCCTGCTCAGTTGCCCAGCTGTCCTTGGATTTAATTTTCCATCATATGAGTGCATAATAACCTATTGATTTATCACCAACAGTGGATTCACTTTTTAAAATAACCAAATTCAAGGATTTAGAAGAATGTAGGACCTCTCCTGGACCCTATTGATTTAGGGGGAAATCTCAGGCACTGAAAAAAAGCAGGCCTATGAGAAGATCTGGATTTTGTAGTCTAGTCCTGTATTTTAAAAAAACAACTTGAAACCACACTTGCTGGGAGATAATGCCTCCACAGAAGGCAGCTCGAGTCACCAGTCCAATTTCACATTGAGAGTGAACACAAAGGTAGTTTTAGTCTTCCAGGCAGCTACATATATTAATATGCTACAGACTTCTTGAATTGGAGAGTACATTTTTCAATGCAGACAGTTGCTACTGCATAAAACTTGCAAGGATTTAAGGTGCTTCAGAATGCATACTGTATTGCCATTAGATAACTGACATTTACATAGATGCAACCCTGTTTCAGATTGGCACTGAGCCTGATCCAGTAGAAAGATGCTTAGCAGGTTGCTACAGGCTACCTCTTTGAACAATTTCAATAGCTAGCACACCTCTTGATGCAACTAGCTGTCCTTGCAAAAGAAGATAGAAAATCAGGAAGCCCCAAATCTTAACATGAAATTGGCATCTTACTGCCCCCTCTAAGATTTGTGGTGGTCAATCATACATGGTATTCTTTCAGAGACGAATAAACCATGATGTGAGGAAGAGACTGTCTTGACTCGGGCATGATTTTATACCAGCAAGTTCCTACGTTGGCTACCAGAAGTTAGCTGTAGAAACATCAGCTGCTCTTGGTTTAATTGCAGGGGGCACAGCTGGAGCACTGCACAGTCTCAAACCAGCTGCCACCCATAATGTGTGCTCGTGAGAGAGAGAACCATGCGCTGGATCAGATTTAAACTAAATTGGTTTCCCTTGCTACAATTTAGCTCAATTGCTACCCATGACCAGGCACTGCCCTGTGCTTTGGGGCCTTGACAATTAGCAGCTATATAGTATAACTTGACTGGCCATGAAAGTTGAGAAGTACATTAAACATTAGGGGAAGTTGCCAGTGAAAAAGCATGACTCATGAACCTCTTCAGGTAGCTTTTACCATAAAGCTTGCACATCCACTGACAAACCCCCTTTTAGTGTTGGCAGTGTAGAAATGCATATGGCCGTGGGCTTTTTTATAACCACACAGCTTCAGCTCTTGACTCGCACAGAATATACCATTGGAACACTGCTTTCTGAGCATAGCAACTTTATGAGCCCTTTCCTCAGAAAAGGGGTTGTGCACTTGGCTGATGAGCCCCATTGACCTCCATGGAATATAGGACTTTTCCAAAAACTTGGAAAAACACTGATGAGTGCGTGATTTTGCTACTTGTGGCAATATAAGTGCTGTGGGTTAATGAGAGTTGAATGTACATCTGAAGGTGCTAGTGTAATAATAAAAGGAGGTTGCTACTCCTTTTACAATAATGGCAGTGAAGGAACAAGAGAGAGGACCCTTGGATCTTGCTTGGCTGTTTCCTGATATGTGAAGCAATGGACAATTGCAAGCTGCTAGGTCCAAGAAGCCTTTATGTGATCCAGTGAAATAATTGCATCTAAGCAACTGTTGTAAATGCTCATTCAGTGCATTTGCCCATTTTAAATGGGTGTGCCCTTCTGTGTGCTGTATTCCTGTAAAACAAATACTTAGAGCGGATGTCAGAAATGTTACCACCAATAAAACTAGATTCTGGTATATTGCCTCTCACACTTCTCGTGAAGTTTTATATTTTAGCCTGGCTATATCTCGCTGAATTATTTACAGTGTGCTTTTTAGAGTCAGGCCTACGTATTCCAGTATGAATAATCCTGCCTTAAAGATAGGACAGGAGAAACTTTAGTTGTGTGCCTGAGAGTATGCCCCGCTGAACTGTAAACTAGCGTAGGATTGTGCTATGAAATTCGTAAAAGTAGGGAAGAACTCTCAGAACATTAGGTAGAAAGATATTTGTTGTGACTGAAATATATGAGACTTGAACTGCATGTGGCAAAACACAAAATGTTTATTTTTAAAAAAATACTTGTTCCAGTTGGAAACAAAATATCTTGTAACAGCCTGCATATTTCACCAACACTCGTTCAAAGGTCATGGTGATCAACAAAATGGCAAACAAATTATCAGTGCAGAGGATAGCATTTCTTCACTCTCTCTCACTGTCTTTCGCCATCTCTTTGCTTACTGCTCCTTTTTATTTTCCAAAGTTTATGTGATTGAGGAAGCCGCTTGTTGGCTCAAAGAATAGGATAACCTTTCAGTGCAAATCTTGATCCTTTCTCTGCACTGTACATTGACTCCTGAGAACTTTATCTAAAGAGGAAACATGATAATACTTTGCACTTACTAGAATTGAAAGCTACCCCCTGAAATTTTCTCCCTTTTTTTTTTTTTTTTTTTTTTGCAAAGGGAAGGTGTAGTTTTTAACTGTTTTGAGGAGTTAGAACTAACTGTAGTACGCTGCTTTTCTGTATTTTATCAGAATTTCCAACCATGGGTTCCAGACCGATAGACCCAAAGGAACTCCTAAAAGGACTGGACTGTTTCCTTGGCAAAGATGGAGAAGTCAAAACACACGAAGGAATCACTAAAATTTTCAAGTAGGTTTTTAGTGTTAAGGGTATAATTGAAAGGCTTTGTTGTGACTCCCAAAAAGTGATGGCTTACTAAAACCTTACATTGTACATGCGATGTAAGAACCCTCCAGCATCGTTTACAGCTGTTCAGCTATGGCAGGCATCCCCAAATTCGGCCCTCCAGATGTTTTGGGACTACAACTCCCATCATCCCTAGCTAACAGGACCAGTGGTCAGGGATGCTGGGAATTGTAGTCTCAAAACATCTGGAGGGCCGAGGTTGAGGAAGCCTGACCTTGCATATAATTCTGAAAACTAGGTCAGCTTACTGGGTGAGCTGGAATTGACAGAATTTGAATTCCCTTCTCTCAACAAATGTATCTGTGTGTGTGTGTCACCCCACCCCACTGAAAAAGCTCCCTTTTCCTTACAAATATTATCTGGTGACTATACACAGTCTCATCTTCTGGATGGCCTGCTTGCAGTAGTAGTTAATATTTCCCTTTTCTCCAATTTTAGCTTGATGAAAGATGCCCAGAAGATGGTCAGTCGCTGCATCTATCTGAACATCTTGTTGCAGACCAGAACACAAGACATACTCTCAAAGTAAGGACTTTTGAATGTTTCTGATGAATAGAATTTGGTCTGCTAGTTCCAGAGGCAGAGGGGGAGTTCTGTGGATTAAGTCTAGGAAAGGGGCTGGGGTGGACTTCTGACTCATGTCGCCACCTCCAGCAAAAGGAATATGCTTCCTATAATTACGGATGCCACTGAATTGTCCAGTCACTTACTTTACTTTATGCATTTTGCGTTTTATGTTTTAACCCATCTTGTGGTCTCGATGATACATGAATATTAATAAATAAATAAATGAATAATACTTAAATAAATAATAATAGTTAGCAGGGTGAGCCCACTTGCATTCAGGATATTCATATCCTTGCTTTGCTTTTGCCTGTCTATCCGCCTCCCAGTTAGTCTTACAAATCCTAGGCACTCATTGCAACCATCTAGGAACGGTGAGCAAAGCACTTATCTCAACAAAGTGTGTTCCCCTCTTTCTGCAGATTCATCAAGGTTGGTGGCTACAAGCTTCTCAACACATGGCTGACCAGCTCAAAAGCAGCGAATAACGTGCCCCTCCTGCAGCAGATCCTGCTCACCCTGCAGCACTTGCCCCTTACTGTGGATCATCTGAAACAAGTTAGTCAATGAAACAGCTTTGGGCGTTGCTCTTCACCCTTGCCCTTGGGTTTCAGGGCAGCAGAAATGCCCCGCGGCAAGGTGGGTGGGCCAGGAGGGCTTGGCCTTTTTCTCGGGATCACACGCCTTTCCCAAAGCCAGTACCCCCCTGGGTGCAGTAGTACAGCAACCTGACACGCATTGTTTCAGCCTGGCGTTTTGCTTGATGTGATAACCTCCTATTTTTTCCTCCCACCCTTTCTATTTCAGAACAATACTGCCAAGCTGGTCAAGCAGCTCAGCAAGACAAGTGAGGATGAAGGTAAAAACCTGTTCTCTGGACACTTGCAGAATTCTGATACATGCCCTCTTACATTGGTTATCACTATATTCCAGCAGCTCATTCGGTGCTTATGTCTCTCTCCTTTCCAGAGCTTCGCAGACTGGCTTCAATACTGGTCAGCGACTGGATGGGTGTCATCCGTTCCCAGAGTAGCTCCCAGCCTACAGGTGAGTGACACTGTGCTGTCTCACAGATGCTTAGGTTAAGTTTGTAATAGCCAAATCTGGCTGTTAACCGGTCTCATCCTTCAGAACTAAGAACAAGTGTTTCCCAAACTCTGGTCTCCAGCTGTTTTTCGACTACAACTCCCATCATTCCTAGCTAACAGGACCAGTGGTCAGGGATGATGGAAATTGTAGTCTGATTGGTATATTCACACATTGTTTAAAGCAAGTACAAACAGTGATGAAATCTCCCTTAGCTACATCCCGAAAGGGCCAGGAAGTATTCCGACTTTAACCCTTCTGACCTTCTTCTTCCTTGCAGAGCGAGACAAGAAAAAGCGGAAGGAGGAGAATAAAGGCAAAACACCCGTTCAGGAGAAGCCTCAGGAGGCCAAATCGGAAGCCAAGCCTGAAGAGACCCCTGAGAAGAAGAAAGAAAAGCCAAAATCTCTCCGCACTACAGCGCCCAGCCATGCTAAGTTCCGTTCCACCGGTAAGTGCTGGCATAGTCATGCTTAATGAGCCGGTATGGTGTAGCATTTAAGAGTTGGACTAGGACCCTGGGAGAGCAGAGTTCAAATCCCAACTCAACTGTGGAGCTCACGAGGTCACCTTGGGCCAGTCGCAGCCTCTCAGCTTAGCCCCACCCCACCAAGTTGTTGTGAGGATAAAATGGGGGGGATGGGACTGTGTATGCCACTCTGAGCTCCTTGGGAGGAAAGGTGGGATATAAATGTTGCCAACAGAATAATATGTTTTTGAGCAAAAATACATTCTAGAAACAGCTGGCTTGCAGTCTTGGATAGGCAGGCAGACCATACTTGCAGAGCCTATTCTGGGATCATTGCAGTTGTTGTTGGAAACAGTTATGACACTGAATGTTGCCGTTAACTTGCAGGGCTGGAAATGGAGACTCCATCCCTCCTTCCCGTAAAGAAAACTGTCAGTGCTGCAGTAACCTCGGACAAATACAACTTGAAGCCAATACCACTGAAGAGACAGAAGTAAGTCCTTGGATCCTAATGATGACTTCATCTCATTGCTCTTAACTACTTGTCGATTGGAGGATCTCAACCCAGCATTGGGAAAGCTTCAATTATTCCTGTTGAGCCAGCACTTTCCTAAGTTGTAACATCAACTCTTTCAGGAGGCGGGAGTTGATGGTGACAGGAGGCCTTTTGTTTGTTATCTGTAGTGAATGAGGTGTAATAGTTGGAGAAAGTGGCTCAAGCCATTCTGTTCACAGATTTTTAGATATGCTGGAGCAAGGAAGTTTGGAATAGTGATAGAGCAGAATCTGGATTCACACCGCCCTGGGATCTTCTGATAAAAGGGCGGGCTGTAAATTGGATAAATAACAACAGCAGGGACGTTCGTTAGACAAATAAAGTATGCAATTTGTGTCTCCAAGACAATTTGTCTACTACAAGAGATATAAACTCCCGAAACTGATGGCGACCTTCCTAGTGCCCCCTCCGCTTTTAACTGACTGGGTGCCTTTTCCTCCTGCAGCACATCTACTCCCATTGCAGAAAACCCACCTGCTGAGAAGAAATACAAGCCCCTCAATACCACCCCTAACACTACCAAAGAGATTAAAGTCAAGATCATCCCCGCACAACGTAAGCTTCTCTAATTTTTGGTTTTTTTAATGGTTGTTCACACCATTGTGTCTTAACCAGAAGGCTTGTCCCAGGTAGAAAATGACCTATGGAGTAACATGCACTATAGAGGCAGCTAGAATACCAGTGCTCTGACCTTCCTCATGAGTGAGGCTGTTGTGGCTGCTGAATGTTTCCGAGGCTGCAGACCTTGCCATGCTTGCTTGGGAGTAGCTCCCACTGAGCACGGTGGGGCATCTTATGACTAAACACGTTCAGGATTGCACTGATGAGGGACTTTGATTACAGAATTGCTTTCAACCCGTTTTTCTCCATTCATCCCCAGCTATGGAAGGTTTGGGCTTTTTGGATGCCCTAAACTCTGCCCCTGTCCCAGGGATCAAGATCAAGAAGAAAAAGAAAGTTTTGTCTCCAACTGCAGCAAAGGTGAGAGGAACCTGTTACCGTATTTTTCGCCCCATAGGGCGCACCAGCCCATAGGGCGCACCTAGGTTTTTTTTGGGGGGGGGAATAAAGAAAAAAAATATATTTCCCCCCCAGGCGTGGGGCTGGGGATAGAGGCAGCTCTGTGCAAGCCGTGGGAGGGCTCCCGCGGCTTGTGCAGAGCTACCCGAAGCCCGAGCGCGACTGCTCAGCGCGCCCAGGCTTTGGGGTGCAGGCAGCTCTCCGCAAGCCGTGGGAGCCCGGCGGGAACTCCCGCAGGCTCCCAAGGCTTGCAGATAGCTTCCTGAAGCCTGGAGAGCGAGAGGGGTCGGTACGCACCAACCCCTCGCGCTCTCCAGGCTTCAGCGAAAGCTTGCATTCGCCCCATAGGATGCACACACATTTCCCCTTCATTTTTGGAGGGGGAAAAGTGCGTCCTATAGGGCGAAAAATACGGTAATAATAGGAATTGTTGTTGTTGTTGTTGTTATTATTTATACTTTGCCCCTCTGGCTGGGTTTCCCCAGCCACTCTGGGCAGCTCGCAACAGAATGTTAAAAATGCGATCAAACATTAAAAATTGCCTTCAGATGTCTTCTAAAAGTCAGATAGTTGTTTATCTTCTTGACATCTGGTGGGAGGGCGTTCCACAGGGCAGGCACCACCACCAAGAAGGCCCTCTGCCTGGTTCCCTGTAGCTTCACTTCTCATAGTGAGGGAACTGCCAGAAGGCCCTCAGAGCTGGACCTCAGTGTCCGGGCTGAACGATGGGGGTGGATGTATCAATATGTATATTGATGGCCAAAGCCCCAACTTCCCCTACTGTTAACACCGTATCTGGCAATTAACTAAATAGAGGCTTGGGGTGTGTTTCTCAATATTTAGTCAAGCCCCTTTGAAGGGAAGCCAGTTCAAGAAATGAGTGCCACCAAGCCAGCTTCACCAGAGCTTACCCCTGCATCAGAGCCAATGGATGTGGATAGACCTGGCACCCCTGTACCAGCTGTGGAGGTTCCTGAGCCAATGGAGACAAGTAAGGAATAGCAGGAGGGAAGGCACATCCAGTGTAACTGTGTGTGTGTGTGTGTGTGTGTGTACATGGAGCAGAGCTTTTTACCCGATGCTGTGCTGAGTTTGTCCAGGAAGCCTTCACCATCTTAAAATTGCTGTCTCAAAGCAAGATCCTGAGCAGCTAGTGCATGGTGTCTAAAAGGCAACTGGCCTAAGGGATATACATGGCATCTGAAATAGGTTAGGGGTTTCCCCGCCTCTTCTGGCCCTGGTATTCGAAGCATGCGATGTCTCTGCAGCTCTGTTGCTGAGCTTGCATGTGGTTGTGCTTTTGCAGACTCCTCTGAGCAGGGCGGATTGCTGGATTCCAAACCAGCCGATAGCCCGGTCGACTCAACCCAGCTGACAAAAAAGGGCAAGAAGAAGAAGACTGTGAGCTGGCCTGAGGAAAGCAAGCTGCGGGAATACTTCTACTTCGAACTGGATGAGACAGAGCGAGGTGAGTGCCCTGTTCTGGAGAGAAGGTTTGTGCAAATAAAAGGAATTGGAATGCGAAAACACACATGCCCAGCCCAGGGATTCCTTCTGCAGTGGCTAAGTCACAAGGCCACGTGGCAGTGAAAACAATTATTCTGGGCACTCTTGGCTTTCCATCAAGGGTTTCTTGGCAAGCAGTAATGTCCAGGGTTTATTTCTTTGTTGAATTAAAGCTTTGATATTCAGGAACCGAGGGTCCTCTAGGCTAACATATATTGTTTGCTGTGGGAAAATTTGGAGTTTCTCTGTTGTGCTGATCAACAGAAAGGATTGGTTTTCCCTTCCAAGAAGTTGGTGTGGGAAGGCAATAATGAACCTTCAGTGTTGGCACATGAGGGTCCCTCGCTGCATTGTTAAAAAGAGTTTTGCCAGATCTTATTTTAGGCTTACCTGTCTGCTCTGTCCTCATAGTCAATGTGAACAAAATCAAAGACTTTGGCGAAGCTGCCAAGCGAGAGATGCTGAAGGATCGCGAGGCCTTTGAGACAGCACGTCGGCTCAGTCACGATGCCATGGAGGAGAAGATCCCCTGGGTCTACCCGAAGCCCATTGACTTGCCTTCTCCACTGGTTCAGCCAGGAAGCGGGAGCCAGGAGAAGTTCACCCAGGCTGAGCGCGAGAAAGGCATTTTGCAGGAAATCTTTCTCTCCAAAGAGAGGTAGGTGAACTCCAGCAAATGTGCTGACGTGTGCATTTTGAGCACTTGAGACCCTGGGTTAGATCCCTGTCATCTTCAGCAGATGACTTCCAGACTGAGTATAGGACACAGAAACTAGATGGAATACGGACCTGGCTATAGGCAATGCTCTAATTTTAACAAGGATTCAGTCATGTATCCTGGAAGACAGCAGTGGAGAAACAGTATTAGTTACATGGCTGGGAGAGGCAATTCCATGGCTAGTCCCATTTTGGGGAGGACCTGGGCAGTTATAGCTCTATCTTCCTGTTTCTTCTGCAGTATCTGGGCTCTCAGCAGTTCTCACCGTGCTTGTCCTCTCAAGTGTTCCTATGTGGCAGGAGAAGGACCTTTATTACGTAGGGCACTAGGTGAACTGTCCAGAGTTGGCCTGGGATTTCAAGTTTCTTGGCTTCCCTAGTTTCAGGCCTAGCAGTCTTAACTTAGGCAAGGCATTATCCGTCTCTTCTCTCCCTGTATTAATTCCAGACTAATATTCTCTCTCCCTAGTGTTCCCGACAGTCCTCATGAGCCTGACCCAGAGTCCTATGAGCCAGTGCCGCCCAAGCTCATTCCTCTGGATGAGGTAAGTGCTTTCCCACTTTGGTGGTTTCCAATCCCCTGCTTTGAGCAGAGGAAAGCAAAAAAATAAAAAATAGTGGCTACAACAGGAGTGGGAGTGATAGCCAGGGCTAGTCTTGCAACTGTATAGCAGGCCAATATTTTATTTTTTTAAGAGCAGGACACTTGATAGACGAAAACTCCTAGGTTCCCTGTGCTAAGAAAGCATATTTAAGAAAGGGACCCAGAAACCCTGTGCTCTTTGCCTATTCCCTGCTGCCTCTCTGTGTTGGTTTCCCTTCTGTGTAGTGGAAACAAGCTGGAGAAGGGGAATATTTTGGATCAGAAGCACAGCCGATCTCCCCTGGGCTAGAACAGCCGGCTCTCCCACCCACCCACCCGCCCCGTCTCCCTGGGTTTGAGCAGCCAGCTCCCCAGCAGCCAGCCTCTGCTGACTCCTTCTGTCTCCTCTGTCACCTCTCTCAGGAATGCTCCATGGATGAGGCTACCTACGAGGAAAGACTCGACCCAACCACCGCCTCGCAGTCTCCGGACGGAGCTGGGGGCTCGAAGCTGCCCCCGGTCCTGGCCAACCTCATGGGCAGCATGGGGGCAGGCAAGAACCCGCAGGGCCCCAACCCCAACTCCTCCATCAACGTGCAAGAGATCCTCACCTCCATCATGGTAACTAGAACTGCCACATTGCAGTCTTTTGAGCAGCAGAAAACCAATCGCAGCTGACCTGGCCTGCCATGCCTCCTTCTCACCTGCCTCCTTTGCAGTTGAGAAGCCGAATTTCTGCTGAACCAAACTATTGGCCCCATCTTACCGACACCTTCAAATAGGTGCAGAGACCAGAATCCTCCTCCTCCTCCTCTTCCCCTCATGAAATAAAAAGAGCAGGAGACTATCCCACACTGCGCCAGGAAGAGAAGCTGATAAATGGGATTCTGTCCTGAAACCCATTTTCTGGTGCCTTCCTTTGCGCAAAACCGGAGTAGCTCCCCTGCCCCAGCTAAGCAGAGGTGTACGCAGGACCAGTGTAGCCAGTGGGGACAGGGTAGGCCAAGGCTGCAGACCTCCTTTCTAATCCCACGGCTTATCTTCCCCATTTATTGCAGGGTGGCTCCAACAATCACAAAACAGAAGAGCTGCTGAAGCAGCCAGATTACTCCGACAAAATCAAGCACCTGCTGGGCAACTTGCAGGGTCAGCCTGGACCGGGTCCTTCAGGAGGTGAGTTGGTTTCATTTGGCACCTTAATCCCTCTGCCCCCCCCCCCATGTTGAATAGGCCTTGCTGTTTCCATCAGCTGTCCTCCCAGATATGCCACACAGTTCCTCCCCATGAGTCTGTTGCATAAGGCGCCATAGGGCTGCTTCCCCCCACTTTAAAATGGAGGCCTAAGTAAAGGACTAGGTGGCCCATCCAAGGGAGGATATGCCAAAGCTTTGTGTTTGAATTCCAGGCTTACAGTGGCTAATGGGTTGGGTTTAGCCTGGTGGTTATGTAGAGCTGTTTCTCTCTCTCCTTTCTTTTTTCTTTCATATACAGCTGTTTTTCTCTGTTTCTCCTTTGCGATGGGACTCCATTAACAGTTCCTTTCTTCTCCTTATAGTTCCTCATGGACTGCTTGGAACAGGGCCCGGTCCAGTCCCCAACGGATTTCCCCCGGGGCCCAAAAACATGCAGCTCTTCCCTCCTGTAGTTCCAGGACCTATGCCTGGTAAGTAGAGATGGGTTCTTCCTAAAAAGAAAAGGCCAGCATGGAATCATAGAATCAAAAAGCTGAAAGAGGGAGCATGAGAATCATCTAGTCCAACCCCCTGCAATGCAGGAATCTTTCACCCTATGCGGGGCATGAAACCACAACCCTGAGCTCAAGAGACCTATGCTCTTACCAACCGATTTATCCCTGGGATTGGGGGGGGGGGCATGGCATATTCCTGAAAAACCATTGTCAGTTGTGTTTCTTTGGCTAAACCCAAAGCCACGCTCATTGTGCTCCCCTTCTGTCTTCCCCAGGACCCCACGGGGGCCCAGTTGGTCCTAACATGCCTCCCGGCCCTGGCGTGCCCAGCGGGCCTCGAATGATGGGCCCACCCCCTCCCCAGTGTAATGATGGCTACTGGGACCCTCCCGACGGTGGCATGCGAGGTGGGCCCCACGGAGGCATGAGAGGCGGCAGCCCTGGTCCGGGCCCCGGCCCTGGCCCTTTTCACCGTGGGCGAGGTGGCAGAGGCGGAGAGCCCCCTTTCCGTGGACGAGGCGGCAGGCGGAACGGCGGCCCCCCTAATGGTAGGGGTGGCCCTCCCAACAACAGCATGGGCGGTGGCCACGGAGGGGGACACGGCGGTGGCGGCCACGGAGGGGGACACGGCGGCGGCCATGGAGGCCACGGAGGAGGGGGCCACCCCGGGGACCACGGCAGGGGCCACCCCGGGGACCACGGCCGGGGACATCCTGGCGGTCATCCAGGGGACCACGGCAGGGGACATCCAGGTGGTCATCCAGGGGACCACGGCCGGGGATATCCAGGGGACCACGGCAGAGGTCACCCAGGGGACCACGGCAGGGGACATCCAGGGGACCACGGCAGAGGTCACCCAGGGGACCACGGCTGGGGGCACGGAGGCGGCCATGGTGGAGGTAAATACTGGAAATTTTCAGTGCTCTTCCCTTGATGGGGTGGGATTTGCAGGGGTGTCAGCCCAGCATGCAGAGTTTCACAGGGAGGCAAACAGCTGCTAAAAGAAAAAGCAAAGGGGAACAGAAATGTTTGAATACAGATTGTCCGTTCCCTTTGTCTTTGGCCCCTAAAGCAGATTCTTCAGATGTTAACAATGCTGCCCAGGGCATAGGATAGTCTCTTCCCATTTCCTTTTAATAGCATGCTTTCTTTTGAAACTTGTTTTGCCATCTTTGGTTCTTTGTGATTCATCGCATTCTGGGTCTGCGGGTGGCTGGGATGTAACAGCATGTTGAGGGAAGGGATGCATGCAAAGTTGACCGAACTTCCTTCCCGCCTTGGCTGACTGCCCTGTCCCTTCCCTTTCGCCTCGCAGACAGGTCGGAGCGCCCCGTTTGCCGTCACTTCACGATGAAAGGCAGCTGCAGGTACGAGAACAAGTGTGCCTTCTACCACCCTGGCGTCAACGGGCCGCCCTTGCCCTAGTCGCAGGGCCCCGGGCCCCTCTCCCCAGCTCTTCTTAACTGTGGTATCAGCACACATTCCCATGTCACGGACTCTGGGACTTGAACCCCCAACTCTCGAGACTCATGCTGCATCCACCTTTTTATGGCTTCTGTGAGGCCCTTTAAACATTTGGGGCAAGGGGGAGCCGACCACTCTCCCCTCCGCTGCTACTGATATGAACTGCCGCATCCCCCCCAAAAAAAGAGGAAACCACTGGGAGGCACCTTCTCCGTCTGGTCTGTGGAGCGATGAGGCCACCCATGGCTGTGAAAGCACAAGAGACGTCAGGGCAGGATTTTTGGAAAAGCCGACCGACCTGTGTAAATATCCCTGTGAAAACCAGCAGAGGAGGAGGAGGCACTGCAGCTCTGAAAGGCCTGCCTGGGCTGGGCTGTATTCCACCACAGGTTCCCAGGAACCAGGCCTGCACTGAGGACTTTGCTTTTTCTCCGGCAGAACAGCTGGCCTCCGCAGGCAAACGCTGCCCTTTTAGGAACACGCCTGTGAGGCAGGGCGAGAAGCAGCCGCTTCTGGATTATTCTGCGGTCGACGAATCTACAGCCCTGGTTGAAGGCCCACTGGGAGATGGGGGAATTCCAGTAGTTGCCACTTGCACAATACCTTACTGGTGCCCCAGCCTCTCCCCTTTGTCGCATCTTCCCCACTGGCTGCAGAGATGCGGTTTCCTTTGGTGCTATGTTCTGTCATTAGGGGAAACCTACAAACTGTTTTCTATGAAAACTCAACCTTGACTCTAATGATTTAGGGGGGTAATTTTTGTTTTCCTGATTTATGTTGTTGGTTGTGGGTTTCTTTTTTTCCTTTTCTTTTTTTTAAGTGTCTCACAAGGTGTGGGCTTGTCATTACATCTTATGTCTCCCGTTCTCCTTGAAGTGGGTGCAGTCGCCCCTCTCCTGAGGGCAAGGAAATGTCTCTTCTCTCTAAGTTTTGTATATTTTGTACATTAGTAATAAACATGGTGGGAAAATGAGTTATCTAATTTAACCCTTGTCGTCTGGGCTGGCTGTTCTTTTCCCTGGCAAATAAATTACATTGTATTCATTGAACCAGGGCTCGAGGGGGAAAGGGGTGAATGGTTTTGAATTATTACCTGAACCAGCCAATTCTCCAGCATAGGCTGGCTTGAGCGGTGCTCTCATGGAACCATCTGTCCAAGAGTGTTTCTTTTGCAAAAGAAAACGGTAAAAGAGTTTTGCTCCACAAACCAGAGACACATCTCCAGCCTTCAGTTCCTGCAAGCTCACATGCAGCAGATGAAAGCGATTACATTCTCTAGGAACTATCTAGTTCCCCAGCAAAGTTCTCTGAACCTTCTGTCTGTCCCAAATCTACTACCAGTGAGCCTAGTTTCTAGTACAGTGGTACCATGGTTTAGAACCATAATCGGTTCCGGAAGTCCGTTCATAAACCAAAACAGGTTGTAACCCAAGGCGTGCTTTCACCAATGGGGCCTCAAAAAAAAAAATATTGTTCATAACCCAAAAAAATTGAGTTGTAATCGAGAAAAAGTTTGCAAACTGGGACACACACTTCCGGGTTTGGCGTGTTTGTAATCTAAAACTTATACAAACCAGACTGTTTGCAAACCAAGGTACCACTGTATTACAAGAAGAAAAACTTATCTCAATCCACTTTCTTCATACAACTCTGTCAAATGTCCCTGCTTGCTTTCTCCTGCTGTTAGTGAACTCCAGCCATTATTTTTCCACACAGAGTTGCTTCATTTAGGTTGCCCCTTTTTTGCACGTTTGCTAAAACAAGTTTGTTGTCGAGTGCTGAGAATTTTTAAAGTTTTCTCTGAAGTTGAGCCAGGCAAGTTGGGGTTGACTCCCCTTTGCCACATAGGCCAGGCACCATCATGCAACTTGGCACCCGTCATCCTTGGCTGCTGTTGGGAGTCTCAACAACATGTAGAGAGGCCCACAGGTTTCCCCAGACGTGCTGTAGTTCGAAGAGACCCACTGTCTTGGCCTGTGTGTCGTCTTCACTAAACATGTTTCTCTGAAGCCTTTCTAATCTTCTTATAATTTCCACATCCATTTCTTAACGTGCAGGCATTATCTTCCATAATGCCAATGCCAATGTCAAGGATAATAATAATAATAAATTTTATTTATATCCCGCCCTTCCCAGCCAAAGCCGGGCTCAGGGCGGCTAACAACAATAAAATAGTACAACATTCTAAAAGCATTTCATTATAAAATTAATTCAACTCAAATTGATGGCAACCATTAGGCTAAAGTTCTGTGAAGATTGCCAAAGGAGGGAGTCAGGCTGTGCCCTGGTGGAACAGCTCTGTCTTGGAGGCCCTGCGGAAAGATGTCAAGTCCCACAGGGCCCTAGTCTCTTGTGACAGAGTGTTCCACCAGATTGGGGGCACAGCCGAAAAAGCCCTGGCTCTAGTTGAGGCCAGCCTAACCTCTCTGTGGCCTGGGACCTTCAGGATGTGATCTGGGCATAGTTAGCTTGTTTTCTGAAAGGGGCTTTCCCATTTCACACCATACATGAAACTGCAGAGCTACAAAACTAGGTATGTCATCAATTTTGGGGTAATATCTACCGAGGGCAGGACATGACATTGTAAAGCCACTGACATTAACATCACCCTTGGTGGAAGCAGTTTAACTCAGGTAGCTATACAGAGGTGGCTTTTCTTCCTCCAAAGTTCTGCAGGATAGGTTGAACGCAACAAATAATGTGTAGTTTAAACAGTGATGGGTATGTGGCAGTCGGTCCTATGGCTCCTAAGCTACTTATAGCAGACTTTCAGAATATATAGGTGTGAATTTAAGGTGGCAGTAATGCTCTACCACTGGCAAAAGAATGGCTGGCTCTACCCTTAAGCAGAGGGAGAGCCCTGGCTCAGGTATTAGTTTTGACAGAGCTGATCTGATCTGCATCTCAGAAGCTAGCCACTGCAGTGGTGATGTTGTCCCATTGCCAATAGGATTCAGGTGCCAGCCTTAGTTGGCTTTGGTACTTAGAACAAGGAGGGCATTGTCTTGTCCACTGCCTCAGGCAGCAAGATGTCTTGACCTGGGCAAAATGGGCGAGCTGTTCTCAACAGGCAGGTAGCACCATGATGGCTCAGAAATAAACCTAGGCCTGGATCAATTGGAAGACCTACAGTGCTGCTCTACTAAAGCGGAGCCAGTCTGGTCCTGTAAATTTACCAGTCCGAGATCCTGTACGAGTTCTTCTGGAGAAAGATGTTAACAACAAAGGAGTAATTTGTTGTAGGATCATGAATGGTTCATGGCGCCTTCCCTACATATTACAGTTGCCAGCTGGAGGCTGCTAGGAATAGTTTGTTGTGAGGCAGCTGCAATGGGCATGGATGGGGAAACTTGGTGCTTTAGAGCTCTTGGGACTCCCATCAGCTGGAGCAAACAAGGTCCATGTTCAGGGGTGGTGAGAGATATAGTCCAGCGACATCTTTGCTGGATGGTTGCTGTTGGCTCATCATGGATGGAACCATCTTTTTCTTTTTAAAAACCACTTCTGTTGCTTATCATCTAGGGTAGAACCTACAGGAAAATCCTACATGATACCCTCCTTATATTGTTGGAACTCAGCTTTCCTAAGTCCCAGCCAACATGGCCAATGGTCTGGGATGATCAAGCAACATCTGAAGGGCACTACATTGGTAACCCCTGCATTATGGCATCATGAGGTCATTTCGATTTCAAGTCTTCAGTTCACTTTTGAGGGCTGGATTCAACCAACTAGCTCCACCAATGGGAGCCCACAGAAGACATTCAACTGCTGCAACAGGGCTCCCCTCCCTGTGCATTTGCTTGTGCTTGGGTGGGGGGGGGGGAGGGAGTGGGGAGAACCTCTGGAACAGAGTGCAAGAGAAAGAGGGGAGATCCTTTCATCAGGCAAAGATAAACAATACACATAGCCTTGAATTCCTCCCTCAGTTTCATAATTTAAGCCATGGGTAGGCAACCTAAGGCCTGGGGGCCAGATCCAGCCCAATCGCCTTCTCAATCTGGCCTGCAGACAGTCCAAGAATCAGCGTGTTTTTACCTGAGTAGAATGTGTCCTTTTATTTAAAATGCATCTCTGGGTTATTTGTGGGGCCTGCCTGGTGTTTTTACATGAGTAGAATGTGTACTTTTATTTCAAATGCATCTCTGGGTTATTTTTGGGGCATAGGAATTCGTTCTTTTCTCTCTTTTTTTCAAAATATAGTCCAGCCCCCCACAAGGTCTGAGGGACAGTGGACCGGACCCCTGCTGAAAAAGTTTGCTGACCCCTGATTTAAGCTTTCTCTATAATTTGCTTAATTTGTTGATATCATTTGTATGCCTAAATTGTTTCTAGAGCTAATTTTATCCATTTCTCATTGAACTGTTAAAATGAGGAAGCTGTACCACAGCCTAGAGCTTATGTTGATCCATTTTTGTCACCTGATGAAGAAAAAAAAATTACTGGAAAACTTGCCTGTGTCCACTTCGTTCTGCACAATATAGTTTGCTGCTCTCAGAGAAGGGTGGAGAATGTTGATAGGGTGCCTCTTGCCAGACAAATACCCCAAATTGTGGCTAGAAAGTGGAAGTGGTGGGGAATATGGAAGGCATGCAAACTTTGCCCTAGACAGCATCTTAGGTTAAGCAATGCAAATTTAGCCTGGCTTCTAAACAGTCATTGTGCTGGCGTTAATTACAAGGCACCACGAGTAAATTAAAACAAAAACAAAAACGGAATGTTCACAGCAACGGAATGCAGGTTTCATGTGACTGAATCATTCGCTTGAAAGACTTTAGAGACTGAGACAAGCAGCAAAGGCTTGAAAAAGCTGTCCTTTGAGCAGACGTCACTCCGAGAGTTGTTTAGTTGCAAACCAGAGATTCCTTTCCGATACACTTTTGAGCCTGATTCGAGTCCCGCAGGAACAATGGCTTATAAGGCAAATGGGACTTCAAATGCAGTACCTTTCTTTGCCTGGATTCTAGGTACATTCTAATCGTTTAGCAGCTTGCTAGGATAAGGGATGCGGGTGGCGTTGTGGGTTAAACCACAGAGCCTAGGACTTGCCAATCAGAAGGTCAGAGGTTCAAATCCCCGCGACGGGGTGAGCTCCTGTTGCTCGGTCCCTGCGCCTGCCAACCTATCAGTTCGAAAGCACATCAAAGTGCAAGTAGATAAATAGGTACCGCTCCAGCAGGAAGGTAAACGGCATTTCCGTGCGCTGCTCTGGTTTGCCAGAAGCGGCTTAGGCATGCTGGCCACATGACCCAGAAGCTGTATGCCAGCTCCCTCAGCCAAGGGAGGGAGGTGAGCGCCGCAACCCCAGAGTCGGTCATGACTGGACCTAATGGTCAGGGCTCCCCTTTACCTTTAGGATAAGTCAAAGCTAAATGCTCTAACAAGAGAGAGCACTAACCTTGCACCAAGGGTGCAACATGAGGACAGCGGGTCTTGTGGCTTCAAGAATAGTGTGAAAGAAGAGGAGAATTTTAGCAGGTAGCACTTGTTCATCCCAGGACATCGCCAAACTGCACCTGACAACGTTCCCTCTTCTACACAGCCACGAAAAGGTTCCACAGCCCAACCCTTCTTTTCCATCTTGGTACCTGCGCCAGAGTTTACACAAGGTTGTTGTCACAAGGTTTGGAGCATGTCCCTGCATGAGAGTTTTCTAGCCATTTCAGACATATCCATGCTTGGTGCTCAGAATCATGGAATCCTAGAGTTGGAAGAGACCACAAGGGCCATCGAGTCCAACCCCCTGCCAAGCAGGAAACACCATCAGAGCACTCCTGACATATGGTTGTCAAGCCTCTGCTTAAAGACCTCCAAAGAAGGAGACTCCACCACTCTCCTTGGCAGCAAATTCCACTGTCGAATCAGCCACCTGTCGTCTGATAGGATTAGCTTCCTGCATATTTCACCTTTTCCTTAGGGTCAGGCACATGTAGCCATTGCAAAGTAGCATTTTCCTGCTTTCTTCCACGGAAGCCGAGCGCATTAAGTAGGCCTTTCCAGCTCTATTGTCACGAGGAAGAGGCCTTTTGTATTTTTAACCACAGAGACAACCCTAATAAGCAAAAGCGCTCGGGACAATTCGTGTATTTGGTAACTTGCCGAGTCGATGCTTGTTGGAGACATTTGTGCTTATGATCTATTCGTTTCCTATTACATATAATGTTTCTGAAACGTGTAACAAGCCTCTTAATTCTGTGTTATCCTTTTATCTCCAAGTTAAATAAAGCAGTGTTGTTGGGTTTTTTTAAATCTAGATTGAAATTTTATTGCAACGAGCAATTCAGCAGTAAGGACACCTTAGCAACTGCATGGCAACTACACTGAAACATTTGTGTGTGCATGGACTAAACAAGCCGAGATTCCTGCATTGCAGTGGGTTGGAGTAGATGACCCTTGGGGTCCCTTTTAACTCTGCAATTCTATAATTCATAGTGACTGGGAGGAAAGAAGCAGATGGGGCTATTTGCCTGTTTCAGGTGTCTTTTTTGTGGGTGTATCACCCCATCCTGTTACCTGTGTAGATTAGGGCTAGTGCACTTAAACAGCTACTATTCTTTCACTCCAATTTCTGTTTTCCTTTTCCAGGCTCACTTCCTATAAGCAGGAGAAGACACCCTAGTTGTGTAAAAGTTTGGTTAGGAAATAAAGCTTTTGAATTTTTATTTCTGGCCTGGTTATTTCTCCCTTGCAAGGAAAGATGCCCCCCCCACCTCAGGACTGTGTGTCTCAGGAGGCACATCTGCAAACAAGAAGAAGCTGTCATGGGTACCCCACACATATCAACCAGTTGGCTACTGGCTACAACAGAATGCTTGCTTCAAGCTAAATTTCGGGGGGGGGGGCTGCGGGCACATGGGCACCACATTGGCAATTCTAGCGCTAGGAAGCAGGACTTTAAAACTGCTTAGAGGCCTCCCCCTCAAAGGAGGCAGTGATGGTGGGGAAACACTTGCCTGCATCCTTCCCCTTGCTCAACCAACTTGTTCCCACCTTCTCACTCCCTATTCTCCAGAATTAAAAAAAAACTAAACCTGTTTGCAATTGCATAGATAGCTCTGTTGGCTAGAGCATGGTGCTGATAACACCAAGGTCTCAGGTTTTATTCCCGATGGGACAGCTGCATATTCCTGCACTGAAGGGGGTTGGACTAGATGACCGCCGGGGTCCCTTCCAACTCTATGATTCTAAGATGAATATGATTCTCCTTAAACAAAAGATTTTAAGTAACCAAAATGGTCAAAGGTCTGGAAACGATGCCTTATGAGGAACGGCTAAGGGAGCTGGGCATGTTTAGCCTGGAGAAGAGGAGGTTAAGGGGTGATATGATAGCCATGTTCAAATATATAAAAGGATGTCATATGGAGGAGGAAGAAAGGTTGTTTTCTGCTGCTCCAGAGAAGCGGACATGGAGCAATGGATCCAAACTACAAGAAAGAAGATTCCACCCAAACATTAGGAAGAACTTCCTGACAGTAAGAGCTGTTCGACAGTGGAATTTGCTGCCAAGGAGTGTGGTGGAGTCTCCTTCTTTGGAGGTCTTTAAGCAGAGGCTTGACAACCATATGTCAGGAGTGCTCTGATGGTGTTACCTGCTTGGCAGGGGGTTGGACTCGATGGCCCTTGTGGTCTATTCCAACTCTATGATTCTATGATTCTAAGTATATAAACAGGGGAAAGATACTGAGTAGGCTCTTCTATGAACTGTATTAAATGTATGAAGTATGTTGCCTTCTTCCTTGTTTATTCAGAGATATTGATAATCTGGATTACAGTGGTGCCTCGCAAGACGAAATTAATCCTTTCCGGGAGTCTCTTCGTCTAGCGATTTTTTCGTCTTGCGAAGCAACCCTATTAGCGGCTTAGCGCTATTAGCGGTTTAGCGGCTTAGCAGCTATTAAAGGCTTAGCGGCTAAAAGGCTATTAGCAGTTTAGCGGCTTAGAAAAAGGGGGGGGGAGCGAAAAAAAATCGCAACACTCGCAAGACGTTTTAGTCTTGCGAAGCAAGCCCATAGGGAAATTCGTCTTGCGAAGCAGCTCAAAAACGGAAAACCCTTTCGTCTAGCGGGGCACCACTGTATAATCTTAGTGACTCATTATCTGATGCATTGTTGTAAACTGTGCAATTGTGTTTCTATCTCAGCGCTTGTTTTTCAATGTGCTGACATATATGTTAGTTTCTGATCTTATCACTGTGCAACTGCTTGGAGTCACAGGACTCTGTTTACATTCCAGAGACCTTCCAGGCTTTGGGAAGTCTCACAGGAAAGGAGACGGGATGTGACGTTAGTGGTTTCCGGTTTCCTTTGTTCCAGTTGCTCTCTGCTTTCATAGAGAGAGGCTGTCTTTTCTGCCTGCGTAGCTTAGAAATAAAACTCTTTACAATGTAGCCCAAACCTCTTGTCTCTTTCCTGTGCTGGAAACTCTGCTGAAGAATGTGCCTGAGGCCTTATCAAAGGCTCAGGTCGTTAAACACGTCGGGAGGCGATTCCGAAAGACTCGGGGGAAGAAAATGAGCTTTATCAGCTTGGCCGAGCGGAGATCCCGACAATGTATACACATCTATATAAATAAATAAATACAAAGGCAGCCCATCAGGCAAAAGCATCCTTCACATTTTAATTTATTAAGTGTACGGTGGGAGGAAAAAGAGAGAGGAGATCTGTAAAAATGACACCAAAATGCCAGCCTCGGGGGTGGGGACAACAAGCCGCTGGGAGACACACCCTCACTTTTCCAACCCCCTCAAACACTTTTAACTTTCCTGCTGGTGGTGGAGAGGGAAGAGTAAGATGGAGTTGTTAGCTCCTTCTAAATGCCCACTCTTTCCTCCCTCAGCTGTCAGATAAATAGAGTCCGGCTTCTCAAGGAAAGGGAGGAGCTTCTGCTAGGAAAACCAAGGGAGGCGGGGCCTATACCAAAGAGGCCCCGCCTCTTTCATCCTCATTCCCGGGGCCGATTGACCAGGACTTCGCCCAAGGCCTCCAGCACTTCACGCTTGTAATCTTCGAAGTCGCCATCTATCTGGTTGACAGAGCGGTCTTCCACCACCCAAAGGTGGCAGTTGGTCTCTGTGATAAGCCGGGCGTCGTGGCTCACAACGATCACGGCTGGAAGGGGGAAGAGGCGGGACAGTTAGCGCATCCTGCTCTAAGAAAATCCCACTTGCTGCAAAAAAAAGCCCACAAAAAAAAACCTTCCACAGGACAATATACCGCACTTTTCCATGTATAAGACAAGGGTTTTTTACTCTAAAATAACGTTAAAAAACGGGGGTTGTCATATATATACGGATAGTGCATAGGGAAAACTGGTGATCAGTTGCAGCCATGAGCAGGAGCTTGTCAGCAGCGATTTGGTGGGTGATTGGTGGCTACGGCAAGGGCTGCTGGATTGGCTGCTGCTGCAGTAATTGGGCACGTGATTGGTTGCTGCGGCAAGGGCTGCTGTGGATTGGCTGCCCCTGTGTCAATTGGGCGTGCAATTGCCGGCTGCTGTTGGCTTCTGCGACACGAGCGATTGTCAGCGTTTCTCAGTCGGGTTAGTGATTTTCGGCATTCCCCCCAAATTTTCTTAAATCTGAGTCCACAAAAATTTATACACGGGGGCGTCTTATACACGGAAAAATACGGTATGTGCCTCTTCTGGTCTCAAGAGCTACCAGAGAGAAGTAGTGGCTGGGAACACGAGCAGGGCATGTCCGTATTTGTACTGTATTTGTTAGAAAATGTATTTTACTAAGAATGAATTGTAAGGGTGAAAAGAAAACCAATGTAATGTAATGTAATGTACCGTATTTATTTTTTGCTCTATAAGACTCACTTTTTCCCTCCTAAAAAGTAAGGGGAAATGTGTGTGCATCTTATGGAGCGAATGCAGGCTGTGCAGCTATCACAGAAGCCAGAACAGCAAGAGGGATTGCTGCTTTCACTGCACAGCGATCCCTCTTGCTGTTCTGGCTTCTGAGATTCAGAATATTTTTTTTCTTGTTTTCCTCCTCCAAAAACTAGGTGCGTCTTGTGGTCTGGTGCGTCTTATAGAGCGAAAATACGGTATTGTAATGTAACAGCCGCAAAATCTTGTGACTCCAATTAAGGTCACAGAAATGCAGAATCATGTTCACATGTGGTGGGGGTGAAAATACGTACAATTTTTTTGGCAAAGGGTGTTTAAGGAAATAACAGAAATCACTGTGTTAAAGCTGACCAAAAGTCCAGGGGTAGCATTATTATCAATTTACAATGGGATGGAAGGTTCGCAGCCTATGAAGGACTTGCTCACAAATTTATTAACAGCTGCCAGAATTATTATAGCTAGGAAGTGGAAGGGGAAAGGCGAATACAAAATGGGAGAATGGTATAAAGAGGTGTGGGATATAGCTATTAACAATAAATTAACATGTGCCATTAAGGTAAGACGGGGAATATGCAGGAGAAATGATTTTGAGGAGATAAGGAGGGTTGTTTGCAGAAATTGTACTGTTAAAACGGAAAGGGGTCAAACCATCGCTAGAGGTGTTGACATTTTGGGAGGTTGGATAGTTACAATGGAATGGTCTCGGTGGTGGGGTGCACAGTTTAATTCTTATTCATTTATGATTATTACTTTGTCAAAAAAGGAAGAATGTATGAAATGCAAATAAATGTATAAAACATAAATAAATAAATAAATAAACCACAAAAAAAGAAACATGGAATCATTGCTGTGTCAATTTGTTAACTCCCTTTAAAAGTGTGTGTGTGTCTGTTAGATAGGAAGGGTTGGAGCTGGCGGGTGGCTGGCTGTTTCACTAAATATGGAAATTTCAAGCAGACACTATATCTGGAGGAGTTTGTGAGGACAGACAAGCTATGGACTGCTAACTTACGCACTGCTATAAAGGAGTTTTGAAAGCAAGAAGCAAGAAGACCCTCTCTTGGGCTCAAGGGAGAGAGAAACACATTGTACTGGACTTAATATGCATATATAATACTGCTTGTTAATATTTGCCATCCTGCAGGTGAAGAGTCATCTTCAAAATCTTGTGTGTGAGGTCTACTTCATCACTAGGGCTTCGAGAGTGAAACCGCTGCATGTAGGAAATGTAGGAAACATAATCCATATGCTCTTTAGAACGGCCTTCCCCAACCCGGTGCTCTCCAGATATTCCACTCACCCCCTTTATACTCGTTGATGGCATCGCCCAAGGCATCGATTGACTCAATATCCAGGTTATTCGTCGGTTCATCCTGGGGGGGCGGGGCAAGAAAGTCACAAAAAGAGGATGAAGTACATGGGGTTGGGGACAGTCTCCTGGATTTGCATTGCTCTACAGTGGTGGTGGGTTGGGCTTGAAGAAGGATGATTCAGCTCCCAGGTTCTGCAGCAGCAGAAATCTTTGTAGTACAGTGGTACCTCAGGTTACATACGCTTCAGGTTACAGACTCCGCTAACCCAGACATAGTACCTCGGGTTAAGAACTTTGCTTCAGCATGAGAAGAGAAATCGTGCAGCGGTGGTGCGGCGGCAGCAGGAGGCCCCATTAGCTAAAGTGGTGCTTCAGGTTAAGAACAGTTTCAGTTTAAGAACGGACCTCCGGAACAAATTAAGTACGTAACCAGAGGTACCACTGTACTGAGCAGATTTCAGAAAGCAGCCTTGCTGGGTTTCCAAGCATTAGCAACCGGAAGCCAATGCAGACTCAGGAAGGTGCTTTTAGGACCTTTAAGCTTAGCTCAGGATCTGAATCAGAGGGTAGCTGAATGGGGTTGTGAAGAAAAGAGCAACAGAATTGTAAGAAGGTGCACCAAGGATTACCATCCTTTCATTAAGAGACAGGGAAAGAAAGGAAAGAAAGAAAGAAAGAAAGAAAGAAAGAAAGAAAGAAAGGAAGGAAGGAAGGAAGGGGGAGAGAGAGAGAGAGAGAGAGAGAGAGAGAGAGAGAGAGAGGCAGGCAGGCAGGCCCTTATTGTGGGCCTCTCTGCTTAAAAGATCCAACAGTCTGGGACCGCTCCAATACACTCTGCTGGCGGTAAAGGTAAAGGGATCCCTGACCATTAGGTCTAGTCGTGACCGCTCATCTCGCTTTATTGGCCGAGGGAGCCGGCGTACCGCTTCCGGGTCATGTGACCAGCATGACTAAGCCACTTCTGGCGAACCAGAGCAGCGCACGGAAACGCCGTTTACCTTCCCACCAGAGCGGTACCTATTTATCTACTTGTACTTTGACGTGCTTTCGAACTGCTAGGTTGGCAGGAGCAAGGACCGAGCAACGGGAGCTCACCCCGTCGCGGGGATTCGAACCGCCGACCTACTGATCGGCAAATCCTAGGCTCTGTGGTTTAACCCACAGCGCCACCTGCGTCCCTGCTGCTGGCGGTAAGGTAAGCGCAATTCCTCGGGGAACAATCCCAGCGCTCCAAAATTGATTAGGTTCAAATTTATTGCTATTTTGTAGTAATGAGATAACTATCACAATCTTACAAGATATATCCCATACGCCGCCCCTCCTCTTCAAGGAGTTATGTGTGGGACTCACCAAAATGAGGACATCTGGTTCCCTACAAGCAAGTTCGGCAAAGACCACACGGGCTTTCTGTCCCCCTAGAAGGAAGTACAAAACAGAAGAGAGACAATGAATGTGAGATGCCCCCTCTATGCATAGGAACCCAAGAAGAGCCCATCTTGTCCAACACCCTGTTCTCACAGGAGCCAGGGAAGTGTGCAAGCAGGATCAGAGCACAGGAGCAATATCCCCGCTTGCGGCTGGTTTTCCGAGGCACACAATCAATCAATAAAATTATTATTAATTATTATTATTATTATTATTATTATTATTATTATTATTATTATAGTACCTCGGGTTACAAACTTAACTCATTCCGAAGGTCTGTTCTTAACCTGAAACTGTTCTTAACCTGAAGCACCACTTTAGCTAATGGGGCCTCCTGCCGCTGCGTGATTTTCATTCTCATCTTGAGGTAAAGTTCTCAACCCAAGGTACTATTTCCGGGTTAGCGGAGTCTGTAACCCGAAGTGTTTGTCACCCGAGGTACCACTATATTACTACTTTATATACCAGAGAGCTTGCAGATCTGGATGGTGTGGGCGTGGCTCTCCAGGCCAAACCGCCCCAGGCATTTGCGGGCGTCCTGGTAGGGCAGGTTGAAGTTGCGCTGCAGGTACTCTGTCGCCGTTTCCTGCATATTCAGCTGGTCGGCATACTGCTGGTTGAAGAACCCGATTTTCTGCCAGGAGAGAAAAGGACAGGTCTTTCATCCTGCGAAAGGAAATGTCACCAGTCCGGTTGTGGCACCTGCCCTGTCAAACACCCTCCCATCCGATGTCAAGGAAATAAACAACTATCTGACGTTTAGAAGACACCTGAAGGCAGCCCAGTTTAGAGAAGTTTTTTTTAAAAAGCTTATGTTTTCATGTGTTTTTTATATTCTGTTGGGAGCCACCCAGCCAGATGGGCGGCGTATAAATAAGATTTATTATTACTACTACTACTACTACCCCCCCACTCCCTTAACCAGTTTAAAAGGGTGCCACACTGAGGTGCTGTGTGAGCTTAGTCAAATGTTCCTGGCACCTCTGGACAGAGAAGAGGGACTTTACATCTTTCCACAGGGCCTGCAAGATGGAGCTATTCCACCAGGCCTCCGGCCAGGGCACAGCCTGACCCCGCTCTCTCCTTCTGTAATCCTCATAGAGCTCTAGCCCAATAGTTGCCATTAATTTGATTCTGAATTGATTATAGAATGTATTTTAATTAATCGACTGTGTGATTTTATGTACACTGTGCTCTTCTTACTTCTTGTTAGCCGCTCTGAGCCCAGCTTCGGCTGGGGAGGGCGGGATATATATAAATAAAAATTATTATTATTATTATTATTAGAGATCCCATTGCTCTGCACTGATTTTTCAGCAGACCACTCTTAGAGACATGCATCCATTATGCGTACATCCCCTGTACTGCATCCCACATCCAGTGGACCTGTGGGCACACTATAGCAGAGTTTCAGCAAGAAGTGAGGCTGCGTAGGGTATGTGGTGCCACGAAAGCTTCTTTATTTACAGCAAATCAAAACAACAAAGATGGCGAGTGTGAGCAGTGTCTCACATGTCTTCTCTGTCCGAGAGCAGAGAACAAAGAGCAGAAAACTAAAGCACAAAGAACAGAAGTTCAGTGTCTGTTCCATACACTTCCAGCAGTATGGGATGTAAATAAGGATCACATGATCCAGAGAGAATGAAATCCCAACATCCATGAGCTTCTTGGAGGAGAGGCGGGGAACTAATGTAATAGCCACCATAAAAGAAAGAAATCAATCCAGGGCCTCTCACATTCAACCCCAGGACCCTCTGCCTCCCAGCAGCTTCTTAAAAGCAAAGGTAGGAAGCCCCTCTGCCATATGTGTCTTATCAGTGAAGACATAAACTATTTGTTTTCAGGGTTTCTTGGAACAAACCAGCTTCCAGCAGGACAAAGATCCTTCCATTTGGAGTCACAGGCTTGCTTTGCTATTCCAGATGTGAACCGCCCCCCACCCCGCTCAAAATGTCATTCCACATTCTCTGCTGTATTGTCATGGGTACTTACCAGCCTGTGGTTTTTCCTCATTTCCCCTCTTGTCTGGAAGGATGAAAACAGAAACAAAAACAAGTTAAGAGTGTAGTCCAAGGGTCTAATGACCTTCCCTGAGATACAACCAGATTAAAGAAGAAGTGCTTGAAAAGATCGGATTCAGCAGGGCCAAAATGCCAGATGCAAGGATGTTGCTTGCCCAGAGCTGGAAAGATGATAAGATACCTATGAGGGCGGACCGGCAGATGAAACTATTGGACTATTGCAATGATACACAGACTTTGGATATAATTGTGGACTGTAAACTGGATAGACTTATAATCTGCAGTTGGAAACAGTTTTTAATGAAACCACAGAGGGGAGGAGGGAAGTCCTAGGATTCGAAAGAATATTTGTGTTAAATTTTAATATTTGCAAGAATATTTTTCTGTGAATGAACTTGTGAAACCAAAACACACACACACACATCCATCCATCAAAAGGCAGCCTATTTTGAGATCGTGCAAAATGGAAAGGAATGATTTTGTGCCTGGTTAAGGTGCAAGAGGGACATTTGAGCAGCAGTGATAAGAGTTTGCCTGGATTTGACCAACACCTACTGTTCTTTTGGTCCCCGTATGGGCCACCAAAACACACACACACACACACACACACACACACACCCTACTGTTCTTTTGAATAAAATTTTGGGTTGGACAGCTGTTGGGATAGACATTTGCTCAGCAGTTAGACTCCTGAGGTCTAGGCCTACAAACCTGGGTAGGAGAGCGCTTGCTGGCTGCAAAGCAGAGCCTAAGGTTAAATGCTCTTGCAGAAAGCCCCAGATTCACAGGTGGTGAGCAGGCATAGACAACAGCTGGGCCTGCTCCAGCCAGACCGCCCTGTTCCCACCACAGGGCCAAGAAACACCACTTGCCCTGCAGGAAGGAACCCCTGATGCCAGCTCCTGTTTCAGCAGGGACGGTTGTTTTGTGAGCACATGGTCCTTGGTGTACCTGTAGCGCTTTTATAAATGTCGCTTAAAGGATTCTATAGTGAAAAAGTGGTATATGAGTCTACTAAATAAACACATGTGGCCATCCACAGATGGGTCCTGCAGCTCACCCCTTGCTCCCCAGCAATGGCGTGGCCCAATTCATGCACCAAGGAGGCTGAATTTGAGGACACACCTAGAGCAGCCCTTCTCGCTGCCTGAGCAGAAATGGGAAACACATTCCTGTCGGGATCAGCAAAGGCATGTGGTGGAGGGAAGACAAGCAGAAAAGGGAGGCCATCTCAGGAACAAAGCGGGATGATTAAAAAAAATGAGGAAGACCAAAAAGGGGGAAGAGGGGCAGGGCTCACTTACCGGCGTCAATTTACCCGTTAACAGCAACAGCAGTGTACTTTTCCCGACGCCGTTGGGACCCACAATACAGACTGAGGGGAGAGAGAAAGGCGAGTCAACTTTGAGATTTCTGCGTGGCAGGAGATGCTTTCAGGAGATCCTCCCCGTGGCCTGCTCTCAAGAGCTGAGGCAGACAGACTTGAGAAGGGAACTCTCAGGCAAAAATAAAACACTGGAAGACGTTAAAACGGGGATAAGCAAGTGTGGCTGCAGATGTTGCCAGACTCCCAACCTTTAGCTGTGACGGACTGGGCTGATGGGAGATGGAGTCCAACAACATCTGGAAGGAACTATGACAGTTTCAAAGGACATCATGTAGCCAGCATGCTGAGGTGGATTTCTCGTTCAGTAAACAAGAGGCAAACATGAAGGCATACAAGTTTCTTAGAAGGACTTATTCACCGCCCCCGACCCCAAAATCACTTACTTCGAGATTCCATGTCAATCCCAAAGTCCAAATTTTTGAAAAGAGGCTTCTGCCCCTCATAACAGAAGTCCACACCTACAGGAGGGAAAAAGGAGGAGAGTGGGCTACAGGGAAGGAAATATCTCTAACTGTAATCACTCTGTTGTAGGAAACCATGGAAATAAATTTTGTGTGTGTGCTATTCTCAATAAATATATTAATCTATTATTATTTCAAAGCTAGTTTTGAAGAAGCAATAGAATAAAATAGAATCTGGAGATCTCAACAACAGTGTTTCTTTCACAATTAAATGTGTGTTTTTGGTCTTAGTGGCTCAGTGGCCCGTTCTAGCTACGCAAGCCTGTTTTGCTTTCGTTATAGTACAAGTCTATTTCATATATGCTCTTATGTGCTATTGCTGTAATATATTGTTGTAGCTATCAGTTACAATGATTGCCTCTTAAAACTACAGTGGTACCTTGGTTCTCAAAGGGCTTAGTTGTGAACAAATCGGCTCCAGAACACAACAAAGCCAGAAGTGTTCCGGTTTGTGAATGGTTTTCAGAAGCTGAACGTCCAATGCAGCTTTCGATTGAGTGCAGAAAGCTCCTGCAGCCAACTGGAAGCCGCACCTTGGTTTTTGAATGGTGTCGGGAGTCGAACGGACACCTGGAACTGATTAAGTTCAAGAACCAAGGTACCACTGTATCTGGAAGCAAAACACTCTTGTTACAAGAACTTAGCTGTTTTCATAGTATGTTGAGACACATGTAAAAGGTTATTCTTAAATGTTGTAGTAATACTAATATTAATAGTATATTAATATCTATCTATCTATCTATCTATCTATCTATCTATCTATCTAATGGGATGCGGGTGGCGCTGTGGTCTAAACCACTGAGCCTAGGGCTTGCCAATCAGAAGGTCGGCGGTTAGAATCCCCGCGACGGGGTGAGCTTGGTCCCAGTTCCTGCCAACCTAGCAGTTCAAAAGTACGTCAAAGTGCAAGTACAGTAGATAAATAGGTACTGCTCTGGCGGGAAGGTAAACGGCGTTTCCGTGCGCTGCTCTGGTTCGCCAGAAGCCGCTTAGTCTGTCTGTCTGTCTGTCTGTCTATCTATCTATCTATCTATCTACAGTATCTAATAGATGCCATTGATTTCTTTTCTTTGTGATTTTCCGAAGTCACCCAGACAAGTGCCTGCCCCTGCTCCCCAATGGACTCTCCCTTGCTAAGGCAGACTCGTACCGTGCAAGCCCAGAATGGGTGGGCTGAGGGGTGGCGGGTTTGGAAAGGTGAATTTAACAGTGTACTCCTTTGGCCGCTTCAGCAGCTCGGGCACCTCGCTCGCCTCTTCATCCGGGTTCTTCTTACGGCACTTCTGCTGCTTTCGGGTCAGGGCCTCCTTGGTCTGCTTTTCCTGGGGACGGCCGGAGGGAGACAGGTTAACAGGGACACCAATCATTGGCAAGCATTCCTGACAGGCCCAATCTAGGCCACTATGCTCTTTTAATCTCAGCAGACAGAAACCCTTAATTAAAAAGCGCAATACTGTGAACATTTTTTCCAGAAGGGCCACTGAGACTAGAACCAACCCCCCTCCTGCCAACTTCCACCACTGGAGTAAAAGTCCTGCCCTAATATCCGAGGCCACGCAGAAGGCTACGGGTGCAATCTTATCCCAACGGTTGTGCTTATTTAATCCCTGTAAAGAACACTGCAGCGTGTAGTTCCACAGATTAACTCATGGAAAAGCTCTGCCGCCTTGGACTGCCCTGCTCCCAGGAAGCCCATAGAGAAGAACCTAACTGCGCAACTTTTTTTTGGGGGGGGGGGAGGTTCCTCCCGAGTTTGTGGGTCCCATGACAGAATACAAAGTGGAAACCTACTGCCTGCTTTGTTGACTTCCCTCCGGCCTTGAGGTCTTTCAGTTTCTTCTCTTGCTTCTCGTACTGTTTCAGAAGCTCCTTCTGTTTCTGCTGATACATCTTCTTGAAAGTCACTGGGGTGGGGGTTGAAGAGAGATGCAGAGGGGTGAAGAGAACTCTTAAGAACTGCGTTGGTTGGATCAATCAGCCTGGATCTGCCTTCTCCTGTCGTTGGACAACAACTCTCATCAGACCCGGTCAGCACCCAATAGCCAGGGATGATGGGAGTTGTAGTTCAACATCATCTTGGAGATCTGAACTATCTTGGTCTTGAATTGGGAGTCTGGCTGTGGCCAGCAAAGACCTTGAGGCAATGGCTCTCCACCATGTTATGAAGCACTCCCCGGAGACCAGATTTTTGCTATCGCAGATAGCACCTGAGCCTGGAAGTTCTATTTTGGCCCTGAAAAAGCCTCCATGGCAGGAACCCAGGCGTGCGTGTTTAAGCCATCTTAGTTGCAATATCTCCTGGGGGCGGGGAAAGGGTGTCAGGATTGCAAGTGAGAACTGCAGGCTGGCATACACACTTCATAACACCCAACACTTGCAGGCACCGGTATTTGCTAATCAGAAGTATATTGCTACCAGATGAGGAAGTTGCCCTTTTAGCTGTTATGGTTGATAAGGACGCATGGACTAAATCTTCCAAGAAGAGGTTTGTGAATGACAGCTGTTGTTTTGTTGTTTAGTCATGTCCGACTCTTCGTGACCCCATGCACCAGAGCACGCCAGGCACTCCTGTCTTCTGAATGACAGGTGACAGAGATTCAAATCTCCCTGGAAATGCACCCTGGGAAAGTCAGGCATGGGGAAATCTAGTTTTGCAGATACCCCTAGACTATGGGAAGTGGATTCCAATGCGATCCAAGTCACTGCTTGTCGCTGAGCAGGGACTTGTTTTGCTCCAGGGCTCAAAACCAGCAGCAACCTGGTTTCAGTTGCTCAATCCTAGAAAATACATTTGCACATTTGATAAAGCTGTCTTGCTATCTCAGCACTTGCATATTGGCAAAAAAAAAAAAAAAAAAAGGCCGGAGACACGTTAGGCTGAAACGCCCCGGAGTTTTAAGATTCCACCCAATCTACTGAATCCCTAATCTTGAGCCCTCATGTTTCCAGAGGGGTGCCCCCAATTTCTCCTCCCATATTTAAAGGGGGGGGAGAGAGAATGGAGCCACCTCTGCTTAGAGTTGGGCAGGGAGTTCAAATTCTGACACCTCATTACCGGACAAGCATTGCATAGATTTATTTAGTTATTCTGGTGGCAAAACTGAACTTTTCTGTCCCGCTATTCCCCATTCTCCCCCTTCCTTGAATTTAAATTGATTTGATCAGAAGCCAGAGCAAAGGGAGGAAGAGAAAAGGGAAAGAAATTGCCAAGGAGTCAGTTCTGAACTTTGCAGCAAATGGCCGTATGTTGGCTGAGTTAAGTCGTGAGGTAAAATATATTGAACAGAGAGAGGGAGAATGAGTTTTGCCAAACATCAGCATTCCACGTTCTGTGTGAAAACGCCCATTTCCCTTGCCCTGGCGGAAGGCGTGGGAATTGAGAGGCAGCCCTGAAATCTTTTGCTACAGTCATGCGACTCCACTCCCAAGTCACAAGATCTGTGTCCTTGCTCCGGTTTGAACAAAGGAAGGAGCTTATGTTGTATCTGCAACAAATGGAGGCCTCTGGAGACATGGCTCTGGGGTAAGGAGATTTCACAGTCTAACAACATTCCACCCAGAAGGGGTGTTTCGGGCCTCTAAGTTTCTGAAGTACCGCATGCTGAACTGGAAGTAGACCTCAATCCCAGAGACTCAGACAGGGTTTAAATGTACAACAGTAACAGCAGCCTGGGCACCTGGTGAAAAACAGGTCCTCTCCATTGAGAGCACCCCTTGAGCTCAGTTCAATTCACACGACTTCTAGATTCAACCCTCTGATTCTAACTGTATTTGAAAGGTGGCCTTTTAGGTCATTCGATACTTTACACTCTTTAAAACAACAACAACCCGTACAACACAAAAACGTGCAGGGAAAAGACTGCCCCGACAAGTCTAAAACCCTTCAAATTCCAAGGAATTTTGAAGCTGAAATGTCTGAAGTCAAAATCCAATTTCTCTAACTTGACGGATTTCTAGATTGGGGCGGGGGGGAGCTTCAGTTCTACAAAGTGACCTTATGACCAATATAGAATGAGTTTTCCTTGATGTTTCACTTCCTTAACTCCCCCCGCAAAGAAACCCAACAGCACCCTAGAAACGGCATTGCCCCCCCCCAACAAAAAAACCTGCCTAGTCCTTCCAATGTGGAGGCTTCTGTGGGCACTTACTGTAGTTTCCCCGGTAGTAGAAAAGCTTCTGCATGTCCAGATGGATGATATCCGTACACACGTCGTCCAGGAAACCCTGGTCGTGAGAGACAATAAGGAGGGTCTTCTTCCATGTTTGGAGGTAGCTGTAAGAGAGTGTGGAGCAATTGTTAGACAGTGAAAGAGAGAGGACTGGTTTTCACAGTTTTAACCCATCACCAGATGCTTTTAAAAAAGATTATAGGGGGCACATTTTCCTTGTAATGGAAACACCCTGCTTTGGAAGCAGTGGCCCAGAGCGCCTTCCATCAGCCCAGCTACGCCCCTACCTGGACAGGGGTAGCCTAACTACTGTTGTCTATGCTCTGCTAACCTCAAGGTTAGATTACTGCAATGCGTTATATGTAGGGCTGCCTCTGAAGACGGTTTGAGGATATTACACCAATCCTGGTCCAACTGCACTGGCTACCAATTAGTTTCCGGGCCCAATTCAAAGTGCTGGTTTTGACCTATAAAGCCTTAAGCAGCTCAGGACTGCAATACCTCAAGGACTGCCTCTTCCCATATGAACCTACCCGGACCCTGAGATCATCTTCTGAGGCCCTCCTTCGTGTGCCTCCTCCTCAAGAGGTCCGGAGGGTGGCAACACGAGAACAGGGCCTTCTCTGCAGTGGCTCCCTGTCTGTGGAATGCTCTCCCTAAGGAAGTTCGCCTGGCGCCTTCATTATACACCTTTAGGCGCCAGGCAAAAAAGTTTCTTTTTAACTAGGCCTTTGGTTGATCTGATTGGCATCCTATACTCTTTTAAAATGTGGCTCTATTTTAGGGGGGAGTGTTGTTGGGTTGTTTTTATTTTGATTATATATATTGTGGTTTTTATGTCGATCTTTTCTGTGAACCACCCTGAGACTTCCGGGTGTAGGGCGGTATATAAATTCAAACAACAACCACAGTTTCTATGTACAGATGTTCAGGGTTAGGCCGTCTTTTGAAATCAGGAACAGAGGCAAAAGGAGAAGGATGTAGGTAAGGTGGCAATTAGGAGGGGCTGAGAAATTAACAGAGAGGGAAGAATTCTGCCCCAAGGAAAGCCTGTGACCTGTGTAAAATAAAACAGGGCCTTTTCAGTAGTGGCTCCCTGGTTGTTGAATGCCCTCTTAAGCACGGCCTGCTGGATTAGGCCAATGGCCCATCTAGTCCAGCATCTCCCAGTGGATACCCAGATGCCTCTGGGAAACCAGTGAGCCGAACAGGAATATAAGGACTCTCTCCCCTCCTGTCGTTTCCAGCAACAGGTATTCAGAAGCAATGATGCTTTCTCTAGTCAGGTGTGCCCATCTCCATCACTAACTTTGAGGGATTAAAAAATATTCCTGTTGGCCCAGGCATTTGGTGGTTGAAGAATACTGTTCCTGGCTGCCCCGAGATCAACACAGACACATGTTTTAATCGCAAGTGCTTTTAGATGTTTTTCATTGCAGTTGGGTTTTAGAACATTTTAATCCGTTTTAAAATGTTTTTACAAACACAGCAAACTGTGCATCTGTTCTCAGCCCTGGGCTCTTTGGGGAAGAAGGGTGAGATGTAAATTCAATAAATCAGTAACTAAAGCTCGCATGCATCTTATTATTTCCCGCTAGGGCCTGTGTCTGCATGTCATAAACAATGCACAGCGTGGTTGGTTTTCCTTGGTTGACGCTGGTGGTTTTAAACTTTTATTGCAAATCGTCCAGAGGGTGGTGTCCATCGGGCAAGTAGGAGGGTGGAAATGAATGATATTAAGGTAAAGAAAAAAGGCTAGCACCAAAACTGCTTTGCCCACACTTCCCTGGAAAGCAGGCATGTTCACCCACGCAGGTGCCCACCCCCCCCAGCTGCCGAGCTGTTATGCCCCCAAACGCACGGAGGCAGCAACTTACTTGTTAAGCCAGATGACGGCGTTGAGATCCAAGTGGTTGGTGGGCTCATCGAGCATCAGCAGTGTGGGCTCCATAAACAGCGCTCTGAAAGGAGAGAACGGTTAGCAATGACAAAAGGGTCAAAGCTTGGTGGCAGAGCATCTACTTTGAAGGCCAAAGATCCTGGGTTCGACCCCCAGCATCTCCAAATGGGGCAGGGAGAAAACTGTGCCTGAAACTCTGGAGAGCTGATGCTGTCAGAGTAGACAATACTGAGCGAGACGGTTTGACTGTTCCTACACAAGAAACAGACAGCATCTTAAAAAGCAGAGATATCACTTTGCCAACAAAGGTCCGTATAGTTAAAGCTATGGTTTTCCCAGTAGTGATGTATGGAAGTGAGAGCTGGACCATAAAGAAGGCTGATCACCGAAGAATTGATGCTTTTGAATTATGGTGCTGGAGGAGATCAAACCTATCCATTCTGAAGGAAATCAGCCCTGAGTGCTCACTGGAAGGACAGATCTTGAAGCTGAGGCTCCAATACTTTGGCCACCTCATGAGAAGAGAAGACTCCCTGGAAAAGACCCTGATGTTGGGAAAGATGGAGGGCACAAGGAGAAGGGGACGACAGAGGACAAGATGGCTGGACAGTGTTCTCGAAGCTACCAGCATGAGTCTGACCAAACTGCGGGACGCAGTGGAAGACAGGGGTGCCTGGCGTGCTCTGGTCCATGGGGTCACGAAGAGTCAGACACGACTAAACGACAACAACACACAAGCAACAGAGGCCATTTGCTCTTGGTGCTGAGTTCCGGTTTTCATAAACTGGCTTGGCCTCTCCTTAAATAGGCCCACATTTCACTGGTGACTAGGAGTGGACACCGGCCACCTGATCAGTTCTGAACAGAGGAGAGGTGCAAATAAAACATCTCTTTGTGCGTGAGAGTGGCGGTGGCTGATATAGGTGTCTATCTTCCTATTGACAGGAAGGGAGGGGCACGCCTTGCGCTCCTGTCTCATTTTCAGCTCTTTTAAAAGTGGCAGCCATTTTGTGCTACATCACACCGCCAAGGCAGCCATTTTGTGTCTGGTGCCCACGGCACTTTCTCAAAATTTCAAAATGTGCTCTGTTGGCTTCCATGACAATCCCTGATCTACATTGTGTGGTGCAAGACAGAGTGCGTTTTGAGGCAGAACGTGGCAGCGGCGGACTTCCTTATGCTAAAGCCACTCATGACAGGAGAAAATGAGTGGTATATCACCGAGTTGTACACTCATGGTATACCACCGAGTTGTATACTTGTAGGAGACACAGTGAAATTAGCGGACATGACTGGATTAGGTCCATTAACGTCTACTCTGAGGAAAACTTAGTTGACAACCACTCATCACAAGCTAGCACCTGTGACCTTTCACCCCTTGCTTTATTGGACTCCCATGCCACAATCTGAATGATGCTGTATTGGATTTCCAATTAAAACTGTTCCATTACCCAGAGAATATTGCCTACGGGGCAACAAATGATAACGAATTAACTTCAAGGATACGCCATGCTGATGCTCCCATTTCTCCACCTCTCCCCACCTGACAATTACCTGGCCAGGGACACCCTCATCCGCCAGCCTCCGGAGAACTTCTTGGTCTGCCGGTTCTGCATCTCAGGGTTGAAGCCCAAACCTGCCAGGATTCTCCGTGCTTTTGCCTCAGCTGCTGCGGCTCCTGTGGCCCGCAATTCCTCATAGACCTGGGGAAAGGGGAGGAAATATATGGCGTGAGCGGAGATCAACAAAAGGGAACAGGCTAACAAACAGAAGTTGAGTGTGAACATGTCCCTTCCTTTTTTCTCACCCCACTGGAGAAGTATTTAATTTACTTTGCTGCCCTTTGTAAGATAATAATACAGTGGTACCTTGGGTTAAGTACTTAATTTGTTCTGGAGGTCTGTTCTTAACCTGAAACTGTTCTTAACCTAAAGCACCACTGTAGCTAATGGGGCCTCCTGCTGCTGCCGCACCGCCGGAGCACGATTTCTGTTCTCATCCTGAAGCAAAGTTCTTAACCTGAAGCACTATTTCTGGGTTAGCAGAGTGTGTAACCTGAAGCGTATGTAACCCGAGGTACCACTGTAATTATTATTATTATTATTATTATTATTATTATTATTATTATTAATACCCCGCCCTCCCCAGCCAAGACCGGGCTCAGGGAGGATAACACCAACTATAAAAACAATTAATTGAAAGATAGCTTTAAAAACAAGATTAAAATACGACGTTAAAATGCAGCCTCATTTCAGTGGAAACTCAAATCAAAAACTTTTTTGGGGATGAAAACGTCAAGTCTTCACCAAGGCTAACCAAGATGCCACCATCCATCTGTCCAATTCTTGGATCAGTGGCCCATGGCCCATTTAGTCCAGCATCCTGTTCTTACAGCGGCCAACCAGATGCCCATGGGAAGCCCACAAGTAGGACTTGAGCACAAGTCCACTATCCACCTGTGATTCCCAGCAACTGGTATAGCTGGACGTGCCTGTAGTTACATTTCTGCAGTTCTGCGAATGTATCTAGGGACACATTTTGAGCGATGCCAGCCGTTCCAGAACAGAGAGCTCCTTGGGCAAAATACTCCCGCCTGGGTAACCCAGTTTTGTACTGTCCCTCAGTCACAGGACAGGGAACGCTCCATGAATACCTTCTCCAGCCGCTCTGCAGCCCCGTCGTCCCCTTTCTCCAGCAGCGCCTGCAGGCGCTTCTCCTCCTCCAGCAACTTCAGCCGCTTGGTGTCAGCCTTGAGCACAGCCTGCACTGCGGGGGTCTCATCCGCAACCACCTCTGTGAAGATAAAGGAGGACACCACCGTGAAGACTCTGCTGCTTAAGCCCCACGGCCAAGGACTGATCAGAGCCTGAACCAATTTTTTTTTTTTTAAGAAAGAAAACCTCTGCAGCCAAAACACTCATATTGTGCTACTGAATGGAGAGGGGACAGGGCTCTAAGATCAGTGGCTGAGCATCTGGTTTGCATGCAGATGTTATGGACTGGGGAACCCACAAAGGAACCCACAGGCGAAGAAGGCTCAGAGCCCAGGGACTGGTGGTGGAACAAAGCTAAGCGATCAGAGGGAGAAGAAGGAGCAGACTTGGAGGTGATGTCGGAAGCTGGAGAGGCAACAAGGTTTAGTGAGCAGGAAGAGGCTGTGGCAGAGAGCAGTCTAGAATCAGAGCAGGGGTGAAGAGGCAGAGATCTGGCTGCTGAAGAAGCAGAGAGTCTCCCCCTCCTGCTGCAACCAGCTCCACTCCCCTCTGGTTTTCCTGAACATGCAGAGAAATGAAGAGGGTGCAGCAGAGACAGGCAAAACAAAGGAGCCTTTGGCTGATGCGGAAGGAACCAAAGGAGGACCCTTCTTAGAGAGCGGAGGGAAGGCAGGGACTTTCAGTCTTTGAAACTGCCTCATTGGGGCAAGACCCTGCTGGGATCACTAAGGCTGAACTGTTTTGGTTTCTTCACTGACACTGGGTGTCTTATGGCTGACCTATTCCTGACTCTGGCTCCTGACAGCAGAAGGCCCCAGGCATATCTAGCTGGGGCTAAGAAAGACACTCTGCTGAACCCCTGGAGAGCTTCTCCCCATCGGCGCAGGCAGTACTGAGATGAGCCAGCGGTTTGAGTCAGTTCTGTGAACCGTCCTGAGACCTGCGGGTATAGGGCGGTATATAAATCCAATCAATCTATCTATCAATAAAGTAATAATAATAATAGATTGCAGCTTTCTCTGTTCTTAATAAGGGGGACCACCTGGCTAGGCGGGACAGTGAATGAGCTGCCACTGCACAGGGAGGAACGCTTCTTCCTTTACCTTGTTCACAGAGCAGGACATCAATATTGGGAGGAATGCTCAAGGCCCGGTTGGCAATATGTTTCAGCAAGGTGGTTTTGCCTTTCCTGGAGAGAGAGGGAGGATTGGAATATTGGTGCTCTCCTTAACCAAAAGCAACCATAGACAAAACAAGGACTACAGATAAAGTGCTCAAAAGGAAAGTTGCAAGCATACCAACAGATATTTAATATTCCATAAAACACTACAAGGATATTTTTTTAAAAAGCACTCCTATACAGTGGTACCTCTGGTTACAAACTTAATTCGTTCCAGAGGTCCGTTCTTAACCTGAAACAGTTCTTAACCTGAGGTACCACTTTAGCTAATGAGGCCTCCTGCTGCCGCTGCCACTGCTGCGTGATTTCTGTTCTCATCCTGAGGTAAAGTTCTTAACCCAAGGTACTATTTCTGGGTTAGTGGAGTCTGTAACCTGAAGTGTTTGTAACCTGAGGTGTTTGTAACCCGAGGTACCACTGTACTAAATTTATAAAGGCACATGTCGATTAAAAATTGGGAGCAGCCAATTTTTAATTGGCATGTGCCCGAGGGATTGAGGACAGGAGTACTTCCTTAATATGTTTTTGCACGTGTAAATGGGACCAAGACCACTGAAATAATTCCATGTGCGTGGTCCAGAGAGGAGGGAAGGCCAATAAGGATGCTGCTGGGCTGGGGAAGGAATTTTAGACAAAGTTTTGTTACATTCCCGCCTCAGGCCCGCCCCCCCCCCAATTACTCCCTGCAGCACCATGCCTGTGGTCACTGGAATTTTATTTCAAATATCTGCAGACCACACTTCCATGTAAAATATCACAAGGCGACACACAACCTAGACAAACGCAAGGCAAAACAATTTTTAAACATCATTTAGATTCAACAGGCCTGTCTAACTAATACGGTTTTTGAAAGGCCTCTAAAAATGAGCAGGGTGACTCCTGCGAAACCTCTACTGGCAAGGAGTTCCATAGGGCAGGACCTGCCACAGTAAAGGCCTGATGAACCTTAGGGGATGCAGGGGCACTAAAGACCTCACAGCAACTGAGGTGGAGCATATGGAATCAGGCAGTGAGCTCATAAGGTACTTTGGGGCCCAAGCTGCTTACAGCTTTGTGAATTAAAGAGATAAAGTGTGTTTCATCATCCACTGGGGTAAGCAAACAAAATGGTGGGGATTCACCTCACAACAGACACATACCCGTTAGGCCCCACCAGGCCGTATCGGCGCCCGGCCACAATATATAGATCTGCGTTGACAAACAACTCTTTGCCGTGAGCCGAGATGCTAAATTTCTCCAGCTGAAATAGAAGGTAAAGGAGATCAGAGAGATCCTTTTTATTATAATTTATTTAGGAGACCGCTGTAAGCAGATAAAAAACATTAGCAGGGTTTTAATAACACTTGTAAAGTAGGAAATAACATGGATAATAGGGACAGACACAAATTATGGATTATGAAATAATATGCAGTTGAAAAGGTTGATAGTAGAACCCAGGGAGGGGATGGTGGGAAGTCTTGAGATTCAGAGAAATCTCTTAAATATGGATATGCAATCTGCATTGTTTTAACTTTGCACTTGTAAAATTAAAATAATGATTTCGGGGGGGGGGGGGCACAGAGGTCCTTCTTAATGTCTTTTAAGCTCTTGTTTCCATCTGCTGGCTCTGAACGTTTAGACAAGCCTACCTAGGATGCGGGTTTTAACCTACTTTTTACTCTACTCTTGTTCTAACTTTTTGAAAGTCTTAAATTATTGCCATAATTTTTTCTTTGTGATAATTTTGTTGCTTTAGCTTTTTTGTAAAGTGCTTTGAGGCTACCTCCCTTCATTCTCCTAAAACGTCTTTCCTGGACCCTCCACCCAAGATCTTTTAACTGGAGATGATGCAAATTTGGCCCAAGGCCTTCAAGCCTTGGCCCAACCTGTTTCCCTCCATACAGATGTTTCTGGTGGGAGTTGAAGTGCAAAACATCTGGGCCAAGGCTGACCCTCCTTGCAATCTCCTTGCTCTGCCAAAGGTGACTCAGCTTCCCCTTAAGCTTACATATCCGTCAAGAAAATAAAATTAGACGTCCACTCTAGAGACGCAATGGAAGAAGAGACTGGAGGAATGATCCAGACTGGAGAAGAAGAAGAAGAGTTTGGATTTGATATCCCGCTTTATCACTACCCGAAGGAGTCTCAAAGCAGCTAACATTCTCCTTTCCCTTCCTCCCCCACAACAAACACTCTGTGAGGTGAATGGGGCTGAGAGACTTCAGAGAAGTATGACTAGCCCAAGGTCACCCAGCAGCTGTATGTGGAGGAGTGGGGACGCAAACCCCGTTCATCAGATTATGAGTCCACCGCTCTTAACCACTACACCACACTGGATCTGGTGGGCAAGGGGCAAGGTGGAGCCAGTGGAACGAGACAGCCATACCTTGATGTCAGAGGCGTTCTCCAGCATGGCCTGCCGTGAGGACATCTCCGCTTGGGACACCGAAAAGTCGTTCTCTGCCGCGCTGGCTGCTTTTAAGGTTGCCACCTGCCGCTCGAACTCCAGCTGTTCGGAGGAGGAAACAAAGTCTGGCCATGAAACAGCAACAAAAAAAGAAACTCTTCCTCACCTACCATTTGCCAGGTGCCAGTCTGCCCACCAACTCACTCTCCAGAGACTTATTTCTATCCAGGATTTGACCTGACAACTGGCAGGCAGAGAAAGCCACAAGTCCTTTTTTTGCCCCCTGGCTAGCCACAAACAGGAATAACCTTTTGGGCCTTTTCCTTCAGTCCCTGGCAGAGATCTAACCTGCTTCTTGAGCTTCTTCTTCTCCTTTTTGCTGAGATGGGCGTAGGGATCGTCTTCCTTCTTCTCCCCTTCGTCTCCCTCCTCTTCCGACTGCTACAGAAATCACAAGGTGGTGTGGTTTGTGTTAGTAAACGGGGCCAGGAAAGGAAACCAAGAAGGCCCTAACACGAAACCTTTGGAGAGACCCTGTGCTGCCCTCCCCTCCAAGTCAGTTCAGAGTTAAGACTCCTCTCCTGCCCTCTCTCTCGCTTCTGGTACGGCTCTGCGGGGCTCAAGAGTCCTTTCTGCGGGGATTGAACCCCAGGAGATAGAAGAGGTGCTTCCACAGACCTCTTCAGTCTCTCCAGAAAACTTGCCGGAGTTCCGGGTCAGTCATAGGGTTGAGAAGTGGCTTGCTCATATAGCTCTCCCTTTCATTTCTTGCCCACTTGAAGTAGAAAGGAAGAGGTAGGAAGGAGGTGGGGTGTTTTTTTTTTTGGGGGGGGGAATGCAGTGGCACCTAGGTCTTATTGCCCCAGGCACTAGGAAGAGCCTTGCCTAACCTGGGGTCCTTCACATCTTTTGGACTACAACTCCCATCAGCACCATGCTGGCTGGGGCTGATGGGAATTGTAGTCCAAGCCATCTCCAGGTTGGAGAAGGATGTTAGAAGGAGTATGGTTTGCACTCCACCCTATGGGGGACTTGTGGAAGTCAGTCGGTAGTTCACCGCACCTCAACCAGACCAGCAGAGATTCCCTGCTCCCAGCAGAACAGCTTCTTCCACAATCCCCCATTAAGGGGGGAAAACTCCTCACCCACACAGTTCAAAGTAACGAAGCGAACGCCCTAGAGACTATTATACTTTCTCTAGGCACATTTCCTGAACCAATGGGAGGGTGAATGGCTCAGTAAGGCATACACTCAACCTCCCTGTGCGCCTGGCACCCTTATCTCAGAACATCCAGACGTGGGAAATATACTTCAAGCACTGTGCCATTTCACCCATTGTTAACATGCCACCAACACACACACCCCGTAGCTTTTTGCCAGAACCCTCACCAATAGGTGAGTTTGCCTTGCCCAGTGTTTTTTGTTCCTAGTAGACAGGAGGAGCGGAGATCTAAGCTATGCACACAGGCACAGATAAATACAAGAGACAGCCAGCATGGCGTAGTGGTTAGAGTGTTTGATTGAGACCTGGGCGACGTGGGTTCTAGTCCTCACTCAGCCATGAAGCTCACCTTCGGCCCACCACCCGATCTCAGCCTAAACCATCTTGCAGGAATTTTGTGAGGATAAAATGAGGGAGAGCCATGCTTGAGAACCCTGGATGAACGAAGGTGGGAGGCAAGCGCAATTAATAGAATACTAATAAATAACAAACAGCCTTTTCGCATGAAAGGAGAGAGCAGGAGCCTTAAAGCTCTCTCCTCTGCCTTCCTGCATAAGGTGGAATGCAGTGTGGACAAAGCTCAACTGATGCAGCAAAGTCACAAGCTCCCTTACCGGCTGGCTGCCTTGTTTGGGCTTCTCTTTGCCCTTTCTGGCCTCTTCCTCTTGGTCATCCTCATCCCCCTCTTCCTCGTCGTCTATCTCCTCAGCCTCCAGAGCGGCAAACATGTTCTGTGGAACCAAAGAAACAAAAACTCGTATAAGAACGTGACTTAAGAAGAGGCCCGCTGGGTCAGGCCAATGGGTCTTCTAGTTAAAAAAAAGGGGGGGTATAGGACCCCTGGACAGTTAAGTCCAGTCAAAGGCGACTATGGGGAGCGGTGCTCATCTCACTTTCAGGCCGAGGGAACCAGCGTTTGTCCACAGATAGCTTTCCGGGTCATGTGGCCAGCAGGACTAAACTGCTTCTTGCACAACGGGACACCACGACGAAAACCAGAGCGCATGAAAACGCCATTTACCTTCCCGCCGCAGCGGTACCTATTTATCTACTTGCACTGGCGTGCTTTCAAACTTCTAGGTTGGCAGGAGCTGGGACAGAGCAAAGAGAGCTCAGCCTGTCGCACGGATTCGAATCGCCAACCTTATGGCCTACAACCCCAAGAGGCTCAGTGGTTTAGACCACAGCGCCACCCACAATCCCTGGGTCTTCTAGTACAGCATCTTGGCCAATCAGGTGCCTGCAGGGAATCTCATAAGCAGGACCTGAGCACAAGAACAGTCTCCCCTCCTGTGGTTTCCAGCAAGTGCTATTCAGCATTCCCGTCTCTGACTGTGGAGACAGAGTATAGCTATCCTCAGGAAAAGGTTACAGTGACTGCGCTCATGCATCATGGCAAACCAAGGGTGGGGAACCTGAGCCAAACCCCCCCCCCCAGTGTTGATGGACTACAAGTCCCATCATACCTGACCCCAATGGCCATGCAGGAGAGCCAGTACGGTGCAGCTGCTTATGAGCACTGGCTCAGGACATGGGAGCAGGCTTCAGCTGCGAAGCCCACTGGGCGAACTTTGGCCAGGCATTGCCTCCTAGCCTAATCTACCTCACAGGGTTGTACGAGAATAAAACGGGGAGCAGGAGAACACCATGTACACCACCTCAAGCTTCTCAAGAGGCATTGTAATGTCACCACAAATAAAATAAATAAGCACCATCTGCAGGGCCACAGATACCGTACTCCTGCAGTAAGCTATGGTTGGTCGTTTATTGTGAATGCACAGATGGCTCTTGCTTCAATTTCCTCCCCGCTAGCAAGTGGAAGCAACAAACCATGATGCTCAAAGCTTAGGGTTCCATCCATTTCTCTCGAAGAAACCGTGGATTGGTAAAACCAAGGTTTGCTCTTGGCTGACAAACACTGGTTTGTTGGGATGCCAGTGGCACAGCACTACTAAGTCTTGGGGGTTGGATTTTGGCCACCAGGAATCGCCTTGAGGTGTCCCTTACCTTGGTCGGCTGATTCTTCTTCCCTGCAGCCTGTTTGGTCGCAGTCTAAAAGAAGTATGGAAAGAGATGAGAGAGGCAGAAGGGAGCATGAAAGGCAGCTGTTGCAGCAAACCCTTTCTCCTCCACATGCCCAAATCTTTCCCCTCTGCTTTAGGGTGAGTTAAGCAACTTGAGTATCAGCTATTTTAACTGTCAGGCACATAGCCCAGAAGCCTGGGATTCTCCTGTTTGTCTAAGCACCCAACCAACCACCCAACTCTTTGCATGACTCTCCCAGTCCTCTCCTGCTCTACCTTAGCTTTCTCCTTGGGTTTCTTTAACTCTTCGTTGTCTTCCTCCTCATCGCTCTGAGCCAGGATAGCAATGGCTGGACCCCCTCTCTAGGAGTGCAGGTGAAAAACAGACAAAATGTACAGGTAATGCATACCAAGTCAAAAGGGGTTTCAGCACCCTGGGTAAATGAGTAGTATTATCACTATTATTGTGGTCATCATCACAACCAATTTACAGTGGTACCTCGGTTTTCGAACGTCTCGGAAGCTGAATGTTTCGGTTTTCGAACGCCGAAAACCCAGAAGTAAATGCTTCCGTTTTCGAACGCACCTCAGAAGCTGAACGACTTCCGCTGAGTTTTTTCCCAATTTCTCCATTGAATTTGCAGACCGCCCTTCGTGCCTCATATTTCGAATCTTTCGGAAGTCAAATGGTCTTCCGGAAAGGATTATGTTTGAAAACTGAGGTACCACTGTGTTGTTATTATTTTCATCATAATCATCAATTAGTCATCGTCGCTACCACCAATTTATTTATCAGCCAGCTTCTACACAGTCCTTTCAAGGCAACATTCAATAAGAAACAGCTAAAAATTCAAAACCAAAAACCAAAAACCCAGCCAATACATTTCAGACAAAACTAAAACGAAACAAGTTAGGCGCTTGTAGGAAAGACTCATTTATCCAGCTGGAAAAGCCTAAATTTGCTGCTCTCTGACTTCCTTCACTGTGACCAAAGCAGAAATGAAATCTCACACAAATTTAAACTTCAGCTGAGTTTCAAGACCTGAAGCTGAAATTCTGACATCCTGGAATTTTCAAGCTCCATGGGTTTCTGTTCCTCTAAGGCACTGGATTGTTTCCAGTCTCTCCCAGGTGACAACTGGGAAATTATGTTTTGTCTCCAGGGCATCTACTGACCGCCCACTATCCCTGATCAACTATCTACAATTTGCCATGCTGTATGCAAATGCTTTTTACTCTACAAGCCCAAATCCTTCTGAAATGCTACAATTCAACTTACTTTTTAACTCATGCACTGCAACTAAAATAAAATTATGGAAATTATATATTTTAGCGTGATCTGCACAGTTAATAAAAAGTAAAAAAAACTGGGAGAGCATATGGGTTTTCAAAATGGTCCACGTACTCCCAACGGCATATTTTGGCATCAAATATACAGTTTCAAAGATAGGCAATTGAGGCTGGGGCTTGGGAGATGCTCAATCTGTAAAATGGGAATAATATCAAGCTGCTTTATAGTGCAAGGGTGGTGGAAGACAGAAATAAAAAGGTTCATAAGGCAATTTGAACAGTTTGGACTGCTCAGGCCATTCCAGGAACGTTTTATGCTCAAAAGTGGGATACAAATCTACAAATAAATAATATAAGAAGAATACTAGCAACTAAAAACATTTAATTTAATGTTTCGATAAAAAGGTTAAAAAACAGTGTCGTCATTATCAATGATGAAACACCAAACCTCCTGTTTTCCTTTGTTCTTCTCATTTTTCCTACTCTTCCTCTTTGTGTCTTCCTCCTCTTCCTGGGAAATAAAAGACAAGAAATTCTGATTATTATTTCCTACCATGACCAATGCAAATTAGAACAGGGAAGCCCACCTATCTAGAGTGGTCCAGCCATTGAAGATTGCATTATTATTTTAAAAAATTAAATTACATTACGTGTCTTACAGCATAATAGTTACAATCATAAAGAATTAGCAAAGCCCGTGAACAAAATTAATTCCAGCCTATGATACATCCTGGAGAGCAATACTGTATTGTTCTTACCCCAACTATTATATTTGTTGCGTTTTCTAACTCCCAATGGAGAAATATAAGAAGGGCTCTGCGGAATCTCCTTCCTGTTGAGGTTTCCAGGAAAAGCTGGGAGCAAATATTGGTGTGGTACCAAAGGCATCCCTAACTGCCCGGTTTGGTTTTTGAAGACATGAAGCCTGGGCATCTGGTTCCAATGCCAGTATTCCATCCCTAGAACATACGTAGTAAGTACAGAAGTGCCCCTGAGCCAGTGCAAAGTGCATTTTCTTCACCCTTGTGTAGCAACAGAGAACTCCAATGGTGAGGCTTTTAAGGGGAAGAGCTGTCGGAATCTCCGTGCAACCAAGCTGATAAAGCTCATCTTCCGGAATCGCCCTCCGACGTGATTAACGACCTGAGCCTTTGATGAGGCTCAGGCACATTCCCATTCAGCAGAGAATCCAAACAGAACGCGGAAGTGATGAGATTTATGGCTACATCGCTATGCTTTATTTTCTAAGCTACGCAGACAGAAAAGAAATCATCCTCTCTCTGTGAGAGCAGAGAGCAACTAGAAAACAAAGGAACAGGAAACCAGTAACATAACACCCGTCTCCTGTCTTCCGTGAGACTTCCAACAGCCTGGAATGTCTCTGGAATGTAAACAGTGTCTTGTGACTCCAAAGCACTGCACAGTGGCAAACAGAAACTAACAAGAGCTTCCAGGTAAGAAAGGTTTTTTTTGTTTTGTTTTAACCAATCAGATGTGAACCCAAACGCTTTCCCACAACAGCGCCACCCGGAAGCATGCACTCCCCAAACAATTTGGTCCCAACATTTTTAAGGGACCACTTCCTCTTACATATCCTGTTTGCAACCCCTCACAGGGCAAGATCAAGAGGGTGATCCCAGAAGGCATGGAAGCACTGATTTAAACCTGCACAGAGAGGCACCCTCCGTGGTTATCGAGGGTTCCCTTGACTCTGTCATCTTTTTAAAACATAGGAGACTTTAATGATATAGTCAGGAGTTTGACAGCTACTGCTAAAATATGATTTACTGGCCCACTTCTACACAGAGCCAGACCAATGGCCTATGTGATACAGTCCAGTCCTCCCTGATACTCACCTGCCCACACCTGGTTTGATATGATGTCAGGGGTGCAGCAGCAGCTAAAGCCATTTCAGGAACGCAACAACTGGGGGCTTTAAAGTGTGCACCCCCAAGTAGCTTTTCTCTGCAAGAGGGGCTTGCATTCAGTGCTTTTCGAATTTGGCACCTCACTTCGTTTTATTGTATTTTTAATATTTGTTGGAAGCCAGAAACCCAGCCAGATGGGTGGGGTATAAATAATAATAGTAGTAGTAATTATTAAAAAGGTAAAGGACCCCTGACAGTTAAGTCCAGTCGCAAAAGAGTCTGGGGTTGTGGCACTCATCTCGCTTTACTGACCGAGGGAGCCGGTGTTTGTCCGTAGACAGTTTTTCCGGATTGTGGCCAGCATGACTAAGCTGCTTCTGGCGAAACCAGAGCAGCACATGTTTACCTTCCCACCAAAGCGGTTCCTATTTATCTACTTGCACTTTGATGTGCTTTCGAACTGCTAGGTTGGCAGGAGCAGGGACCAAGCAACAGGAGCTCACCCCGTTGCAGGGATTCGAACCACAGACCTTCTGATCGGCAAGTCCGAGGCTCTGTGGTTTAGACCACAGCGCTACCCACATCCCTTAGCTGTTGTTGTTGTTGTTAGGATCAGCTCCACTCAGAAGCTACCAGCTGCACTCCCAAGTGCAGCCAACCCCTGCAAGAAGCAGGACTTGCCTTCACAGAGTTCAAATTTGAGTCCAAATTTGGCATGCAATGTAAGCCCTGCTTTCAGCAGGAATCTTTGCAGCCAGAGCTGCGAAGGAAGACTTGGGGAACGCTTTGCCAATTCTTCCCTTTGATCCTGAATCACCTGACATTATATGCCGTCAGGAGACAGACAGGTTGGCCAGTTCTGGATTGTGGCTGGATACAGTCCCCCACCCCAGTGGAGACGTGCTTCTTCCAGCCCTCTATTTTGGCTCGCCTAGTGCAGCCCAGACTGACCTTCTGCTTGGCTTTTGGCCCCTTCTGGCCTGGTTTCTTCTCCTTTTCATCATCTGAAGCAGCCTAAAGAAGCAGAGATGGGTTGTTTATCTGCACTAGGGAAAAGGCCAGAAAGGCATCCCTGTTGACTCTGGTTTTGCACTTTGCCACACTGCAACCTCCCAAGAGCAAATGCATACAGGAGAGAGGACTGTCCTGCAGGGCTAGAAAAACCCCAGCAGTCTGATCACTTAGTTATCTATCTGCAGCTCCTGTGCTTAGGAGTCTGAGACCTTTTCCCAGTGCTGGAAAGGCTGATTGCCAAAGGGTTTGAAGACCAGTGCCAAAGAATTTGAGAACTTCAGTATAGTCCTGCTGACAGTCGTTCTCTGGCTGTTTGCATGCTGGAAAATCCCTATGTTCTGTATGTCCTTGGCTCTGCATAAATTTACCCTTCTGCTTATATGAGGAAGGTGGAAGGAACTACACAGAATACTGAAGACCCACCTCCAAACCACCAAGAGCCCTGAGCAACCCTGCATCTCAACCTTCATTTGACCAGGCTTTTCCGAAGTGTTTAAAACCCTTCTATCTGCAGACATAGTGGCCAAAAGCGACTTCTTTTTAATGGGAGTAAATGTTTTGCATTCCGCTCATATGCTACAGAGCCCAAATACGCAAGTGAAGAAGCGTACAAAACTCCTCTTCTGGCCCTGTGACCTGGCCTACCTAATACTCTACAAATTCCCATCTTGATCCAAATCACTTCCTGCCGGATCCAGAGGGAGGCTAACCTTGTTGATCTTATTCTTGTCAGGTCTGGTTGGTTTCGGCGGTTCCTCTTCGTAGTCTTCTTCCTCCTCACTCTGATCCTGGCTCAAGGCGGCAAAGACATTTCCCCCCTAAAGAGAGAAAGCAAGCGGCAGTGAAGAAACTGCAGAGACAAGTACCATGTAACAAGCTCCCCTTTGCTTGGTCCCCAAAAGTGAAAGGCAGCTTCTCCTGGGGGATTTGCTGGTGGCAGTCCAAATTTTACCATGCAATGGTCTGGCCACAGAAAGGGAGTCCATTGCGCACAAAGAAGAAGAAGAAGAGTTTGGATTTGATATCCCGCATTATCACTATCCGAAGGAGTCTCAAAGCAGCTAACATTCTCCTTTCCCTTCCTCCCTCTGTGAGGTGAGTGGGGCTGAGAGACTAGTCCAAGGTCACCCAGCAGCTGCATGTGGAGGAGCGGAGACGCGAACCCGGTTCACCAGATTACGAGTCCACCGCTCTTAACCACTACACCACACTGGCTTTGTTAGCCCGGGGTTCCAATCATCCACGGGCCTGAAGTTGACAGTATCCCCGGGGACGCCCCGGGGCATTATTATTATTTATTTGTCCCACCCTTCTCTAACCAAAGGAAACGTCAAAATGTCCAGAAACCCACCTTCTTTTTCTTGCCAGCTTTGCTGATGGGGAGAGGCACTGGAAAGGAAACAAAAAACTGTGAATACCTGCTGGGCAAGAACAGAACGTTGGGGCAAGGTGGGCCTGATCCTGCAGGCTCTTTTTCGGTTCCAAGGAGCTTATTCAGCCCAGATCTCTGTCTCTGACAGTGGCTAGCCAGATGCTGAGGAAAGCTCACAGGTAAGCCACGATGTAAGCCTCACACTGTTTACAACCAGCAGCGCACAGCCTCTGCTATTGAAGGCAACACCACTGCTAACAGACCTCCTTGAACTGCTAGCCTAGATATAAATCAGCGGTGGGGAAGCTGCGGTTCTGCGGGTGGTAGCAATGCTCCCATCAGGTCCAGCTAGCATGGCCAATGGTCAGGGATGATAGGTGTCGTAGTCCCAGGCAACATTGGGTGGGCCACAGGTTCCCTGTCTCTGACATAAACCTATTCCGTGAGGCCGGGAACACTAATGCGGGGGGGGGGGCCCCTCTGTCCAATATGATTTGGCCCTCGGCTCATTTCACACAGATGGAGGAAGGGCCGGGAGAAGAGGAAAAGCTAAAATGGACGAAGCAAAGGGGAAAGGGGAGAGGAACCCACTCCAACCAATAGTTTGGGCATCTGGGAAGAAGCCTGTTTTAATGAGCACAATTCAATTCACGTTTCATGTTTCCAAGAACAATTCAAAGTGTTGGTGCTGACCTTTAAAGCCCTAAACAGCCTCGGTCCAGTATACCTGAAGGAGCGTCTCCACCCCCATCGTTCTGCCCGGACACTGAGGTCCAGCGCCGAGGGCCTTCTGGTGGTTCCCTCGCTGCGAGAAGCCAAGTTATAGGGAACCAGGCAGAGGGCCTTCTCGGTAGTGGCACCCTTTTAGAAGACATCTGAAACCCAGCCAGATGGGCAGGGTATAAATTTATTATTATTATTATTATTATTATTATTATTATGAGGGAGGTGGCAGAAAGAGAAGGTGAGAGAAGGTGCGGCCCTGCCCAGTAGCCACCACAAGCTCCATTTCCCCCCCCCCACCTACATGCACCTTCCAACAGATAACCCCTGAGGAAAAGAAGGTCCCCAAGCCCTGTCCTAAGGACCAGTGGGAAGAAATGTCTTGGAACTCACACAGAGCAAAGGGTGACCAGCTTGTGGCTTTTCAGACGGCTGTTGGACCACATCTCCCAGCAACCCCAGGCAGCATAGCCAAAGGGCCAGGGCTGATGGGAGTTGTAGTCCCCAGCAAGATCCTAGAGCAGGAGTGGGGAACATGGGCCTTCCCAATGTTGATTGCAACTCCCATCAGCCTTGGCCACGGGCCATAGCGGTTGTGGCCGATGGGAGTTGTCATTCAGCAACATCGGGAGGGGTAGGGGGCACCAGTTCCCTGTCTCTGTTTTGTTTTTTTTAATGATATTTATTAAAGTTTCACATAAAAAAAACACATCAATTAAAAAAAAAAAATTAAAATTAAAATTTAAAATTTAAAGTTCCCTGTCTCTGGTCTAGGGGGTTGGACAGGTTCCTCAGCCCCAATGTAGAGAATCTCCCCCCCCCCCCCAAGATCGCAGCCTCCAACCTTCCTCTTCCTCATCGCTGGCTTGGGCCGACAGCTTCTTCAGCCGCTCAATCAGCTGGTTCTCGTCATCATCGTCTTCCGCCTCTTTTTTCTTTCTGTCTTTTTTCTTGTCTCGTCGCTTCTTTTGCTGGGGCTGCTGCAACCATGAAAACAGACAGGGAAATGAACAAACAAATATGAAGAGGGTGGGTCAACCTGCCTTTCTTAGCAAATTATCTCCCCGTGGCACTGTGACATCCTCAGCCCCATTGAAGAGGTGGACTTTGGGAATATGGCACCCTGAACCAGAGCAAAATTTGGCACCCTCCCTGCCCAATGTTTCTTATTTTAAGAATAATTCATTTTGGTACATTTGCTTTTTAATGGATCTTCTGAGTAGGTACCTGTATTAATATAACAATAATTATTATTAATTATTAATAATTTATTATTATTATTATTATTTATTATTATTTTGTGTTCCCTCAGCTTGGCATCCTGTATGGAGAAATGGCCCACACTACCCTAAATCCAGTGCTGCCCAGTGTGGTCAACTAGCATGCCCTCTGGTGACAAGACCCACAATATATATTCCTCCCAGGTTCGTGGGTTCAAGCCCCACACTGGGCAAAAGATTTCTGCATTGCAGGGGGTTGGGCTGGATGACCCTCGTGGTCCCTTCCAACTTTACCATTCTATGATTCTACAATTCTGTGATCCTGCTTGGCACTCCTGGTTCCAAAGTTACTTACCTGTTGTTGTTGTTGCTGCTGCTCTTTCTCAACTGCTTGCTCCTCACTGGCATGTTTCTCCTCCACAGCCAGTTCCTCAAAGAACTTGGGAGACAGAAGAGGAAAAGTTTAGGATAGTGGCAGGGAGGTAGTAGCCCCCTCCCACTACCCCCTGCTGGAAAGAGGGCAAAAGGCTTCTCCATCCCCTCCAAAAACAAAGCCAAAAATATTAAACAACCCCCCAATTATTGGATTAGCTTTACGTATAAATGGAGCTACTACCTCTCAACTGAATTATGGAGGTGGATAAACAGGAAAGGGGTAGCAAAGCATTCTGGGACATCAAGAAGTGCTAGAGGTGCAGTTGACAACCACCACTGCACAGTCCCCAAAATGCTAAAGTGTTTGGAGGAGGAAACAGAGCATTTGTGGAAGGTGACAAAGTTCTCATGAAGGTCAACAGAACTAGAGAGCGCGTCCAGATTCATGGACGTCACGCAGAGCCCAAATGGTGGTGAAGTCAACAGAGGACAAGACTTACCGACTTTTTGGTCTTTTTATCCTTCTTCCCCTTCTTTACCACTTTGTCTGAAAGAAAGAATCGGGAGGTATTTGAGATACAAACCCAAGAGTCTTCAACCACAGAAAAAAGTATATATATATATATATATATATATATATATATATATATATGTCCCCCCCCCCCCACTGAGACCAGGAACCGAGAAGAGTTCAGGCACACGAAAGCGCGCACCATATTCCAAACTCAAGTCCACTATTTACTATTGAAAGTCAGAGTGGAGCAGAGGCAGTCAAGATACTGCCCTCCACATGTCCCTGGACTGCAATTTGAATCACCCTTGACCAATAGGCTATGCCAGCTGAGGCTCATGGGAGTTGTAGTGCAGCAACATCTGAAGGGCAGCATGTTGGCCATCTCTCAGTTGAACTAGGAACGGGGAGAACTGGGTTCAAATCCCCAACTCAGCCACAAAGCTCACCAAGTGATCTTGGGTTAAGTCACTCTTTTTCAGCATAACCTACTGGGCTGTTGTGGGGAGAAAACAGGGAAGGGGAAGAGAAGCACGTGCTTCACCCTGATAAACTGAGGATTTTAAAGAAAGGCAGGGGAGAAGTATCAGAAATAAAAGAAAGCTGAATTACAACATGGTGCAATTACACAAGGTGCTGCAGGTTAGACTATACAACTACATATATGTGGGTATATATGGATTCATATAGAGAGGGAGGAAAGCAAATTGAAAATATAAAAGCATTAGCCTAAGAACAATAGTAAATAATCTCAATTGCAATTTCAGAATGCCTGGCAAAATAAGAATGCCTCACTTTGTTTCTAGAAATTGGCCAGGGAAAACATGCTTCACCAGGAAAATACATTCCATATTAACTATTATTATTGTTAGTATTATTTTTTTTAAAAACAAAATTACACCACCCCTCATCAAAAGATCTCAGGGTGGTTCACAAGACAAATATACAAGATAAAAGCACAAATAAATAATTAAAATAGAAGCAACAAACACATTTAAAAGGCTGTGGGATATTAATCACCTGGCACCTATTTCCTACCATGATGTCCGATTTATTAGTTTAAAATAAAGTCATAAAGCTAAGACAAAAGTCTATTCCAGTCCTACCTGGAGACACCAGGACCTTTTGGGTGTAAATCATATACTCTACCACTGACCTACAACTAGCTGTGAACAGGTAGCATAGTTTTCTTCTTTCAATTATGACACATCCCATTTCACAGCAGACGAAGCCTGCTGGACTTCTTCCAAACCCAGCCACCTTTCCCTCCCAGCTCCAATTACCCCGGCTTGTCAAGCTCAGGCATCTCACTCTGCCCACACCCCAACTTAGTCGAGCCTCTCCTGCCTCTTTCACTCCAGCCAGCTTCCTGCACAGCCAATTGAAAATGGCCTCTCTCCCTTGTCCCATATCCCCAGTTCATATGTTAGAACTGGCAATCTGCAGGTGGCCGATGGACTCCAATGCCCAGCCATCATGGTGAATCCTTAGGGAAGATGGAGAAATCTGGAGGTCCACGAGGTCCCCGCTCCTGCTATACAGGATTACTAAGCCCTTTGTTTGTGGGGCTCCTGGATCTTCCCACGACTACATACACACGGAAAATCAATGGCCATTCTGCCGGCAGTGGAAATGCAGTAATAGAAAATGCTAGTGCTAGATCCTTTTTCTCAGAGCACTCTCTTGCAGCTAGCACTGCTGCTTACAACCAGTGTTCAAAATCTGCCAGGCACCAGGTTGGGGACTGCAGAAGGAAATGTCACTTAGAGAAGGAATGGAAATATTTTCCTTGGCGGCGTCCCGTGTTTCGCTAGCCCAAAAATGGAAAATGAGCGAGGTCCCAACCAAAGAAGAATGGCAAACGTAAAACTGATGGAATACACACAGTTTGCAGATCTAACATGTAGAATAAGAGAACAAGAAGAACGCACGTTTAAAGAAGACTGGAAAATGTTAACTGAGTATATGGGTGAAAACTGTGTTCATTTAAAAACACTGGTAGCATTAATTTAAATTCAACAGATTTGATGGATGTAACATTGGATTACTGAATGGTTTAGTTCATGTAAAATATGCAGGGATGTATGGTATGCAAATTGAACTATGGAAAGAGAAGAAGGGAAGTCATTGATTTAAGGTTGTTTAAGTATCTTGAAATGTGATTGAGAAAATTTAATAAAAATTGTATGTGTTGAAATATTTTCCTTGAAGCTTGAAGTAGTTTTATTCTTGAATGTTTTATTTCATGTTTTAATGTGTTGTGAACCGCTTTGTTCTTTAAAATATAAAGCGCTACAGAAATGGAGTCAATTAAAATAATTCCCATGGGGGGGGGAATCAGCGCCTAGACATTCCATTGTGGCGACTGCAGCCTAGGTTTAAGGGACCATTTAGCAATTAGATTATATATACTGTATCTGAATTTCTAACACTGCTTACGACTGTAGCTTCCGCAACTGCAGCTCTGCCTCTTTGTTAGAAGCTCAGGAGCCCCACAAGGAAAATAATTATACTATATGCAATTGGCAACTCACGGATTACAGCAATATGTGTTGGGACTCACCTGGTTACCTTCATCATAGCCCAATGCCCCACCCTTCCTCTTCCAAATGCCTTGTCACTGGTGTCTGTAAAATGGGTTGAGCGGTTGAGAAACTTTTATGGGAATTGTTGGGCAGCTCCTTTCGCTGGTGGAAGTTAAGAAAATACAGGCTAAGGAGCAAAAGGATGCTGCCCCAGCCCCAAGTCCACATTAAATAATGCCGAACAAAATATTTCTGCGCAGTTAGCATATTTTAACCAGTCGGGACCTCTGCCCTTTTTCTAGCAAAGGACATGGTAGGAAAGAACTATGGTGTTGGCAGGAAGGAGGAACATATACTGCTTCCACAAGTGGCAGCAGAACATACAGACATCATGGTCAGTAGTCACTGAAAGCTATTTTTATGAAAGTTTATTTTGTTTATTTGCTATTTATAAACAAAATAAATAAGCATTACTACGGCTAAGAGACTGAGTAGCTAATAAGGAAGTTTCTGGTACAGATCTAACCTCTGCAAACTACTCTCTCTCAGCCCCCTCATCTACAATTCAGGGAATAATAAAACAACTAAACTAAGGATTACAACTAGATCAGATCATGGATTCGAGACTCTCTCAACACTTAAGCACTCCACAAATATCAAAGACTTGTTAAAAGCATACACACACCTTGTTTTTATATACATTAGCAGCTAAGATTAGCTGAAACTTTGATTTACTTAGTACAGGTTGGGTTTATCAGTTCAACGTAGCGTATTTTAAATTTATTTTTATATCACTGTTTTTTTTCCTAGGGAATTCCGTGGTCAAATTATCTCTAGTTATATAAATGAAGACACATATGGAAGCTCACATGTTATGGGGCCTTTTAGTCCGGTTCCTTGTCCAAGCCACAAAGTTTCACCCCCAATATTCCTCCTCTATCTAGCCAGCCACCTGAACGTTCCTTTAACACGCAAATCAAGGAGCACATCAAAAATACTAAGAATAGCAATGAAACCAGCGCCACATCTGGCACTTCCCAGAGCAACCGGAAAAAAATCTGGGCCCTTGTCCATTTAGACAAAACCTAAGCAGCAAATTAGGAAAGAGAGAGTTGGAGGAGGGGAAAGAGAGGCAGGAGCAACTGGAGGGGGGGAGAGGAGTGTGTGTGCTAAATGCTGGCAAACACATTCAGACACACCTACGGCCAGTGCTTTTTTTGTGGGGAGATGCATACCCCTAAACATTTTGTGAATCTAAGTTTGGCCTCATTGAGGAGCAGTATTTCAATATGAGTAGGAAAATGAGAGTAACCCCTAAACTTTTTTTTTATTTTTTTTTAAAGGAGCACTGCCTACGACTATGCGAGACCCGCTGACCACGGCAGAGCTTGCGTCTGAGCAGACAGACACGTGTATGGACAGAGGTGTGCGAACGGTGGCTGAGTTGAGTTGTTTTAAATGGCAAACACTTTTACACGGAATTGTGTGTGTTAGCCTCCCCCCCCCGATATTATGCCCACTTCCCCCCTCCCCTTGGAGGTCCTCCCAACCTTCATGAGGACTAGCCTCTTTCCTCCCCGCCCAGCCCTCCCGCCTCCGCCCTCACCTCCAGCGCCCTCTCCGGGGCAGCGCTTCTCTTCTTCGTCCCCGACCCACTCCTCCTGGGGCTGCTGCGCCTGTCTCCCTCCCTTCGGCATGGCTGCTCCCTTCGCTCCGGCGCCCGCCGCCTGCTTCTTTGCGGCTCTTCCTACCGCAATCTTGGCTCAACACATGCCCGCCTGGGCCGCACTGCGCCTGCGCGGGAGGTGACGCGACCGGGGCTTCTCCAGGCCAGAAAGAGAACAGATGCTTTCGTCAGCGATCCCCGAGCGCAGGCCGGGTGCAGCATAGAGATCAGGAAGCGCCTCTCCTAGAAAGGCACGGGAGAGATCGGGTTGCCACAAAGAGATGAGGCAGCGCCTATCCTGGAGGGGCACGGGAGAGACCGGGTTGCAACGAAGAGATGAGGAAGCGCCTATCCTAGAGGGGCACGGGAGAGACCGGGTTGCCACAAAGAGATGAGGAAGTGCCTATCCTAGAGGGGCACGGGAGAGAACGGGTTGCCACAAAGAGATGAGGAAGCGCCTATCCTAGAAGGGCACCGGAGAGACCCGGGTTGCGACATCGAGATCAGGAAGCGCCTCTCCTAGAGCGGCCCAGCAAAAACCCGGAAGATTAGTCGCAGGCTGCAGGAGAGCAAATGGAGACGTGCAGTTTCTAGGACGTGCACAAGTTTTCTTTTCCGCTTATTTTAGCCAAGAGTGGGCAGCTGCCTCCGAGAAAGACCTGCAGCGCTTTTTACTGAGAGGAATGCAGGTGCATGCCCAGAATGAAACATGTCCAGCAAGAAACAGCAACTCTGTACAGTATACACTTAAGAATGCAGGATTGCTTGGTTTAAGTACACACCTCGCGTTTGAATAATAATAATAATTATTATTATTATTTATTTATACCCCGCCCATCTGGCTAAGTTTCCCCAGCCACTCTGGGCGGCTTCCAATCAAGTGTTAAAAAGCACATCAGCCTCTTTCCCGCCTACCCACCTCAGGATAGGAATCCTGGGAACTGTAGTTTTTAAAAGAGTGCTGCAAACAGCACCGCTCCGAAAGGGTAAAAACTACACTTCCCAGGATTCTTTGTGGGAAGCCTTGTGCTTTAAAATGTAGTGTGAATACATGGCTATAGTCATTATTGCTGTGATTACTGATTTTTACATAGTCCCTAAGAAGAAGAAAACTACACTGGGCAGAAGTTCCAGAGTTTACAAAACCAAATATAAAAAGGTATAAGATTAATGGCAAAGCTTATCATGGCATCGATCAAGGTTTATAATCAGCTGTGAGTAGTGTCAGCTTTTTTGTGGTGGCTCTGGTCCTATCTCTAGGGTCAGTCTCCAAGAAAGGCATTGATTGTCTCTTGGCTCCCAGGCATTTGTGCAATGGGGTGCTATTTTAACATATATATGTAGCTATTAGGAGTGGTCATCAGTACACTAACAATTGAATCAGGACAGGCTGCACAAGTCCTGGACTTGTTGGTGGGACAAACAAATTTACATTGAATAATGAATGACAAGACAGAGAGGCCCTGTGGGTAGATGGTTCCTAAGTCCAGGTAATCAGTCAATTGCCTGCTTTAGATGAAGTCATCCTCCGTCTGAAGGAGGAGGTTTGCAGTTTGTGGGTGCTCCTAGATCCATCTCTCTTGCAAGAGGCCCAGGTGACCTCAGGGAATTGGAGTGCCTTTTACCAGCTTTGGTTAGTAAGACAGCTATGGCTGTTTGTGGGTCAAGATAGCCAAGCTTATATTGTCCATGTGCTGCTATATACTCTACGTGATGTGGCTCTTGAGGCTAACCTGGAAGCTCCAGCTAGTTGAAAATCCTGTTTTTATATATGCAGTTCTTTATACATTTTTATTGCATTGTAAGTGGCTTTAGGACACCTCATGGGAAGCCATTAAAAATCCAATGAATAATGTAGCAGTGACCATTAACTTAATGAAAGAATGTAAGCTTTCAAAGAATGTCAGTTCCTTTGTTAGTGGCAAAAAATCTATATAACGATACAATATGATATCTTTATTGTCATTGTCCCATACAGAACAATGAAATTGAAAACAAGACAGTTAATGGAATATTTAAAATCTGGCTGCAATTCCAAACACATAGACAGCCAGCTCTAACTGCATTCTTATTAATTAAGTCCTAATATATTAGATGGGCCCTCCAGGACATAGTAAGATCCATTATTAACCTCACTTCTTAATAAGCATTCTTAAATCAGTTGATTTCAGTGGGCCTAGACATGACACTTATGATGTCCTGCCTCCCCCATTAAAATGTTTTCTTGTTGTTTTTTATAGGGATTTGGTTTCTTTGTTTTAGATTCATCTTGGAAGTCAGCCTGGGAATGCTTTTTACGCTGAAGGTCTGAACCACATTTACAGTGGTGCCCTGCAAGACGCATGCCTCGCAAGACGAAAAACTCGCTAGACGAAAGGGTTTTGCGGTTTTTGAGCTGCTTCACAAGACGAATTTCCCTATGGGCTTGCTTCGCAAGACGAAAACGTCTTGCAAGTTTGTTTCCTTTTTCTTAACACCGTTAATACAGTTGCAACTTGACTTCGAGGAGCAACTCATAGAATGCGGTGTGGTAGCCTTTTTTGAGGTTTTTGGTGATTTTTGAAGCTTTTCCAAAACTTTTCCGACACCGTGCTTCGCAAGACGAAAAATTCGCTAGACGAAAAAACTCGCGGAATGAATTAATTTCGTCTTGCGAGGCACCACTGTATTAAATAAACAAATGTCATCTTGTTTATAACACTTGCATACTATCTATAGGCATTTGCCTTAGATGCAAATGGCGTTGTTCTATACCAGTACAGTGGTACCTCGGGTTACATACGCTTCAGGTTACATACGCTTCAGGTTACAGACTCTGCTAACCCAGAAATAGTGCTTCAGGTTAAGAACTTTGCTTCAGGATGAGAATAGAAATCGTGCTCCGGTGGCGCGGCAGCAGCAGGAGGCCCTATTAGCTAAAGTGGTGCTTCAGGTTAAGAACAGTTTCAGGTTAAGAATGGACCTCCGGAACGAATTAAGTACTTAACCCGAGGTACCACTGTATATGAAAACATTATTATAGCCAAACAATAATAAGTCAGCTCACATTAACAATCTTAATTTAAATCTATATATATTAACATAAGCAGCCCACATGCCCAGATAGAAAACCAAATGAGACTGATATACAGTTGAAAGAGCAGTAAGTTATTCAGACCACTGAGGGAAGGGTGGTGGATGTTTTTCTTCCAAGTCCATTTCTCTTGTTCATCTGTGATGCGGAAACAAACAGTATTAATTGAAATTAGTAAATTGCATGTTGCATTGCAGGGGGTTGGACTAGTTGACCCTTGGAACCCCTTCCAACTCTACGAGTCTCAAGTCTTTGTAGTACGTAGGTGGGAATTCCGTCTGCGCTTTTCCCAAGCAGCACTAGGAGGCGCTCAAGGGTTCCATCAAATGGATGAATGGAGTAGTTTAGTTCCGTCCGCTTCCTTCCCCGACAGAAATGGTACGGCCCGAGCGCCCTTGCAGAATGGCAGTCTTGATTTCTCTCCCCCCCCCCCCGCGCCGCCCTCAATGGTACCGTCCGCAAATCCCAAACCGCGTTCCATTTTCCTGGAAGGCGACGTTCCATCGCCTCCGTCCACCCCCCTTTTCATGAGTCCCGAATGGTTTCGCCAAACCACTCCGCTCCCCCCCCTCTCCGCGCAAGTTCTGCTCTTTCCGCTTCCTACGTCACGGCCCCGCATTCTTTCACTCGGGAGGTCCCCGCCCCTTTCCCTTTCGGCCCCGCCCCTTGCGCGGCGCTCATTGGGCCCTCGCCTCTCCGCCGAGGAGCGCTCTCCTCTTGGCCCCGCCCACTCCGGTGCCGCGCGTCGGGGCTGGTGGTGGAGGAGCAGAAGGAGGAGGAGGAGGAGGAGGAGGGGACGGCAGCCGGGATAGGACATGCACCGCAAGAGGCCGTTCAGCGCTAAGCAGAAGAAGAAGCAGCTGCAGGACAAACGGGAGAGAAAGCGGCAGGGTGAGCGCGGGAGGGGGCGGGGCCGTGCGGGAGGGGGCGGGGCCCCGCCTTGAAACATCTGGAAGGATGTGACATTCCCCCACCCTCTTTGGGCTGCATGTGGGGAGCATCCCCCTCTCTCTTCAACATCTGTATTCTCACCTTTCTCTTACCTCCCCCACACATCTCTCCCCTTTTCATGATGAGAAGGGACCGATCATTAGCAACATCTGGTTCTCATGCTCGCCCACATAAACATCTGGGTAGCATAAGGCCACGCCTCCTCTTCCTCCTTGAAACATTTTAGAGGGGGCGTTGGAAGGAAGAGAAAGCGTGACCTCTACCTCTCCTCCATTAAAACAAATCGGGAGTTGGATATTTATTGGCTTCTGCAGGAAACGCTTACATAGAAAGCAAATCTTCTTTCCTGAAAACGTATAGCACCTCTCTCTTCCTCTCCCTTTCCCTCTTTTCTCTCTCTCTCCCTTTTTGCAAAGCGGGGGTGGGCAGGCATAAGTGAGCCAGGCCTTTCTGCTCACGACTTAGCACCCCGCTGCTCCCCTCCTGGAAACAATTTGGAAGATGAGTCTAGAGATGTTCGCTTTCTCTCTCTGGCTTCATGTGGGGTGCATGCTGCTAATTCATGCTAATTGACAAGCCTCATTTCCCCCCCATCCCCCTTTGCATGCACGTACATGGAATTGTCAACTCTTTTGTGGAGCAGTCCAGTCTTCTCCTTTCAATGAAATATTAAACCAGGCCCTTTTGGTAGAGGGAGCGCTAGCCTCTTACTTCTGAACCACCTTTTAAACTGTGTTCAAAATAAAATTTTAGGTCCGCCGCCCTCAATTTTTGGATAATGGTTTCTTGATGAACACTTGAAGGATGATTCTCTCTTTGGAAGGCATTGGGGGTGCTTGCTATATTTCTGTGTACACCCAACATCTGCAATGCAGTGGGCATTATAGCGTTCTCTCTTTTTCTCCCACCTAAACTGCTTAATGGAATAAACTGCCCTTCTCCAGTGCATCGGGAATGCTGTGTCCTCAACTTCCCGTAGCTGGGAGACAGAAACACTTTTCAAATAGAGAACACAACTCTTTCCTTCAGTTATTTTGGCTTAGGGCTATAACCATTGAATTTGTTCTACTATTCATATTCAGTTTTGTCCCTTGCCAGATCTTACACATGGTTTCAACAACAGCTCTAAAAGAGCAGGGAAACTGCGAAAATGGTGTGGTTTGTTAAGAAACATGTTAGAGGGGATGGAATTAAGTAAGACGAAACCTTAAAATGCAATTGTATGTAATTTGTGTTATAAATATCCGTGTTGGGTGAGCAGGAAATCACTAGTTTTGTTCAATAGTTCAATAGTTGAGTAACAAATTAATTTTCTATATGGATTTTTTATTTATTAAAAAAAAAGAACCCATTAGTAAAAGGTTGCATTAAAGTAGGGATGTGGAACCTGTGGTCGTCACGATGTTAATGCCGGCTTGGACTGACAAGAGCTTCAGAGTCAGACCATAGGCCCTCCTAGGTCAATATTGTCTAAACCAGGGGTGCCCAAACTTTTTTCAAAGAGGGCCACATTTTACAATTTTAAACCCAAAATTGTTGAGCTTTTTTTTAGGGTTGAAGTTGTAGGGTTGAAGTTTTTCTGGGGTTTTACCCCGGGGGCCAGATTTAATCGACCGGAGGAACTGAACATTGAACTTTCTGCATGCAAAACAGATCCTTTGCAGCTAAGCCAGGTCTCTTCTCCTGGAGTCCCCCAACAACATCTGGAGGGCCACAAGGTTCCACCTTGGCCTTATTAACTTGCACTGAAATCAGTAGGGCTGTATCTGTGTTTAGAATTACATTGTAATGTTTGCATCAGGTCTGCATATCTTGCAACCCACCAAGCTGAATGCAGCCTGCCTGGTGGTTAGCAGCCCTCCTCACTGCAGGCCCAGGCAGGGTCTGCAGTATCAAGAGGTTCATATAGCGCCTGTCAGATGTGATGTGAACTCCGTTCAGCGTGGTGGACCACAAATTGCTCAGGCCTGCGCCATGTCCCATTCCACTTCCTTTATAGCTATTACTGTTATTGTTGTATTTTGTTATAACCATTATTGTCGTAGTTGCTTGTACCCCACCCATCTGACTGGGTTGCCCCAGCCACTCTGGGCGGCTTCCAACAGATATAAAAGCATAATAAGACGTCGGACGTTGACTTTGGTGCGTTAAGGGGGGAGATGCACATCCCACTGTCCTTGGATCAGATCCTTGTATTCACAATTTCTGCAGTCGGAAAGCTACAGGGCTTTTGAGACCGTGATAGGTGCACGTGGTATAAATGGACGCTTTGCGCAGAAACAAAGGCTAGTAGTACCGATCGGTGTGCCATTATAGCTGGAGCTACGCTAAGCCATTCATTCCAGTGCAATGCGATCGTTTTTGTTGCGGTCGTATTTAAAAATAGCCAGCGTGGTCCCGGCTATTTAGCTGTACTCCTGCGCCCTGCAAGGTTTTAGTTGACTGTAGCATCTTTGGCGGGCAGAGCTAAAAGAGGAAGGTGGTGGTTAGACATCATCTTGTGTTGCTGCGTTATTGGGGGGGGGGATTCATACGAATAAGGGAAGAGGGAAAACCCCACCTCTTGTGACAGAAAGAGAGAGATGCACTGTGCTCAAACTGCTACTGTGCCAACTCAACTAGAAACAATTCGAAAGAAAAGTGCTGAGCTTCAGTGACAGGCAGTGGGATGAAAACGCTTTATGGGGGTTATGAATTATGTGCTAATGGGACCGAAATAACTCTTTAGGGCATTAGATGGGCAGCTGGCGCTTTTTTTGCACTGGTTTCTCAGATAAGAGAGCTCCGGTTGACACAGAACAGGAAGGTGGGCATGTGTTATGAGTGTGTCATTGTCCTTTAGATAGCGAAGATAATGCCGTGCGCTTAATGTAGTAGAATCTGGATCTTTGAAGTGCCTTTCCATATCTCGTCTTTAGTAATCCTTGCAGCAGCCCTGTAAAGTTGGTTGGTGAAAATGGTCCAAGTTTTGGTTGAGACAGTCATTGTTTGCCTGATGGCACTTAGATGAGTTAATGGGTGAAGCAGCCATTCTGTTTGCAGGGGGTGGTTTATCCATAGCTGAGTGAATAAAACCAGTTCCACTTCACTTCTGGGCTGGAACTGTGGAAGAAACTGCTTCTGGGATTGCATTGCTGCACTGGGTGAAGAGGGCCCTTCCTAGATAGAATACTGTCGCACAGTGTATAGTTAAACTATGGAACTCCCTGCCACAGGAGGCAGTGATGGCCACCAATTTGGATGGCTTTAAAAGAGGATTGGACAGCCATTTCTGATAATTATTAAAGGAAAGGTAAAGGGACCCCTGACCATTAGGTCCAGTCGTGACCAACTCTGGGGTTGTGGCGCTCATCTCGCTTTATTGGCCGAGGGAGCCGGCGTACAGCTTCCAGGTCATGTGGCCAGCATGACTAAGCCGCTTCTGGCGAACCAGAGCAGCGCACGGAAACGCCGTTTACCTTCCAGCCGGAGTGGTGCCTATTTATCTACTTGCACTTTGACGTGCTTTCGAACTGCTAGGTTGGCAGGAGCAGAGACCGAGCAACGGGAGCTCACCCCGTCACGGGGATTCGAACTGCCGACCTTCTGATCGGCAAGTCCTAGGCTCTGTGGTTTAACCCACAGCACCACCCGCGTCCCATTATTATTATTTATTATTATGATTATGATTATTATTACTACTGTATTTTATTAATACAAGTTTGTATCAAACTGCATTAATTATCGAATTGCTTTACACAACATTCCTTTTGTGTGTGCTTTTATTTGAATACGCTGATGGGAATGTTGCTTGCTAATATTATTATTAACATATAAAACGCATACATTTGCATTTACACAATACATATACACAACAGACTACCTTATTTTCATAGCATAAAACATACCTACATTACTCTATATTATACCTACCTATAGTATACATATCAACATACCTACACACCTACCCCACACGGACACCCACCAAGTGACTTGACTTTCAGTCATTCTTGTTACGCTACTTTATTTTCCCAATTAGTTTAAACACATTTCATTATTTCTTTAACTCTTCTTCTATCTTAACTTTACTCTGCTTTCACTCTAATCATTTTCTGGATTCACTCAATAACTGTCAAAAGTTCTACTTTTTCCACATAGATTTTGATGTATTCCTTAAAGATAGCCCACTCCTTATTCACTCTTTGTACCATATCCCCTCCTTGGCTGGGGAGGGCTGGGTATAAATAAAAATTATTATTATTATTATTATCCTCTCTGTTAATTCGGCAATATGGAAGTATTCCATCATTTTAGATAGCCAGTCTGTTTTAGTTAGGACACTGCTGCTTTTCCAGTTTTTGACAATTAACCTTGCCTCTGTAGTTGCATACATAAATATTGGTCTAACCGTTCTTTTTATTTCCTCTGACATGATACCTAGGAGAAAGGATTCTGTTTTTCCCCCAAATGAAAATCTAAACATCTTTTTCAATTCGTTGTAAATATTTTCCCAGAATCCCACTATCTCTTTGCATTCCCACCACATGTGTAGAAAGCTTCCTGCCCTGTTGTGCATCTCCAACAAACATCACTGCAGTTTGTATACATTTTTGCCAGTATAACCAGGGTCAGATACCATCTATATTGCATTTTCATTACATTCTCTCTTAAATTATAGCACACCGTAAATTTAATATCCCTTTTCCTCAGCCGTTCCCATTGGCTCATCATAATATTTCCCCCTAAATCCTGGGCCCACTTTACCATCACTGTCTTCACTTGCTCCTCCTCTACCTCCCATTCTAGGAGCAAATCATATAATTTGGAAATACGTTTACTTTTAGATTGGATTAAGTACTCATCCAATCTTGAAATTTCTTTCTCAGATCCTTTTTGTTTATCTTTTGGCAATCTCTGATTAATTTGAAAATATTGCAGCCAATCGTTCAAATATTTTTTAAGTTCCTTATATTCTTTCAATTTATTATTTTCCTCTTCCAGTAATACCTTATATGTTGCCCAGTTGTTATTCATATTCTTTCTCTTTACGGTCATGATTTCTAAGGGTGAGGTCCACCAAGGTGTTTTGGGTTCTAGGATCCCTTTATATTTCATCCATATTTTTTACAACGATTTCCTTATAATATGGTGCATAAAACCCTTGTGGACTCTCACCTTTTCATCTATTAGGTATGCATGCCATCCAAATCGAGGGCCTACTCCCTCCAGATCTAACACATCAGTATCCTTTAACTTAATCCACTCCCTTAACCAAGTCAAACCTGCTGCAACATGATATAATTCCATGTCAGATAGGTCAAATCCGCCTCTCTTTCTCCGATCAATAAGTAATTTATATTTTATTCTAGGTTTTTTCCCATTCCATACAAACCTGGCTAGATCTCTTTTCCACTTCTTAAAACATTCCATGCCTCCTAGAATTGGCATGGTTTGGAATAGAAATATCATTGTAGGCAATATATTCATCTTTACTGTTGAGATACGGCCCCAAAATGATAGATGTAGCCTATTCCAAGTTTCTAAATTTCTCTTTATCTCCTTCCATACTTTAACGTAGTTTTCTTGAAATAGGTCTATATTTCTTGTTGTCATCCATATGCCGAGATATTTCATCTTTTTTTAATCTCCAACCCTGAGATTTTTTGTAGCTCACTTTTTTCTTGATTCCCCATATTTTTTACTAATAGATTTGTTTTTTTATAGTTTTATCTTAAAGTCAGCTAGGTGTCCAAATTCATTTATACATTCTATTGTTCTTGGGATACATTCTATCAGATTTTCAGTAGTGATGATCAAGTCGTCCACGAAGGTTCTTAACTTTATACTCCCCCCCCCATCACAATCCCTTTTTAATAGCCTTGCGGATTCGTTGTTGCTGTCAAATCAAAAACTAAATACTTTAGAGACGACTGAGGGATATCGCTGTCGCACGCCAGATTCGACCTTTTCAAACGTGACTAGATTAGAGAAGTATGACCGTTTCACCAGCCCCCCTGCCTGCACGCATCAAGATGTCGAAGCTCAGCTTAAATGGTGGATCGGGCAAAGCTTTTGGGAAGTACCGTATTTTTCGCTCTATAGGACACACTTTTCCCCCTCCAAAAATGAAGGGGAAATGTGTGTGCGTCCTATGGAGCGAATGCAGGCTCCTTGGCTTCAGCGATAGCAACGCAAAGCCTCCGAAGCGCAGAGGGAGAGCTCCCCCCGCGCTCCGGAGGCTTCGCGTTACTTTCGCTGAAGCCGCTTGAAGTCCCCGGAGCGCAGCGGCAGTTTGCGCTGCTCTCCGGGGGCTTCAGGCAGCTATCCGCAAGCCTTCAGAGCGCAAAAGGAGTTTCCGCTGCGCTCCAAAGGCTTGCGGATAGCCGCCTGAAGCCTGGAGAACGAGAGGGGTCGGTGCACACCGATCCCTCTTGCTCTCCAGGCTTCGCTTCGCTGGAGAGGCGCTGCACAGTTTTCCCTCTCTGTGCAGCGCCCCTTCAGCGAAGCGGGAGGAGAAATGGAAGGGGCTCCGTTTCTCCTGCCGCTTCGCTGAAGGGGCACTGAGCAGAGAGGGGGAGAATTTTTTTTCCCCTGTTCTCCCCCTCCTATGGTCCGGTGCGTCCTATGGTCTGGTGCGTCCTATAGAGTGAAAAATACAGTAAATATATAATTGCACAGTGCTTGAAATCATGGATGGAAAGCTGTGGAGCTGTTAATGAAATCCATATACAGTGGTACCTTGGTTTACAGAAGCTTGAGGTTACGTGTTTTCGGGTTGCCACTGCGCCGAACCCGGAAGTACCGGAACGGGTTATTTCCGGGTTTTGGCGCATGCACAGAAACACCAAATCGCAACCTGCACGTGTGCAGATGCAGCGCTGTGGGTTGCGAATGCTGCAGGTTGCAAACGTGCCTCCCGCACGGATCACGTTCGCAACCCGAGGTTCCACTGTATCCCACTCCTTGACTTCTGGCCAAAACTTTTAGGTTCCACACACACACCGTCCACAATTGGGGCATTATAGTAGTAGCTTTGCTCACATGAACATATAAGCAAATAGGGAGTCCTGTGGTGGTTCTTCAGGTGAGATTAATTTACTTCTGTGTTCTTCGTTTGCGGTTTTGAAGGCAGGGCCACATCACAGTCTTTCTCCTTGCCTATTCAGTGCATGCAGGGGAGGTAGCTTGAGTTCTTCTTCCAACTCCCAGCAGCCTCTAGGTAGTGTGGCCAGTGGTCAGAGATGATGGGAGTTGTAGTCCTGCAACATCTGGAGGAACACATGTTCCCCAGCCCTGAAGTGGTGGATAGAAGGACTCAGGCTTCAAACTTTTAATGTCCCTGTGAAGTAATTGTGCTTGGATTTTTTTTCTGCAATGTTGGTAACGGCCATTAAAGCCACTGGGACCAGGATATCTGAAGGGTGACCTTCTTCATGATGAGCTTCTTGCTTTACTAAACAACCCCAAAAAATGGGAAACTTCCGTATACAGTGGTACCTCGGGTTACAGAGACTTCAGGTTACAGACTCCGCTAACCCAGAAGTAGTACCTCGGGTTAAGAACTTTACCTCAGGATGAGAACAGAAGTTGTGTGGCGGCAACAGCGGGAGGCCCCATTAGCTAAAGTGGTACCTTAGGTTAAGAGCGGTTTCAGGTTAAGAACAGATCTTCGGAACGAATTAAGTTCTTAACTAGAGGTACCACTGTACCAAGTCAGACCATTGTTTCATGTAGCTCACCATTGTCTACACCAGGGTTTCTCAAACTTGGGTCACCAGCTGTTTTCGGACTACAGTTCCCAACATCCCTGACCGCTAGTCTTGCTAACTAGCTAGGGATGATGGGAGCTGTAGTCCGAAAACAGCTGGATCTCCAAGTTTGGGAAACACTGGTCTACACTGTCCATCAGCATCTTTCGAGCTTGTTGGACTGGAATGTCTACCTTCCCCACTGGGATATGCCGTGGATTGAACTGTGAGGACCGTTTGCATGCCAATCAGGTTCTCTTCTGCTGAGCCTCAGATCTGGCCTGACATCTGCCTACTGCTGGCTGGCGTAGGGGCTCTGGATGCAGGGTTATAAATCAGCCTATCCTTGGAAGCAAACAGGAAAAACAGGAACGTGTTGCAAGGATCAAAGACCTTCATCCTGAGGGCCAGATTAAAACGTTAAGACTGAGAACAGGAAATATGGGGAGAGGCATAATCTCAGGTGTGGCTGCTGCAAGAGAAGGCAGTGGCACTGTTGCATTGGCATGATCATTAACAGCCAATAAGCCCAGTTGGCCACTGGGAAAGTTGTACAGTGGTAGCTCAGGTTAAGTACTTAATTCGTTCCAGAGGTCTGTACTTAACCTGAAACTGTTCTTAACCTGAAGCACACACTTTAGCTAATGGGGACTCCTGCTGCTGCCGTGCCGCCGGAGCACGATTTCTGTTCTCATCCTGAAGCAAAGTTCTTAACCTGAAGCACCATTTCTGAGTTAGGGGAGTCTGTAACCTGAAGCGTATGTAACCTGAGGTACCACTGTACTTCAGAATCTAGTCCAGTGGGTTGTCCGCCCACCCATCCTATGCAAGCATATGTGCAAAGCAAAATATGTCTTCGTATGTAAATGATCGGTGCTGAGGGGAGAGCTCTGTGTTAGTCGAGTTCTCTGCTCCACAAATTAGGGGCTGGGTCTCCTGTTTCATGATTTGGAAAAATGGCTGGCTCTTTATCCTCCCCGCCTGCCAACACCGCAGCCCGGCTTTGCAGATGTGGGCTGGGAGCTGTCGATAGCAAGACTTACAGGCCCCACCCTGGGGTGAGTCATCTGTTTCCTGCCTTTTGAGCCCCTTCTCGGCCTCAAAATCCCCTCAGAAACAACCAGCAAGACTGTTGCAGCTCTTTCGGACAAATCCCCTCTCTGCTCCTCCTGTTGAGGAGTTGTTTCAGAGTCGATAACAGAAGCGCCGGCGGCCTGTCCTTTCTCCTTCCTTTGGCCTCCTCCTTTGGCCTTCGAGAACTGGATTCTTCCCTCGAGTTGTAGGAATGAGCCCTGGAATCCCTATAGTTCTACCTCCCTCTGTTAAGTCTGCAAACACCTATCCCTGCTTTTAGTTATGGTACACACCCTGGCCAAAAATATGGGGAGAGTCCAAGGTGCTACGGTGTTCTTGTCTACTTTAAACCCCTTTTGCTGCCTCCGCAGAATCCTGCCTGGGAGCCATTTGCCTTCAGTATTGCAACGCGACCCTCAAATCCCACTCCCTCTGCCTCTTATAATTTCGACGGGTATCTGGTGGTTTTGAACCTTCGTGTCTCTTCTTCAAGTGATAATGGAATTCTGGTTTATATCAGAGGAGGTAGACTCCAACTCTCATGATTCCCATCCAGCATGGTCAGTGGTCAAGGATGATGGGAGTTGTAGTTCCCATCTGGGAACCCATTGCTTCCCACCCCTGGTGTGGTTTTCAGCCAGGGTGGATAAAAACCAATGATATTAAAAATAAAATAAATAAATAAAAATTGGATATTTTTTAAATTTAAATCAGAATTTTTTGATCTAAATCAGATTTTTTTTTATCTAAATCAGATTTTTAAAATAAAATGCTTTTGGAGAAAAAAATCTTCTTAAGGATAGTTTTCTGTTTAAGTTACATGATAGTTCAAAGTCTATTCATCAGGAAATAAGGATTTGTTTAAAGTTTTTCATGTGTGCTAAAACTCGGTCTAAGTTTTTTTTTAACTTAGTTGACAAACATGGATACATATGCTATAATGTTATTGTTTTAGTTAAATAAATTGTTTAAAGTGTTATTAAGGAAATGATTATTTTTCTCCTTCCAATAAAGTACAGCAGAAAAGTTGTCCAAATATAAACAGTTAACTTATTAAACCTCACAATAATTTCATAATTATCTCTCTATGTATTTCTAATAGTATAACCAAATCAGTCATTTTTGATATACAGTGGTACCTCAGGTTAGGTACTTAATTCATTCTGGAGGTCCGTACTTAACCTGAAACTGTTCTTAACCTGACGCACCACTTTAGCTAATGGGGCCTTCTGCTGCCGCTGTGCCGCTGGAGCACAATTTCTGTTCTCATCCTGAAGCAAAGTTCTTAACCTGAAGCACTATTTCTGGGTTAGCGGAGTCTGTAACCTGAAGCGTATGTAACCCGAGGTACCACTGTAACTGTAAAAACTACTCTGAAAATTTATTATTCCAAAAATGAAACCTGGTTGTAAATATTAAGATGATACCAGCAAGAATGATCCTTTCTGTTAAAAAAAGGATTTAAATCAAGTCTTACTGACTAGTGATTTAAATCGTGATATACCGTATTTTTCCGTGCATGACTAGGTTTTTTTCATAAAAAATAATTTCAAAAATTAGGGGGCCCCGTCTTATACACGGGGCCATCTCCCCCCATTTTCTTAAATCTGAGTCCCCAAAAATAGGTGGCGTCTTATAGATGAAAAAATGTCGTAATTCCCCCCTGTGCCTCCCAGAAATTGTGAGGGGGTCGGGAGAACCCCCAGAACAGCAATAGGAGGGGAGATGGTTCCATCATCAAGAGAGCAGAAGCTTTTGTACAGGCAGAGTGGTCAACTTAGCGCTACTTTGAATTCCTTCCCTGGGGTTTCAGAGTTACGACTCGGCCTCTCTGCTCACTTCCCCTTTGCTTGTCCCTCCAGGCTTTCAAGATGGCATGAGGTCCAGCTCCAACAGCCGGAGTGGCAGCCACGACAGGCACGAGGACCATACGGACACGTCAGACAGCGAGTCGTTCTCTCTGCAGGTGCGCAAGCTGAACCAGCAGCCTCAAGTCCGCAAGCCGGGAGAACATGGCTACGATCCCAACAGGTAATGCGGGGGATTTTGCTGCGCTTGATTTGAAGAAGCATCCGGGGAGGGGCTGAAGCTGCCCCACAACTTTTAAGATACGTTCTTCATCAGGGACATATTCTCGCATGAGCTCCCCAGACCCCGTTCCATTGCCTGAGCCCAATTCACAGTGCTTGTTCCCAGCTTTCAGGGACCTACATGGGTTGAGACCCAGTTAGCTGAAATCTGCTTCCATCGCACTCTGTTGATGCCCTGTGTTCCTCTTCAGAGGCCTCTCTTTGGGTGCCCTTCCTGCTGGAGAAAGCTCCAGCTTCACTTGTGGCCCTCCAGATGTTGCTTAACTCTAAGCCCCATGGCCTCAGCTGATGTGGCTCCTGGTCTGAGAAGATGGCAACATCTTGGGCAGCTGCTGAGAGCCGATCGCTACTAAAACCGCTCCCTTGGACCCTGCTCTTCCTACTCTCCAATGAATGCCAAGCAGCCGCCTTTGTATTTACCACAATGCCCCCCATAGCAGCGCTGTTGCTGCAAGGCATTCTGGGCAATTACAATGGAGTCCACCTGATGCTCATTGGAGGAGCCCCTTTCTCCTGCTAAGCCCTCCCGCCCACACGTGTGCCCGGCGTAACCATAACATGCATGTTTAATTATGCTAACGAGATTGAACAGCCATAATATAGATCTGACTTTCCAGCTACTTGCAGTGGTGGAACGGCCTGTGGGCCTCTGGGGGGCATTGGACTACAAATCCCATCACCCTTGACCACTGGCCATATTGCCAGGACTGATGGGAGCCGGAGTCCCATAATATCTGCAGGGCCATAAATTAATCATCCCTGGATTAGAGTGATTCACGGCCAGAAAACCTATTATCCTCCAGATGTGGTTGGACTTCCATTCCCATCTAGGGGTGATGGGATTTGTAGTCCACTGATATCTGGAGGGCTATAGGTTCCCCACGCCTCCTCGAACCCATTTATTTCCTTATTTGGCAAATTCTTTTTTTCATGGACGTTGGTTAATGGCCTGGGCCTACTCAATGAAAGTGCAACTTTTGTGGCCAGAATGTGTTGGTTGTTCTTAGCTTAGGTGTGATAATTTTGCTGCACGTGAGACAGTGAGTCCTCCATTCTTGTCCTGCCTTTGAATTCCCCTCAGCTGAACAGGCCGCCCTGATATGCTCCGTTTTGAAATAGAATTGAGGACCTGCTTTCAAAATTGTGATTCTGCTGCTCTGACATCTTCACGGCAGAAATCCCTTTCCCTCACACGTGCACGCGAACATTTAAGAAGTCAGCAACGTGCTTTTAACTCCTGTACTCTTCTCAGTAAGAGACTTGCACATGAGGAGGATGTAGGAAACGTTTCTCCCGGCTTGTGAACATTACCAGAATAGGCCATGCTCCACCATTTCCTGTTGTGCCTCTGAGTGCAACACAGAGCAAAGGACAAGTTATCCTTTAGAAGGCAGAACAGGGAAGAGCTGTCAGTATCACCACATAACCCTCCTCCTGTGGGGTGAATGTACGTTAAAGCATGCATGCGAAAGTAAGTCACAATGTTCACGTGAGCATGCAACACTATTGGCTTGTGTTCTCATGAACACTATCTCTCCTTCTGGAGCAGAGTATTCTGTCTACAGTTTCCCACCACCAGACTTGGATTTTCTCTCTCTTTTTTGTATATATTCCATGGAAATGAAAACCAGGCACTCAGCGGTTTGTTGCAAGAATGTGTGTCTTGCATGGCGAAAGTCTTGGGTTTAACCCCTGACATTGCCCCACTTGTGAATTCCAGCACCTGGCATTCAGAGGGAGAATGTAGCCATCATAGTCCTTGATCACAGCCACCTATGTTCCTTGTTAGAGAACAGCTCCAGTCAGAGGACCTTACTGGGCCTCATGGATCAGTGATCCAACTTGATGTGAGGCAGGCTCTTTTATTGCACTTTTATTGCACTCTTATTTCATAACCCATATCTCTTTTCCACCTGGCCCTATGAGGTAGGCTGAGAGAATACTCTTAAAGCTTGTGGTGTAATTTCATCCCTGAAGATAAACATCCCTGCAAAAACTTGGCCAGTACAAGGATGGAGTGAGACTTTAGAAGCCCACGAAATCCCTTCTCAGCTATCTGGGGGAAGGGACAAATATGAATGAATGGAACAGGTCGCCAGTAGCAAGGGCATCCATGATGCTACTATTGTTTGTTATTGTTTTGTTTCATTGAAGGTTTTGTTGTTTAGTTGTTTAGTCGTTTAGTCGTGTCCGACTCTTCGTGACCCCATGGACCAGAGCATGCCAGGCACTCCTGTCTTCCACTGCCTCCTGCAGTTTGGTCAGACTCATGTTTGTAGCTTCGAGAACACTGTCCAACCATCTCGTCCTCTGTCTTCCCCTTCTCCTTGTGCCCTGATTCTTTCCCAGCATCAGGGTATTTTCCAGGGAGTCTTCTCTTCTCATGAGGCGGCCAAAGTATTGGAGCCTCAGCTTCAGGATCTGTCCTTCCAGTGAGCACTCAGGGCTGATTTCCTTCAGAATGGAGAGGTTTGATCTTCTTGCAGTCCATGGGACTCTCAAGAGTCTCCTCCAGCACCATAATTCAAAAGCATCAATTCTTCGGCGATCAGCCTTCTTTATGGTCCAGCTCTCACTTCCATACATCACTACTGGGAAAACCATAGCTTTAACTATACGGACCTTTGTTGGCAAGGTGATGTCTCTGCTTTTTAAGGTGAGAGGCGGAAAAGGCGGATCCAGCCAGCAGGCCAGATCCTTATCTCCCCTACCTGCTGTGACTGGTGGGAAAGCCTATCACCTGATGCTATGGTGACATGGCATTTGGAAGCCCCGACAGTCAGCTGAATGTTGGGAACTTTGAAATGCTCTTCATAAGACCCTCGCAAACAGCCTTGCACGATGCTGCCTGTCCGCTGTAGTTGGGACTTCAAAGCATCACGCAGGGGCTTTCAAAGAGCTCTGCACTGTGCTCTGAAGTCTCCAATTTTTGGGACTTCAGAAGCACTCTGTGTGTGTTGCTTCAGAAGGCCCCTTTTGTCTCAGCCCAGTTGCCTTCTTAACTGCCCACACCTGATATCAGGTGATTGGCAAGTGGGGGGTGGTTTGGCAGAGCGGCCTGGCAGGCCAAATGGGCTGGGGAGGCCCTGCCTCTGATTTCAGGTATTTGTGGTACCACCCTTTGTAATATATTTGTCTAGATAGTTGGCCTTGGTGAAGATTTGATGTTTTCCTCCCCAAAAAGTTTTTGATTTGAGTTTCTACTGAAATGAGGCTGCATTTTAATGTTGTATTTTAATCTTGTTTTTAAGTTGTATTTTAATCAGTTGTTTTTATACCTGGTGTTAGCCGCCCTGAGCTGCCCTGGCTGGGGAGGGCGGGGTATAAATAAATTATTATTATTATTATTATTATTATTATTATTATTTATTTGCCCCAGGGTAGTTTACAATATCATTTAAATAAAAAAATTAATGCAATAGACAATAAACCTGTTAAAAATGATGGGGGGGGGGAATAACATACTTGGCACAATACACAAATTAAAGAGCTATTGAAACAGCAAAATAAAAAAGTTTTTGTTTGTTTTTAATGTAGCATCTTCCAGTACTGTTTTAAACTGCAAAGTATTAAAATACCTGACTTAACATTGCACCTGAGGGACGATAACATTTGATGCCATGCAATCGCCATAGTGTGAGTCTGTGTTGCAGACTGAGACAGAGGTTATAGATATATACACTGGCCTTTGTGGAAGTAGACAAGAAGAAGATGCTGGATCAGGCCAATGGCTGCTTCTAGTCCAGCACCCTGTTCTCACAGAGGCCAGCCAAATGCCTATGGGGAGCCCACAAGCAGGATCTGAGCACAAGAGGCTCGCCACATTTCTGCAGTTTCCAGCGACTGGGATTCAGAAACACGACCAACTCTGGTTTGCAGCCATTAATCACTTTATCTTCCATGAATCCGTCTAATCTTTTAAAGCCATCAGAGTTGCTGGCCGTCATTACTGCTGGCCTTTCCTGAAACAGGGAGAAAATGTTGGGGTCACATCCTTCGCTGCAGCTTTTTTGATGTAAATTAAGTTTTCCATAACAAATTTCCATTTAAACATATCATTCGCCTTTACTTTTAGGATTCTCAGAATCCCTTGACTTCCCTCCGCCCATCTCTGGTTTCCCTTATCCATCCCTTTTTATTCCACTTATCCTATTCCCCCCCACAATTTGTTATATCTATTTTTAACTTTTCCATTCTGTTTTGTCTTTTACAAGTGTTCTAATCCTGCGAAGGTTTTTAACTGTTTGCAATGTTCTCTTAGGTAACCTATAAACTTTTCCCATTCTCTCCTAAACTTTTTCTCGTCCTGGTCTCTGATTCTCCTGGTCAGTTTCGCCATTTCGGCATAGTCCGTCATCTTCATCAGCCGTCCTTCTCTGGTTGGAACTTTGTCTTCTTTCCCTTTCTGGGCCAGTAGTATTCTTGCTGCTGTCGTCGCATACATAAATAGTCTTTTCTGCTCTTTTGGAATCTATGTACCTATAATACCTAACAAAAAAGCCTCTGATTTTTCCACAAATGTTATTTTAAACGTTTTCCCCCAACTCATTATACATCATTTCCCAGAATGCTTTTGTTACCTTGCACATCCACCACATGTGGTAGAACGTGCCTTCTTTTTATCTGCATTTCCAACATACTTTGCTGCAGTTTTTTCATGTGGCAGGTAACCTGGGCCTCCTTTCGGATGTATTAATAAAATAATAAAAAAAATTCATTTATATCCCGCCATCCCCAGCGGAAGCCGGGCTCAGAGCAGCTAACAACAGTAAAATGATACAACATTCTAAAATCATGTCATTATAAAATCAGTTCACATCAGATTAATGGCAACCATTGGGCTAGAGTTCTGTGAGGATTGCCAAGGGAGGGGGTCAGGCTGTGCCCTGGCCAAAGGCCTGGTGAAACAGCTCTGTCTTGCAGGCCCTGCGGAAAGATGTCAAGTCCCGCAGGGCCCTAGTCTCTTGTGACAGAGCGTTCCACCAGATCGGGGCCATGGCCGAAAAAGCCCTGGCTCTGGTTGAGGCCAGCCTAACCTCTCTGTGGCCTGGGACCTCCAAGATGTTTTTGTTTGAAGACCGTAAGGTACTTCGTGTATTGCTTAAATCACTGTAATCCTGAAACTGAGCAAGACGTGCCCAGTTCTGGGCCTCGGGTGGGAAGCTGGGCAGCGAATTTCAGCCAAGGATGGCCCCTCACTTTTAGCTCCTGCCTGATCTTTCCTGCTTTCGCTGCTTTCCCCCTGCCTGACAGATACCGGCTGCACTTTGACCGGGAGAGTAGAGAGGAGGTGGAGCGGAGGAAAAAGATTGCCCGAGAGAAGATCTTGGAGCCTGCTCCAGAAGTTGAGACAGAGGTGGACATAGAAGATGTTTATAAGACTGGTTCAGGTGAGCAAAGGGGGTCTGGCTAAGGCATTCCTGGGGAGTCTCGGCTGACAAGGGAAAATGCTGAAGATTTCCTCCCTCTGTAAAGCACTACCCCTCCTGGCCTCTGGAGGCAGCAGACAGTTTTGCCCTATGGAAGCACCATATGCAGGTGGTTTAAAAATGGGCCCAATAGGGAAAAAAGGGGATTAAGTATGAAAGTTCCCCATATCACTAAACAGTAGGTTGATAAAGGGTTGCCATATTTTAGAGAAAATCTAGAGCTTTTTTTTTTTTGCCAAAGTTGTTGAGCTTTATTTGCAAAATCTCCAAAAAATAAGTTTTTGAGTTATTTTTAATAGAATTCGCAAAAAAATCAACACTTCTGATACGGGCTGCAATACACCCTGGATTTTCCCGGATATTTAAACCGATTTCTGAAAATTGCACCCGGATTCTATTGTTGGTGGATAAATCCCAGATAGGTCCAGGAAATTCCGGACTTATGGCAGCCCTGGTTTGATATATATATATAGATAGATAGATATAGATATAGATATAGATATAGATATAGATATATATATAACATTAATGTGCCTGCATGCAAGTTTAAATCTCCTTAATGGCCTGCCAACTTGCCATGTTGCCCACGTTCCATCAGTTCAGTAAGTCTTCTCAATTCAGTTTGGCTATATCTTCCAACTGATCCTTAACCTTTCTCAGCACTGGATTTTCCAAAACGCCCGCCCTGGAATTATCAGATGACCAAGGACCAGCTCTTAGCCCGAGAGGAGAAGTGTTTTCGGGAATATCTCGAGAATATCTACAGTACATTCCCACCAAGCCAGCTGAGCTACTTTGAGCACAATTTGGAGGTGAGCCTTTAAAAGCCTTAAGAGGAAACTCAGGCTGAATGGTTCAGCTGTATTGGAGCTGAGTGGGGTGATCTTTTCCACCAGTCCATTCCTTTCATGCAGCCAGAGTCAGTGTCAAAAAAGGATTTGTAACTGGCTGTCTTGTGTAATTAACTTTGCTTGTACGGTTCAGGGTTTCAGCTATTTTGGGGCAAGAGCTGGGGCGACAAAGAGTTGTGTTTCTTTAGCCACATTCATGCCATGCCTTTAAAACACAACAATACCACTTTAACCTGTCATGGCTTCTCCCCAAGGAATTCTGGGGGCTGCAGTTTGTTAAGGGTGCTGAGAGTTGTTGAGATACCCCAATATATTCCCCTTACAGAACTAAAATTCCCAGAGTTCCCTCTGAAGAGGGACTGGTTGTCATAAACCACTCTGGCAATTGTAACTCTATGTGAGGGGAATTGTGGGGTCTCCTACCAGCTCCCAGCAACCTTAGCAAACTACGGCTCCCAGAATTCTTTGGCAGAAGTCAAGACTGTTTAAAGAAGTATTGTAGTGCTGTAAATATATGGTGTGAATGTGGCCTTTGTCTCTGCAGCCCTCGGTGTAACTTGAGACCTGATCCAGCCTAATCCAATTTGGTGTGCTGTCTCCTACACTCTATCAAAAAGCTGTGACTAAATGCAGGTTGTAGCTAGATCATCAAACCAGCTCCTTTCTCTCTCTCCCCCATTCCTTTTTTGCTTAATGTTCAGTTCAACAGAGTCCTGGAGAATGTGAAAGTTTGCTCACTATTTTATGACATTTACGTTGGCCCTTATAAAGATATCGCCCCCAACTGCAGATTTTGGATTCCCCCCACCGTATGAACCAGCACTGTTTCCTTTGCCTCCAGTCCTTTAAGAAACTATTAATACTAGTTAACGCCTAATTCTGTTTCCATGGATATTCGCTTCACATGTTATGCCGTTTCTAAACAGGAAATGCTATTGTGCAGAAAATAGCATGAGAATCATGTGGCAATTGCACATGTGCATATTTCACTGGGTGTACAAGCAATGAAAAGGATGCAGTTGACAGCAGCTCCCCAGGATTCGTGCACCCAGTGAGACAATGTGTGCGATTTTCACACATGACAATCTAACACGCGGCTTTCGTGCTTTTTCCTATGTGCTTTCATTTTTTCATTTTCTTTCTTTCTTTCTTGGGTTTTTGGTGCAGTGTAAACACAATGACGTTTGCTGATTCTGTTCCAAAGTGCCAATTAAGCCTTGGGGAGTTGTGATTGCTGGGATACCAGTCCTGACTCCAATTTGATTTCGAGCATTGTGACCCAGGTTCAAAGGGGTCCTTTTAATCCGCTTAGGCCTAGTGTAATCTTACACAGGCCTTTTTCTAATCTCCTGGTTTCTCTTGTAGACATGGAGGCAGCTGTGGCGTGTACTGGAGATGTCCGACATTGTGTTGCTCATTACAGACATCCGGCACCCAGTAAGGACACTTTGCAGTTCTGTTGATGACTGGTGGCTCGTTCTCGATAGACCTTGTTTGCGCAGACCTTTGACTTGGTTTCTCAGATCCTTTAATGCGATTTAACTAGCTAAACAGGAGGACAATTTCTAGGGCCGAGTCCATGGGCTGCTGCCTCCCCCCGAAAAAGTATTTTTCTACACGCCCCAAGTGTGGTCCTAGGGTAGCAATTTAATGCAAATTCCTAGCTAAGAGCCACTTAAGAATAAAATGGGGAAATCCTTCAGGAGCCACTGTTGGTATACTGCCAGGGAGATAAAGTCCATCATGGCCCCCAAGCCGGCTGCCGGACGATCCATCGATCTCCCGTAGACACGCAGTATCAGCAATTAGCGACATGAGCTCCAGAACATTCTAGAGCCGATGCACACTCTTTATCAGCAGATAATGCACAGCAGAAGTTGCACTCAGGAGAGCATTATTTACAAGCTTTATTCAGCGTTGATCAGAACAAAGAAAAACATGACTGCCTGCGTCAGTGTCTCCAGACACAGAGAGAGAAACGAAAGCAACAGAAAACATAAACATCCTGTGAACAGGACATGCGCAGACTCTGACTCACAAAGCCTGCTCCCTTTTAAGGTGGAACGGAAATATCCTAACAGCCACATGCTCTGGGTCCTGGGGGCAGTGTCTCCCATGACAATGTGGAATGGCATTTTGTATAAAGTCACCCCCACCTGCCACTACATTCTGTTTTTTTAATATTAATTTTTATTTGGTTTTACAAATTAAAATTTACTTTCAGAATCACAGATAAAACAAACAAGCACAAGATTCTCTCGAATCTTTAGACTTCCCTCCATGGGTTCCGTACTTGTCATTTTCTACTGCATATTCTAAGTCATTCCAATTATTTGGTTGTTCATTACATCCAAAGTCCTTGTTACATTACAAATGTTTATTTGAGTTCAATGGTTTACAGTGGTAGCTCCCAAATAAATCTCCCCCATTCTTTGTTAACATTTTGGTCTTCCTGGTTTCTGATTTTCCCGGTGATTTTTGCCATCTCTGCATAGTCCATCAACTTAAGTCTGTCATTCCACTCTGGTAGGGACCTTGTCATCTTTCCATCTCTGGGCCAAAAGCATCTTGCCACCTGTGGTCTAAACCACTGAGCCTCTTGGGCTTGCCGATTGGAAGGTCGGTGTTTCAAATCCCCACAACGGGGTGAGCTCCTGTTGTTCTGTCCCAGCTCCTGCCAACCTAGCAGCTCGAAAGCACACCAGTGCAAGTAGATAAATAGGTACTGCTGCGGCAGGAAGGTAAACAGTATTTCTGTGCGCTCTGGTTTATGTCACGGTGTCCTGTTGTGCAAGAAGCAGTTTAGTCCTGCTGGCCACATGACCCAGAAAGCTGTCTGTGGACAAACGCTGGCTCCTTCGGCCTGAAAGCGAGATGAGCGCCGCAACACCATAGTCACCTTTAACTGGACTTAACCGTCCAGGGGTCCTTTCCCTTTACATTCTAATCACATCTATGTCACAGAGAAGAAAGAAGGAAGAAATACATATTCTTAGCTCTCACTGTTCGGGATCTCTCACTTAATTACTTAATTTGGTTCTCCCTTCCTGCCCAGGTAATCAACTTCTCCCCAGCCCTCTATGACTTCGTGACTAAGCAGATGAAGAGGAACCTCATCCTAGTACTGAACAAGATTGACCTGGCTCCCCCATCCCTGGTGGTGGCCTGGAAGCACTACTTCAAGAGCCGCTTCCCCGAAATCCACGTGATCTGCTTCACTTCCTACCCGCAACAGGACCAAGATCCCAGCACTGGTATTTCCTTTTTCTTTTTCCAATAAATTTCATTAGCGTTTATAAAGAAGAGATACAAAACTGATACCAAATAGATAATTTTTTAATCCAACGTAAATGTAAATGAAATCAAAAACATAGAGAAGAAGAGGAGAAAAAGAAAAGGAGGAGAAAAGAAAAGGAGAGAGAGAAAACAAGTGAAAACAATCAGAAGAAAGAGATAGAAAAGAACTCAAAAGGGAGAGTAGAAAAGATAAAACACAGAAATTAAAGATCTGTTTTTTCGAAGCACCCCCTTTGACTTCCATGCCTTCCTAAACTGCATGGAAGTCAAAGATGCTGCTATGGTTGCCTGCCTCCCTTTTTCTGAATCTTTAGATCCAACTACTTTTTTAGGAAGAGGTGCGTTGGCTCACACCCTTTACTTCCCTGCTGGGTGAAATCTTGGCTCCCAGGACTTGATTTTCTGGGTTTTCTCTCTTGTCAGTGTTTAAGAAACGCCGGAAGCGTCGAAAGGGCTGGAGCAGAGCCATGGGGCCCGATCAGCTGCTGAGCGCTTGCGAGAGCATCGTGGCTGGAAGAGGTGAGTTTGCATGCGTCACTCTGAGCTCTTGGCTTACCCCTGCGGAGTTGGTTTTTGTTAGGTAGATTTCTTGCTTTATTGTTTGGCGTCCAGCACGCTTCCCCCTGCGAGCCTCTGCAGGTCGTAAAGCAAATTAGCAAAATTGCACAGCGTCCGTGTTGAAAGGGCAGTAAAACAAGTACCACATGTTTCCTCTGTCCTAATATCACTTTATTTGCTCAAAAGTAGCATATTTACAAATCATAAAGACCATCAGATTGTAGCTGCATTTTCTCTGCGTCCTTCTCTCTCAGCTTGCAGCTGCGTAACAAAGCTGCTTTCACTTTTCACTCAGCTCACAGCATTCCCAGCTGCTTTCTTCACGTCCTGGCTTACTTCCCTTGTAAGCGCCTCCTCTCAGCCTCGAGACACAGAAGGTTAACCCTTCACTACACCCAACAGTTTTACTCCAGGGCTAAAATTCTTCTGGAGGTCAGCACCTGTTTGTTCTTTAAACAAGGAAAGCGCCCAGAACTCAATCCTGCTTATAAGCCGCATTTTCTGATCCTGAAGCTTCTTTAGCCCATGCAAATGGAACCTCAGAAATAATGAGCGGCACTCTGTGGCTCAGTTTGTATGTAGCACTGAGCCTAAGCATGGCTTAGCATGAAGGTGAAGGCTCCTGGAGAGATCATGGCTGCTTTGTTCCACCTCCGCTGCTGCTGCTGCTGTGCTACTGTGAGATAAGCCACGGTTTGGTTTACTGTGACATCTGAACCTCTGCTCATGGTTTGTTTCTTTGAGACAAACCACAGGCCTGTAAACCAAGAGCAAACCTTGGTTACCAAACCATAGCTTAGCTTACAGCAGTGCAGCAGGGTCAGGACTAGAGCGGGAGCAAAGTAGCCATGATCTTCCCTCTGGGAAGGTAAAAGTGTAAAGGTTAAGTCCAATCAAAGACGACTATGGGGTTGTGGCGCTCATCTCGCTTTCAGTCCGAGGGAGCCGGCGTTTGTCCACAGACAGCTTTCCAGGTCATGTGGCCAGCATGACTAAACTGCTGCTCACGCAACGGGACACCGTGACGGAAACCAGAGCGCACAGAAACGCCGTTTATCTTCCCGTCGCAGCGGTACCTATTTATCTACTTGCACTGGTGTGCTTTGGAACTGCTAGGTTGGCAGGAGCTGGGACAGAGCAACGGGAGCTCACCCCATCTCAGGGATCCGAACTGCCGACCTTCAAATCAGCAAGCCCAAGAGGCTCAGTGGTTTAGACCACAGCACCACCCATGTACTTATGTGTTCACACTAACCCATGGCTAACATAGCACATGGACCAGGCCTGTGTCTGCTCTAAGGTTCCCTCCAGCTAATCTAGGCATTGAGAGTAACACAGTCCCAACAAAGTTTTGATACGATATTTGTGCAGCCCAGTTTTCCTTCTCTTTCAAGCGGAAGTAAGCCCCACATAATTTCACCTGTGCTTGGATTTGTGCATTGGATTTCAGCCTTAGATTCAAAAACGGGTTGTGTGGTACTGTTTGCATCACTGCTTGTTATGAGTCTTTTTTTGGCATCTCTTTCCTCTTTTCTCCAGTGGACTTGAGCAGCTGGAAGGAGAAAATCGAGCGGGATGCAGCTACCTCTCGCCTGCCGCTTGAGGACTCGGAGGAAGAGGACGACGATGACGAAAGCGCAGCTGTACTAGTGGAGCACCAGACGGATGTGGCCATGGAAGCCGGGGGCTTCTCCCAGGAAATCTATAAGGATGGAATCCTGACAGTGGGCTGTGTAGGTGAGTGCGCCCTCTGGTGGTGGACAAAGACATCCAGCTAGAAACTGTTGAGTGTTGACTCTTACGTTGGGCTGCGATGGTTATATAAGTACTTGCTTAAGAAATAGTAAAGGTAAAGGGACCCCTGACCATTAGGTCCAGTCGTGGCCAACTCTGGGGTTGTGGCGCTCAGCTCGCTTTATTGGCCAAGGGAGCCAGTGTACAGCTACTGGGTCATGTGGCCAGCATGACTAAGCCGCTTCTGGCGAACCAGAGCAGCGCACGGAAACACTGTTTACCTTCCTGCCGGAGCGGTACCTATTTATCTACTTGCACTTTGACGTGCTTTCGAACTGCTAGGTTGGCAGGAGCAGAGACCGAGCAACGGGAGCTCACCCCGTCACAGGGATTCGAACCGCCGACCTTCTGATCAGCAAGTCCTAGGCTCTGTGGTTTAACCCACAGCACCACCTGCGTCCCACAAAGAAATAAGCTTTATTAAATGATTGCCTCATTTGCTGCTCTTTATATTATATATTTATATTATATTATTGCCTTCCTGAATGGGTACCTGATGACACAGTTTTCCCTTCCTCCTCTAAACCCTCCTTTTATGTATGGTCTTTGGTTTGGTTTATCCTCATAGTCCTCATTTGTCACTGCAGCCAACCTTTAGGCCAACGGTTCTCAACCTGTGGGTCCCCAGATGTTGTTGGACTACAACTCCCATCATCCCTGAGCTCCAGCCTTGCTAGCTAGGGGTGATGGGAGTTGTAGTTCAATAACATCTGGGGACCCACAGGTTGAGAAAGTTTGCTTTAGGCAAATGCAGTGGTATCTGCCCACATTCCTTCTATACTTTCCTTACCTCTCCTCCCTCCCCCCTGCTCTCTGTTTCCCCACTTGCCTGTTTTGGATTTTAAAGCTCATTGGGAGTGAGGACCCACCTGCGTTGCCTTTCCTTGAGGCCCCGTAGGCAGCAAGGGTGCAGCATAAATAAATCGGTGAACCTTATAGGGTATCTAATGCAGGACATGCAGGGCTAGAGCATCCCTAACAAATGACTTTCCAGGCTCAGCTTGAAAACGTTCAGATTTTAAAGCTCATTGGGAGTGAGGACTTGCCTCACTGTGAGACCCCACGTGCACCAGTGGTGCAGCATAAATACATTTGGAGGTAGACCTCAGAGGACATCCATGACCAGAGCATCCACAACATACAATTGCCCAGCCTCTGCTTGAAGACCTCCAATACCTCTTCCTCCCTCATAGGCTTTCCCAACGTGGGCAAGTCCTCGCTCATAAATGGCTTGGTGGGCCGCAAGGTGGTGAGCGTCTCCCGCACTCCAGGCCACACCAAGTACTTCCAGACCTACTTCCTGACGCCCACAGTCAAGCTGTGCGACTGCCCTGGGCTCATCTTCCCCTCCCTTGTGGACAGAAAACAGCAGGTAAGTGCTTGTGAAGTAGGAGAGGAGTGGAGGAGACAAACAATCTGGGAGGGATTTGTTGCTGGGGCTTTGGGGGAGAGGGCGTGAGGTTGAACAAGGTGGGAGATGGTATTTGTGTTGTTTCTTCAGGAGGGCGAGTAGAACTCAAAAGTCTGGTTGGTCTCACATTGGTTGAAAGGAAATCTCTTGTGTCTTAATCTGCTTCCACGGAGTAATACATGGGATCTGCAAGCCCTGTAACAGGTGTGCCCTTGTGCTCTCATTTTTAGATCTTGGCTGGCATCTACCCTATTTCCCAGATCCAGGAGCCCTACACTTCTGTGGGGTTCCTGGCCAGCCGAATTCCAGTCCAAGCCTTGCTCAAGCTGAAACATCCGGACGCCGAACATGGGAAACCTGAGCCCCCGTGGTGCGCCTGGGATGTCTGCGAAGGTAAAAGGGTAAACGAGGGTGCAGCGAGGGCATGGCGCTGCCGTTTAGCACAGGGTAGCCAACCCAGATGTCGTAGACCAGGGTTTCCCAAACTTGGGTTGCCAGCTGTTTTTGGACTACAACTCCCATCATCCCTGACCACTGGTCCTGCTAGCTAGGGATGATGGGGGTTGTAGTCCAAAACAGCTGGAGACCCAGTTTGGAAAAACCCTGCCACAGATAGCAACTACCAGCCTCACTCAGCACAGCCAATTGTCTGGGATAATGCAGGTGGGTGGGGTCCATGACATCTGGAGGGCACCATGCTGGCAACCCTTGATTTAGCAGGAAGGCTGAGCATTGTCAATACGTCTGTGAACTCTGACACCATCTCTACCCTCTTTTTAGCCTGGGCTGAGAAGCGAGGCTACAAGACTGCCAAGGGAGCCCGCAATGACGTCTACCGAGCAGCCAATAGCCTCCTACGCCTGGCAGTGGACGGGCGCCTCTGTGTCTGCATGAGGCCTCCGGGCTACTCTGCAAGGAAAGGTACCTGTGGTTAAGGATCAAATAATCAAGCTTATAAAAGCCTCACTTGAAGCAGAGTCAGCAGGAGCTATGCAAGGGAAAGTCCTGTCTCACAAACCTATTAGAATTCAATGTCAACGAGCATGTAGAGAGTGGGGATCTGGTTGACACAGTGTACTCGGACTTCCAAAAAAGCTTTTGACAAAGGTGCCTCAGCAAAGACTCCCGAGTAAGCTTAGCAGTCATGGGATAAGAAGAAGAGGTTTTGTAGTGGATCAGGAATTAAGGTTAAGTATTAGGACTTGCCGATCAGAAGGTTGGCAGTTCGAATCCCCACGATGGGGTGAGCTCCCGTTGCTCGGTCCCTGCTCCTGCCAACCTAGTAGTTTGAAAGCACGTCAAAGTGCAAGTAAATAAACAGATACCACTGCGGCGGGAAGGTAAACGGCGTTTCTGTGCGCTGATCTGGTTCGCCAGAAGCGGCTTAGTCATGCTGGCCACATGACCCGGAAGCTGTATGCCGGCTCCCTCGACCGATAAAGCGAGATGAGCGCCGCAACCCCAGAGTCGGCCACGACTGGACCTAATGGTCAGCGGTCCCTTTACCTCTACCTTTATCAGGAAGCAGAGAGTAGGAATAAATGGGCAGTTCTTTGAATGAAGAGGTAGAGAAAGTGAAGCCACCAAGTTTCAACATTGGGACCTGTACTTTTCATAGCATCGTGGAGTTGGAAGGGACCCTGAGGGTCATCTAGTCTACAATAAGGAATCTCAATTTAAAAGCATCCATGACAGATGGCCATCCAACGTCTGCTTTAAAACCTCCAGTGATGGAGGGTGCACAACCTCCCGAGGGAGTCCGTTCCACTGTCAAACAGTTCTTAGTGTCAGAAAGTTCTTCCTTATGTTTCATTGGAATCTCCTTTCTTGTAACTTGAATCCATTGGTTCAGGTCATCATCACCATCATCATCTAGTTACAGTTAGGTAGCCTTGCTGGTCTGCTGTAGTCAAAACAAAATAAAAAAATTCCTTCCAGTAGCACCTTCGAGACCAACGAAGTTTGTTGTTGGTATGCGCTTTCGTGTATCTGAAGAAGTGTGCATGCACACGGAAGCTCATACCAACAACAAACTTACCGGTAGTTGGTCTCTAAGGTGTTTACCTTTTTTAAGGTGCTACTGGAAGGAATCAGCATCAACATTGTCATCAATTTATACCCCACCCATCTGGCTGGGTTTCCCCAACGACTCAGGGCAGCTCCTAACAGAATATTAAAAACACTATAAAACATCAAACATTAAAAACTTACCTAAACAGGATTGCCTTCAGATGTCTTACTGTCCTACTCTCCAGAGCAGGAGAAAACCAGCTTGCTCCATCTTCCATGTGACAGCCCTTTTGCACTTGTTCGTAAATGATCTGGAGTTAGAGGTAAACTAGAGGCTTATCTCCTGGGAATCGCGGCAAAATGGAAGAGTATTGAAATTCCCTCTGTACATGAATGGATACAAAAGCGGACAGAATATGCAGAATTAGATGGTCTATCAGAAAAAATAAAGAATAAACCAAAACAGGAATTTGTTTCAAAATGGGAGGTTTTCAAAGAATATTTGAAATATAATTACAGTAGTTTAAATTCTGTTGCAGCATTTGAGGAATTTCAGTAATAGTTGCAAGTTAGACATGAGAGTTAAGGTATATTAAGAATAAGTTAAATTATGATAAAAGTGTGTATTGGTAATAAGTAATATAAAATAGAAATAAGGAATAGACGGGAGGTCGGGTCTATAGTGTTAAGAGAGCCAGTGTGGTGTAGTGGTTAAGAGCGGTAGTCTCGTAATCTGGGGAACCGGGTTCGCGTCTCCGCTCCTCCACATGCAGCTGCTGGGTGACCTTGGGCTAGTCCCACTTCTTTGAAGTCTCTCAGCCCCACTCACCTCACAGAGTGTTTGTTGTGAGGGAGGAAGGGAAAGGGGAATGTTAGCCGCTTTGAGACTCCTTAAAGGGAGTGAAAGGTGGGATATCAAATCCAAACTCTTCTTAAGACCAACTTACATTTTATTGTTTGTTAAAAAAATTGTGTTTATTGTTATTCCTGTGTGTAATTTTGTATTTGCGTTTTCTTTTCTTTTTTTGCATTAATAAATAAAAAATAATAATTATTAAAAATAATAATAATAAACCATCAGAGATTTATGAAGCGCTCCGAACGGACCTCTCCAAACTGAGCACATGGGTGGTAAAACGGCAAATGCAGTTCAGCGTAAACAAGTGTAAAGTGATGTGTGTTGGGACAAAATGTCTATATACAGTCGTGGAATCTGAAATTGAGACTTTCAGGAGACAGTTCCCCACACCGTTTTACTTGAATATGAAATTTGCCACCTTAGTGGCTTTCACTGGGTGACCTTTGACCCTTGGCAATTCCTGTGATTCTGACAGTCTCCTCTCTCTCTCTCTCTCTCTCCCCCCTTCAGCCATGTGGGAACACCACCCTGAAACAGCTGAGATTGCCGCTTTGCAAGAGGCCCACCGCCATGATGGCAAGCGCAGCTCTGGGGAGGAGGAAGAGGAGGAGGAAGACGAAATCTCCAGCTCGGGAGAAGAAGAGGATGACGAGAAAGACCGGGATGCAGACGAAGAAGGCGAGGAGGAAGAAGAACCGCACTCGGCGCCCAAGAGCGGGCCTAGCCAGCCTGGCCCTTCTAGGAAGGGAAAGTTTGCTGGCCGGAACTTGTTTGCTTTGCTTGGGGAGGATGAATGTTAGCAGCTTCCCCTGATGGACAGACTGAGAGGGGATGGATGGCTCTCTCCTCTCCCCCATTCTGCTCCCGTCTCTACCCCCCCACACACCCCATGTTCATTCTCAAGCTCCAGAGCCGCTGTATATCAATAAAGGTGATGTTTATTTCCTGGCCCACCTCCCATCACTGTGGGGAGGGCATAGGGCAAGGGATAAGAATGCAGGGTCGGCCTGACATCCTTCAGTTCTCTGGCTCCGACAGCGGCTATCCAGGCATTTCTGTAAAACTCGCAATCAGGACATGAAGACGAGAGCCACCCTCTCTTTGTGACCCCCACCCTGTCTGAGGAAATCCCGTATACAAATAGCAAATTCAATTTCCTAGCTGCCAGCCTTTATGTGGCCAAAATGGAACCCTTCCTCCAAGGAAGAGAGGGAGGTACCAGTAACCTTGAGGCAGCTCCATTGGTTATGTATGTCCAATAATTTTTTAGGTGGGGGGAAAAGATAGCCAAAGCCACGCAATGAGAACTGCACATGCTCAGTGGGTACAGAAAACTGGGGGTGGGGGTGGGGCGCTGGTGGACAGCAGGAATGGAAAACTGGAGAGGGATGGAAAGCAATGGAGTGTGCTGGAAAAGGGTAATGTTTTGAATCAGAAGCACTCAGTGCCTCAGCATTTTCTTCCAAGTCTTTACTGGACAGGCTGCTCTGGTGCTTATCACTGGAGATAGAGAGAGTACCTTGCCTTCAACTTCTTCTCAATGCCAGCATCCCCCTTCCTTCATCCATAGCCATATATGACGATTGCTGAGCCTGATGGGGGTTGTAATTCAGCAACATCTGGAGGGCCAGAGGTTCCCACACTTACTTGCAGGCTCCGGACTAAGACCGAGATCATCAGAGTTGGGTCCTTGTTGACTAAGAGCGCCGGGGATTATGGGAGTTGTAATCCAACAACATCAAGGGACCCAAGATTGAATGATGCTGGCTTGTAGGACATACTGCTGCCTAGGCTAAGCAGTCCTGGGTCTTGGTAGGAGGCCACAGGTATACCACCTTGAGTTTCGTGATGGAAGAAGGGAAGGATATGGCAGCAGAAAAGTAGAATGTTTCTTAAATAAATCAAGGTCCATGGTTGCTTTTTGCTGAGCCCTGCTATATAGGTCTGCAGGACTCTGCCTCATGTTGGATTTTGGGCAGGGGGGAGGTGTGTTGCCAGGATACTCTTGTCATCCTGCTTGCATTTTTTGTGTATAAAGAATGTAAATCATTTTAACTGATTTTAATAGCATTCTGATATTGCTTTAAACTGCCCAGCAACACCTTCAGGTCATGTGTGTTTCCTTTGTTGATTCCAGTATCCATCCGGTCAAGACCAGACCCAGAGGCAGGGATGGTCTTCAAACAATGATTAATCCTGGTCTTAGCGTAACTCCTCCTCCTGCCCATGATCACTGAGATCAGATGTCCCAGTGCATCCCCCCCTGTGGAACCTGCCCCAGCCATTCTGAGGCTGGGGCCCACTCACATGCAGCCCTGATCCCGCCCCTTAAAAACAAAACACAAACTATACAACCAATAAACAACAAAAAAGAAAAACAAAACAGTTATACTCAAATTAATCCTGAACCAGATATCCACCCCCCCAACACAGCAAAAAAAAAGGGGGGGGGGAGAGAAAAATTAAAATGCCACCAACTGCTTAAGGGCATTTTAAAACACATTAGACACTAATTTCTATAGCATGTGAGCCTTTGTCTCAGTGTCAGGTAAACAGGTATTTTGTTTTTATTGGCGGTGGGAGAGACCAGAGTGTCCAGGAGGTTTTTGGTTGCAGGATATTTGTCAAAGCAATGCTCAATCTCTGTGGTATTTCAGAGTGACCCCCAGTGGTTGTTTACACATGCGAGGGATCCATCGCCTGCTGCAGTCAACATGTGGCAACCGTGTGCGTCTAAACTCCTGGGAGGTAGAGACCCAAATCTGGGGATGGCAGATCTCTAGCTAGGGATTGACCCAAGCTCCTTCTGCCCGCTGACCAGAAAAGCCATATCCCCCACACAAAAAAAGCCCACCCTGAGATTCCTTCTCCTTTCACTCTCCAGTTTTACAAAGGCAAACTCCTATTAGGCAAAGGTGGGTTGCAGAACTTCTAACAAAATTTTGCTTTAAAAAAAATGGTGGTGGTTCTCTCATTGCGAATAAGTGAGGTTCATAGACCACAGAATCATAGAGTTGGAAGGGACCAAGAGGGTCATCTAGCCGAAAACACTATAATGCAGGAATCTTTTTGACAAGGTGGGACTCAAACCCACAACCTCAAGAAACTCATGCTCTACCAGCTGAACTATCCCAGGACTCAGATCAAATTCAGCCGGTAGGATTGCAAACAATGAATCGGGAGCAAAGCTTTTGTATGAATATATTACCTCAAGTTATTCTGATGCTTCCAAATGCACTGGTAAAAGAAATTTTCAGATTGAACAAGTGGTATCATCATCATCATTATTCCCCAGCCAATTGGGGCAGCTTCCAGCAAAATATAAAAACATAGTAAGACATCAAACATTAAAAACTTCCTGAATCTGCTTCTTTGAGAGAAGCCGACAAATTTAGGACGGATGCTCTATATCAACTCAATGACAGGGAACCAGCCAGGGAATCTTCATGGTAGCAGCACCTGCTCTGTGGAACGCTCTGGAATGCTCTCCCGTCAGTTGTCAAGGAAATAAACATCTATATGACTTTTATAAGACAGCTGAAGGCAGCCCTGTAATGGAAAAGCTTTTAATATTTGATGTTTCATTAGTTTTTTAAAAAATATTCTGTTGGGAGCTGCCCTAGTGGCTGGGGAAACCCAGCCAGATGAGCAGGTATAAATAAGGTTGTTGTTATCATATTATTATTATGCTTAATTGATAGCAGTTCCCGGAAGCCGCCGGAGGGGAGAGATGCTCTTGGGCTCCCATCCTCCTTGCAGGCTTGGCCACCATGAGGAGACAGTGCTGAGATTCCTGCATTGCAGGGGGTTGGACTAGATGACTCTCAGGGTCCCCTTCCATCTCTAGGATTCTATGATTCTAACAGGGTGCGGGACTAGATGGGCTTGATCAAACTACAGGGCTCTTCGGGGTGTGTGTGTGTGTGTGTGTGTGTGTGTGTGTGTGGGAGAGAGAGAGAGAGAGAGAGAGAGAGAGAACCTTCAGGAAGAGGCCCCTGTCTCTTATTTGCAACTAGGATGAATCAGCTGCAATACCCCCACACTTGAGCCACTGCTTCCCTGCCTGCTCTCTCTCCACCCCCAACTATGGGTACTGCATTGCGCACACCCCCCCAAAGCTTGCTGCACCCCGAGGCGCTTTGCACTCAGCGGATTCCTTGCAGGACAAGGGCAGTGCACGACGGCAGAGGGGGTGGGTCAGCTGTTCCGCTTAAGCCGAGCCCCCTTTCCGAAGTCAGTATGGAGCAGCCCCACCCTCTCTGTCTCTCTCTAGCAGCTTGCACTCTCTGGCTTTAACCCTTAAAGCAAGGAGCATCTGTTCCCTATACGCGAAGCCCAGGTTCCCTCCCTCCTCTCCCCATTGGCTGGGTACTGCAATTATCCCGCCCCCGGAGATATCCTGCCTCCCAGGCGGGGCTCCCATTCCTGCCCCCGCTGCCCAGGGTCGCTGCTGCTGCCAGGATTTCGGGTGAGTGCAAAGCCAGCGGCGGGGAAAGGAGGGAGGGGGCTTGACAAGGGGGTCCAGGATGAGAAGCCCCGGGGCGGGGAGAAGAAGAGAAGGGAGGAAAGGGAGCTGTTTCTCTTAATGGGGCCTTGAAGGGGGGGGGGGGCGTGTTCCTCTGTGAAAGGAGAGAAGCTTCCGCCTGCCGGGATCTGCTGCAAAGGGAGTTGCAGGGAATCGGGAAAGGGGAGAGGGTTGGGTATTGCAGACCAGGCTCGCCATAGTAATAATTATATAAATAAATAAATGACATTTATACCCCCCCCTCATTTTCTGGATTTCCCCAGCCACTCTGGGCGGCTTCCAACAAAATATGAAACACCAAAAACATCCAAACATCCAAGTCTTCCGTTTTGTAGAGGAGATGGGGACGTGGATTGCTGGATGGCAGAGGGAGAAAGAGGAAAAGATGGCGAGGAAAACAAAGGCAGGGGGGTCCTGGCAGGAAGAAAGAAGGGGTGAGGCCTTCTCCAAAGCAGCTCTTTGTTCCTTGAACTCCTTGCATAAAGTAGTGGGGGCAGGGCCGGATTGAGGTTTGATGAGGCCCTAAGCTACTGGAGGTAATGGGGCCCTTTCTATGTCCAGCTGTTCTTTGTCAACCACAAATTGTCGCTGTTTTTTGTGTTGAATATAGGCTGTATGGTAATTTATGGACCTAATAGGTATCTAAAACCATTTGCACATAACAGAGTATGCATTTTCTCAAAGTAATTGTTGAACTGAAATACAATTATGAAGTATTTTGTTCTTACAACAAACTTAATATTGCAAACACATTGGCATTTGGCAATAACAAAAGTTCCTTTAGAAACACAATTTATAAAGACTCCTAATCTAGTCCTAGAAACTTGCTATAATAAAAGGTGTAAATATATGATGCAAACTAGTATTATAATAGCATTATTAAGATGAAATTAATTGTTATAGCCTGTACAATGCAATTGTAGCTAATACAATGCATTTTTTTATATAAGTATCAATATTACCACAATAGTCCACATTCTTCATTGGGACAGCAGACCTTTGTACCCTGTTACACTTAGTGAGTGTAAAAGACAGTATTTCTAGTAATATGTTGCATTTATAAATAATACCAATACTATACACACCTGTACATAAAAATTATTTTACAGGACTAATTGTATTACTGCATCTACCCAATACCCATTCAACTGTATAATTTTATCATGATTCATTGTGTACTGTGTATACAAACAGTACACAAACATGATCTAAATTACAATACTTTCCTTCTTGCCTTTGCCAAAGCAAAGTCACTGAGGATATCATCAAATGATAAACTGCTTAGCTTGTCACTTTCTATGTACATGAGGCTGAAGTAACATAATTTATCTTGAGACATTGTTGTTCAAATTCATTTTTTATCCTCTTCAGCTGAGAAATGAATCTTTACAAATGGCAATTTGCAATCATCATTCAAAGGAACATTCTCAGAATTGCTTCTACATTAGCGAATGCTGATTGGACATCGTTGTTGTTCTTTAGTCACTTAGTCGTGTCTGACTCTTTGTGACCTCATGGACCAGAGCACGCCAGGCACTCCTGTTTTCCATTGCCTCCTGCAACTTGGTCAAACTCATGTTAGTAGCTTTGAGAGCACTGTCCAACCATCTCGTCCTCTGCATATAAGTTAAATAAGCAAGGAGACAATATACAGCCTTGTCGTACTCCTTTCCCAATTTTGAGCCAATCAGTTGTTCCATATCCAGTTCTAACTGTTGCTTCTTGTCCCACATAGAGATTTCTCAGGAGACAGATGAGGTGGCCAGGCACTCCCATTTCTTTAAGAACTTGCCATAGTTTGCTGTGGTCCACACAGTCAAAGGCTTTTGCGTAGTCAATGAAGCAGAAGTAGATGTTTTTCTGGAACTCTCTAGCTTTCTCCCTAATCCAGCGCATTGTTGCAATTTGGTCTCTGGTTCCTCTGCCCCTCCAAAATCCAGCTTGCACTTCTGGGTGTTCTCGGTCTGTGTACTGTTTAAGCCTGCCTTGTAGAATCTTAAGCATAACCTTGCTAGCGTGTGAAATGAGCACAATTGTGCAGTACTTGGAGCATTCTTTGGCGCTGCCCTTCTTTGGGATTGCGTTGTAGACTGATATTCTCCAATCCTCTGGCCACTGCTGAGTTTTCCAAACTTGCTGGCATATTGAGTGTAGCACCTTAACAGTAGCATCTTTTAAGATTCCGCTGGAATGTCATCACTTCCCCTGGCCTTGTTATTAGCAGTGGTTTCTAAGGCCCATTTGACGTCACTCTCCAGGATGTCTGGCTCAAGGTCATCAGTCACACTACCTGGGGTGTACGAGACATCCAAATCTTCCTGGTATAATTCCTCTGTGTATTCTTGCCAACTCTTCTTGATGTCTTCTGCTTCTGTTAGGTCCTTACCACTTTTGTCCTTTATTATGGTAATCTTTGCATAAAATGTTCTTTTCATATCTCCAATTTTCTTGAACAGATCTCTGGTTTTTCCCATTTTAT